TACTTGATCATCGAGTGTCTTGTGTGTCTAGCCTCGTATTGCTTGATCATGGAGTTGGAGTGCCTTGTGTGTCTAGCCTCGCATTACTTGATCATGGAGTGGACTCGAGAGCTGCAATTCCAGGAATCAGAGCGGGAAAACGCTCTCAGTTTTCCCTTCGACATGGAACGAGTTATTGAGGACCTGCTAGCAGGTCTTTCAAAGGGCTAGAAGGACGAAGAGTCGAATCCTGCAGGGGCCGCTCGCCTGAGGTGCGGCCTTGACGAGAGGGATCTCTGCAACGCCGCATTCAGAGTGGGGATGGGATACGGTACGGCCTGCTGTACGAATCCATGCTCGATCGGATTTGCATGCGGCAGGCATATCTTGACCTGTGGGGATAGTGGGATAGTGGACGTTGTACAGGTGCCAACAGAGCACAACACTGCCGACATGTTCACCGAAGCCCTCCCGAGAGGCCGAAGTGGATGAGAATACAAAACACGATCATGATGGACGGGGATAGGGATAGCAGGCAGCAAGCATCCCTTCCTCTGCATCAACCCTTGATATCACTATCACCATTAGTCTGCACCATCCAACAATAATGGCTGAAGCGAGCTCTTCCAAAGGCTAAAGGCTTGGGGAGATAACTATCTTGACTTACACTGGTCCCCTATCTAACGAAAATCCGAGAGATTTTTGCACCCTGCTCGAGGCTCCATCGCAGCCAACCATATAGTCGGACACGTAGACGGTCGATTTACCCGTCTCGATATTCGTCACCGTGGTTTTGACATGGTCTACCGTCTCCCCGCGTCGACGAACACCTCGACAATCAGCAACTTGAATCGAGCCTGGACCTGAAGAGGGGGTTGAAGAACTGGCGTGTATGACTTGGATTGGCCGAGGTCCGCCAAAGCAGGGCGACCGTGGGGTCGACACCCAGGACCATGAATGGAATACCTTCCTAACTAGCTTCCCGTCAGACCATTTCAGGGACACCAGCTTGCTTGCTGTGAGCTTCGAAAGGTTGCCGTCGCGTTTCGAGGTCATCGTGGAGTCTGCGGGGGCTGAGGCAGAGACAGGGGGATGGATTGGGAGGAGTTTGGCAGGTGTCGCTGCAAGAGATCACTGATGCCTGAGAGTGTCTGCGCTGTTTGAACTTGGGCGCGACGCAGTTCAGCAGTGTGGGAAGAAGATTCAGGAGCTTCCGAGTTCCTGCGGGCACGACGTTGGCCCTAAATTTGCTCGGGTGTGGGCTCCGTACTGACCGTTGCTGATGATGATTCGTCTCTCTGTTTGCCTGTAGAGGACGATGACGCCTGACCGGCCTGATTGGTCGGCCTGCTTGTTCCAGGCGTACTCAGTGGTTGTCGGGGGTGTGAAGGCTTCTCTATCGTTAGAGTCCATACCCGGAACGACGTCTTCTGGCATAGCTTCAATCCCCGTGAAGTCCGTCTCGTCAAACAGAACTTCAGCAGTTCGAACAAGTTTCTGCCTATTTGTGTCCCATACTCGGTATAGGTTGTGCCCTTCAAAGCCGAGGAGGATACAATCAGCAGCCCTATCGTCAGTCTTTTTCTGTCCTTGCTTTGGCAGCACATAGTGGCCACTGCTCCCTATAACCCTGATATGGGAAGGGTCAGGTTTTCGTCCGTACCAGGCATCGTAGGGAGTCATTCCATCCAGTGCCCTCGTGGGAGTGACGTTCCGGAGATAGATTCGCGAGTGGACCAGTTCTGGTCACATCCTCCAGGGCAACCCTGGGGTCACAATGTAAGCTGACGCTGTTATCGCGAAACACGCATGCTTTTGCTCTCCCGCTCAGCCTTAGAATCGGACCTCGGAACAGGATTTGACGTTACGGTCCGATCCAGCCGAAGTCTTCCCGGCCTCATCAAGCCATGAGCGTTGGTGGTTTCGTAGGGGTATCAAATCCCCCGCACGACACTGACACACAAGAATCGAGGATTAAAGTAGTGTAGGTGTGTGTTAAGATATCTCCTAAGAGCAACGGCACATACCTTCTCAACCCTGTCGCCACTCGTAGCTCGTGCTGCACGATTTGACATGACAACGTTGTCGTCGTGACCTTGATCTCTCGAAGAAGAAGAGATCACAAGGTTCGACGTCGCATGGTGGTCGTGATCGCCTTTGCCCGCCAACCTACCAGTACTAGGAGTGCTCCGGTTCTCGGATTGGCTGGGCGGGATTCCAATCCCTGATGATGACAATGCATCCATCCAACTCTCGCGCACCTTCCTATCTTTCCGAATTTGCCATCCCGTGCTTTGTCATGAAGCCCGTAGACCATGTCGGAATGCGTGATCTAGCTTGAGGGCAGGTGGAGTGGGACAAACGCCATCGTGATCCGCCATGGTGTTCCGTTCGTCCCCCGGATCCGTGGAATCCCCAAGGTGAATGGGAGTCTAGAACCGGCGATGCGGACATTCGTGAACGTTAGGGTCAGGGTTAGGGACGCCATCGTGATCCGCCATGGTGTGTTGATACCAGTAGTAGTCCATAACGGATAAGCCAGGCCTGCCAATGCAGGCTCGCTCGTTGGTCTTGTTGTGATGGTGATGGGCATGGGCATGGAGATGAAAAGATTTCTTGTTCGGCAGGTTCGAACGTACGGCCTCAGCAGGCGACCAGGCTGATGGCGGCGGTCTGTCCAGCCCGTGTTCGCGTCGTGGCATCGGCATCGGCATCGGCATCAACCCTGACGACACCTCCGCAAACTGCGGGTCCTCCTCCAGGCTCTTCTTAGTGAGCCCCAGCTCCGGATGCTTGTCCAGGAGGTGTGTCTTGACGGATAACGGCACGCAGCAACAGTGGAAACAGATTAGACACCTGAGGCCTGTAGTCGTGACGACCAGAGAAGTAGCTCTCGAGGATGGACTTCACACCAGCGGCATCATCTCTCAATCGGGAGGAACCCACGACGGCGAATCGCAAGACGGGAGACAAAAGGAGCGTGGCGAAGAGCGGATATTTGTGCCATCGTTCAGATTTGAGGAGGTTAAAAGAAAGATGAGCGAAGATGCTGATCAAATACAATATGCTATGCATGTCCCTTGTCGCCAAGCGAGCCGAACAGCGGATATCTGTACCATCATGCAGATTTGAGGAGTTACTCGATCATTTCGGGCGGCACGTTCCCGCCAAGCTGTTCCTGTAGGTTACGAAGAGCGTCTCGATCTTCAGATTCGCCGTCCGTATCGTTGGGGCATGCAGGAGTATGGAACCAGTTCATGATGCGCCGAATGTTGGAGGAAGACAGTTTGCTAGACAGGGTCATGGCTCGATCATAGGCGTCCTTGGCTTTGAGCGCAGGAGGGCTGGCCGAGGATTTGGGAGGGCTCAATTCATTCAATTTGGGCCGGGATGGGATGGGAATTCCATTGCCGTGGAATGATTCGCTACCAGAGGCCCCCGGTGGCGCCTGCAGTGGCGTCCGCTGCGTTGAAGATATTTGCATAGGGTCATGGCCACGTCCAGCGCCCGAAGGAGCCCGGAAGACGAAGTCGGACAGTCAGTCTGGAGGGAGGACGTCAAATGAGGAGGTAGCAAGAAAGATGAGCGAGGATGCTGATCAGATACAACATGCTATGCATGTCCCTGTCACCGAGGTTCTGAAGAGTATGGCAAGACTGATGCTCGTGCTCAGCCACAACTGGTGTCGACCATGCGGATGATTAGAACTCGGATCGACCACATTCAAGCCGGAATCTGTACCATTCCTGTTGATGCTGGATAAGAGTAAAAGCGTCATATGCGTGGAGAAGACCGAGGGTTGCGAGGGAGTGATTGGTCGCAGTCTATAGCCAGGGATTTCCAGTCAGACTGTAACTCACGTTTTGATGTCCGTCAGATGGTAGTGTTGCATGGTGTGGTTCCATATAGCCGTTGCTATGCATGATCATAGGATGCACCTTAACCGTAGTCATCCCTGGGGTAGGCACACCATCACTGCTGCTTGAATCTTCGGGTGACGTCCGAGCAGGGGGGAATGGTCCGTTATACCAGCCTTGTCTCTTGGACTGTCTGAGAGAGGACTGTACTTCGAGTGCCTCCCGGGCCATGTGTTGCTGCGGTTGAAGAGGCATAGAGGGAGGGGTTCCCACATCCATATGCCTATGTGGGCCAAATCCCCGCAGCATCATGAGCACCTTGCTCGCTTGACACACCATCGTTGACGGACAAAATTGTGTGTAGATGCAAAAGTCCGATGAGATCAACCTGGAGGACACGAGATAAATGGCTCGGCTCACCTGTGACGCTGGCACAGGGATAAAGTTCTGGAGCTGCATCCTGTCAATCCAGACATTGCCGGCTTTACTCTTTCACTGTATTGGCAACCGATGAGGATGTCTTCAGCTCTCTGCTTAGGCCCTTTGATAAACGACAAAGAACCCTTCACACAAAACTTTGATAGTCCCACTTGACACTATGTCCGATGTTGTTTCAGTATTCACGTTTGACAAAAGACCCGATGGGGCAGCAACGACACCGGGGTTCAAGTTGGTATGGCTGAAATTGACGTTACCAAAGCCCGGTCCATGACGAATGGCGGGGGTGCTGGTCGGAGGGCTGCCGTTGCTGGAGTCGTCGAGGCTAAGAAATGTGGAGTGTTCAGGTCGCGCTCACCAGCATTGCCAGCCTCAGTTGGACGAGCAAACGTGACCGGCGTGCCGTCTGGAGCACGGATGCTGACGGCTTGACGTTCATGACGAGGCACTTTGAACACTGATGTCAGTCCTGACCCTTTGGTGGCCGACGGCTTCGACATGACTCCCTCCGCTGATGGTATTCTTGCCTCGCTGTCGAATTGACCTACGGTCAGCTTGGGACGGACAGGGCGGTTGCCACCAGATGGAAGATGTGCTAGATCGATCAAAGATCCTGCCTACCAGGTGCTCAATGCCGTACGTGATCGGACAGTTGGTGATATAAGATAGGATATGCTCAGAGAAATAGTCTGATATTGGTGATCTCGCATCCACGACACGAGCGGCTTCCATGGAGTTAATGTCGTCTGACAGTGCAGCGCGGACAGCTTCACCATGGGCTGTTGCACAATAAACTTGATTCCTTGTGCGCGGCGAGGTCGGAACGCTCGCCAAACTTGAAGGCTGGTGAAAGATTTCACCTAACCGCCAAGCCTAAGCCTGACTGATTGATTCACCTGATAATTCAGACTTTGCGGGTTGAGATCCACCGTAGGAACTACGGCACCGTCAAAGTCACGGCCCCAAGGTCACGGGGCGGTCCGACGATTAAGGGGGGCCGGCCAGAGGTAGTGAGGTCAGACTTCGCCCGATGTGGTGTAGCGGAATCCGCCTGCGCTCCTTGCGTCCCCCCTTTCCCCTCCTCTACCCACCAGCTCTAAAGACGCAATTCTCATCTCTCGATCACCACGGAGACCGCTAAACACAAATCAAGCGTAAGCCTAAGGCCAACCGCTATCGATCGGCCATTTAGTTTTGCAAGAGCCTGAAGAAGAAATCAATCAAATCAATTGAAACCATTTGGAGTGGTTTATTCCCCGTTCATCCACAGTTGACGCAGTTAGTTACACGGCTGTACCTGCACCCGCCCCTCCGTTCCCGTTCCAGCCCAAGTCCAAGACCAAATCATGGAGGCAACCACCGCGACAGTGGCATCGTGTGGCTGTTCGATCTGCGAAGTGTTTAGTAACACGAGCGACGACCTTTCCACGGTAGGTTCCCGGTTCGGGTGAACGAATCAAAGCCCCAAAGAAAGCAGAAAAAGGGGAACATGCAAAAGGCAAACGCCCCCAGCCCCAAAACAAGATCAATACGTGTCCCAATGGTGGCCACGGCCACCTGAAATCTGAATCTGACTGTGACTGACTGGTGACTTGGATCCGTTGGGGTTCGATTAGGCACCCCATCGCAAACCACTGGACGCTGGTCGCCGCATGCTGCACAACCTCTATGACAATGGGCTCAACCTGACCGAAGAGGACGAGAACAAGGTGTACGAAAAGCTCATCTCTCTTGCCGAGAAAGATGGCTTGCAAGATCTCAAGCAGACCCTCGAGCATCTCTACGAGAGCTGCGATTAAGAGGGCGGCCCACGGACGGGGGATTCACATGCTGTCGGGCGACACAATCAGGCATCGGGCCAACGAGTGAGTGGCTCGGTCGGGTGCCACCAATTATCGATACTGTGCGACGGCATCAACACCCAATCTCGCCTGGCTGATTGAATTCCTTGAACGGGTGCCCAAAAAGGGGGACAGGGCTGGATAATCAAAAACCACTGACACTGCGAGCAGGGACAGGGCAGTGGTGACATTCCTTTCGGCCGGCGAGCCAAGGTGGCAACAAGTGGTTTCCGGGTGGCCTAGAATCCGGGTCGATCAACATGGGACTGGGTAAACTGATAGCCTTGACCGTCCAATCTCTTATCCGAAAATGAAGCTGAGGCGGCAGCGTTGGCACTGTGACTTGTCTGATCTTAATTTTTGGGGGTTGTTGCCTTGATCAGCTTTGAGATCGGGCCTGCAGTTAGTTAGTGGGCTGGGTAAAGTTGATAGCCTTGACCATCCAATCTTTTGGTGCCTGAATGAGGCGGAAGCGTTGGCACAGCGTGACTCGTCTGATCCTTGAGATGTTGCCTGAAATCCCGACTAGTCGCCTCGTGTCAATCCAGTGGTGGGATTGGCATCCTCGCTCGTGAGATGATTTTTCACCTGCTCTGCGCTATGGTATACTGGCCCCGCGGGCAACGGTCAATGGTTGCCTTTTTGCACGCTCTCCAACTATGGATATTGCTCCTAGGCGTACAGTTCCTCCACCATTCGTCATCTGTCATCTTGTCGTACGGCCTGGCCTGTTCCCAGTCGTGCTCTCGAAATGAGGCATCACCCGTCATGTGTCATCCTGTCGTTCGGCCTTTTCCCAGTCATGATCTCGAAAATGAGGCATCCAGTTGCAGATAGTTCCGTCTGCATCGTATGTGTGGTGATATCACGGTCACCGACGACAGCACCAAGACGGTCACCAGCAGTGCTACCGAGACCGAAACCGTTACCAGCACCAGATCATCGGCGATGCCATATCATGTTTTTTCGAAACAAGAGTCTCTTCGAAACAAGTCTCCTCGTCACCAACAACTGATGCGGCAAAACCACACAGCTTGAGTGGCAGATGGTCTGCAACGAACAAATTGCGAGCGCTGATGGCACAGGGGAGGACTTGTGTGCATGAACGTAGCCTCTAGATTCGACAGCGTTTGTCCCATCTCCTCCTCTTCTCACGGGTGAGACTCACGTTGCTGTGTTTATCCCAGCTCCTTCTCTTCTCACGGGTGAGATCCGCGTTGTTGTGATGCAGAAAGCTTCCAAGGTCGCGATATGGACGGAAAGGGAATTGCAGGCCGATTTCCGAGGCATCGAGGCATAGGCATTCGAGCACGATGTTGCTTGGAGGCAAGAAGCCGTGAACGAGTTTCTCACGCTCAAGGAACTGAACTGATCAGACTGGTCCCGAAGTTCACCATCAAGGATGATGTCCTCTTTGCTGCAGTCTTGAGCATCATAACGGAGAGCAACTTTGACATGACACCGGGTTCAGTGCGGAGTTCACACCAACGACGCAGTTATGATTGTAACGGATGTCATGTCAGCCTCAGATGGAAACACGATCTCAGAAAGAGAAACCATGTGGTGTTTGTGGAGAGGGTATGTGCAATTTCTGCGTTCGGTCAATGGTAGAAGCGTTGTCATCATTTTCTCGGCATTCTTCGCGTCGGAGACAACAAACGCGTCAGGCTGGGCTAGCTCTGTACATGCACAACAACAACATCTCTCCTGACTTGCATTGTGTTTTGAGGAAGTTTTCTTTCCTGGTGCTCTTGGCTCCTAACTTCCGGGTCTCTGGTCCAGCTCCAGGCTCGTGGCTCGTGGTTCTGATCCCAGCCCCTGGAAGGGCTCATCTCCCGCTATGTGTACGTACTGAGAAAAGGTTGCGAGGGCAGCTGGTGTCGAGGAGGGTCGCCAGAGGGTGTTGGTCAAATGCAGGGTGCACAGATGGAGGGGGAAGTTGGGATTGCGTACTATACCGTACCGTGATGGTGAGAAGTGAGTGGTGAGGAGTGAGGAGTGAGGAGCGAGGAGCTGTCCAGGGAGAAGGGACAGATGAATTGATCTTGCTAGAATCACAAGTTTCGCAGGATTCACTCTGGCTTTTAATTTGGGAGGCATGAGGAAGAAATTTCGCGGCGAGCGCAGGTGAAGCTCCTTCGGGGACAGGGTAACGCCGCTTTATCTCAGTACCTCGGCTGCTGGCTGCTAGGCAAAGCCTAAGGAGCCTAAGGCTCTTTAGCTGCATGCCAGCGTGATTAGTGGCACTAAGCATCCGGTAGTAGCATCGCAGCCAGAACACTGCATCACAACTCCAAGTTCACCAACATCAACTTCACCACCACATCCCTTGGTGACTACACAGTCTCGTTTTCACTTCTCTAATCAGTTCTTCGGGGCTGGTTAGGGAATTGTTTTTGTTCTCAACCGTTTCGACGAGATCAGAATCACATTGGGATTGATCACCGCTCAAGGGTGGTGCGTCTGCGTCCACCCAGGATGGCATCACTCGGAGTACCAAGTGTCTAGGTACTCCGATGCAAGTGTCTACTCCGTACTGTACGACCGACAACTCGACTCGGTATTATAGTGAAGGATGACCAACTTGAACAGATTCCCATGACCCCAAATGCAATCTATCGCATCTACACAAAGCAAAGACCACCATTCGCATTCACCGTGCTCCCCGTTGACCAGCGACTCCTCTCCTCGGCCAAAAAGGCCACAATCTGCGCAATATCGTCCGGGGTGGCGATACGAGGAGCGGCGGGCGTTTCCTTCATCTTGGGTTCCCATTCCTTCAACACGTCCGGGTCGGTATCCCGCAACCACATGTCGGTGGCGACGGGACCCGGGTTGACACAGTTGACGGTGGCGCCGTATTGCTGGCCGAGTTCCTGGGCCCAGACCTTGGTCACGCCCTCCAAGGCGGCCTTGGTGGCACAATAGGGGGTGGCATACGCACCGCCCATGCGGGCAATGACACTGGAGATGTTGACGATGCGCGGGGCGGTGCCGAAGTAGGGGATGGCTTCTTTGACCAAGAATGTGGGGAAGCGAAGGTTGCAGTCGAACACCTTGTCCCAGGACTCGTGCGTGAGGTCCTTGAGGAGGATGTCATCGCCGGCGCCGGCGTTGTTGATGATGATGTCGATGTGGCCCCATTTGGCCACGGCGGCGTCGACGATGCGCTTGGGGGCGGTGCGGTCACTTCCGCCGGCCTGGACACCAATGGCCTCTCTTCCCAAAGCCTTGACTTTGGCAAGCACCTCGTCGGCCTGGGTGCTGGCGTTGTTGTATGTGATGAGAATGTTGGCTCCTCGGACAGCCAGCTCATAGGCGATGCCGGCTCCGATGCCTCGAGAGCCACCGGTGACGATGGCCACACGGTCCTGGAGGGTGTTGGCCATGGTGTGAGGAGGTGATGGGGATGTATGAAGGGAACGGTGAAAGGATGGAAGTTGACAAGTGAAGAGTGGAAGTGAAGAGCCAGAGAGCGAACGATTGAAGGGGCGAGGCGGTCCTGGGATCAGATGTTTGACCTCAAATGTCAGATGTTGTTTGCTAATTCGGCCCGTGTCGGCTTATTATTGTTGGTATTTGACCGTGGTCATATTTATCTGGCGATGCAGGATCCAGGATGTTGAGGGTTCTCCGACCTTGGGCGCTGCCACTTCATTGAAGCCGAGCTGGAGTTGCTGGTGGGCCCGTGCAGTTGGAGTGGTTACAGTATGAGCTGCAATGGGCGAGCTCGCTGATGGCTGCCCAAAGTGGTCTGCTGTCTGCCGGTCTGTTATCTACCCGGCGGCCGCTGTACACACAGCAATTAGTTATCGGCAGTGATAAGTCTGTGATTATTCTGGAATAGCAGCCCGCCAGATCTAGACCGTCTCGATCAGTCCTACCACGCGATTATCTACCTGTGACCTTAATTACCTAATGCTGGATGCATAATGAGATGAAGTCAGTAGGCGGTAGCGAGCACACAACGCCACCCATTGACACCCTTCGGTACCTTGCAGCTATCCCATTCCATCCCATCCTATCCTGATCACTTGAGGCCACCAGCCAGAAGGGGGAATCGACAGAGAGCAGAGATCTGAGCTCACATCGGTGTCCCGAACCGAACACGCTGTGTTCAGTTAATCGCCCGACGCTCGGTGGCCCCAAGCACGTTACGCTGCGCTGCGGTGCACTGCACTGCGCTGCGCTCCAAGTCGAAGTCGGACGGACTGACCACTTCGCTGTGTTTCCACTACTGTTATCACACTACATCTACATTAATAAGATCAAGATCTCCTGTTTGCCGGCGGTCGGAGAATTGGTAGTGTTGTATTCACGATCAGGTTTACGCCATATCAATTCCAATTCCCACTCCAACGACCAACACTGTCCTGACAAGTCATCTGCATCAACCCAACACCAAACCAACCATCAACGCCACCATCAACCAACAATTGACAGTTGACAATCAACCATCAACCATCCAGCACCCATAGAAAGAACAAATCTCACTCCAACTCAAAATGGACGAGCAAACCTTCCAGGCATACTTCAACCTCGTCAACTCCGGCAACATCGTCGCCGCGGCCGAGAAATACTACAAGCCGGAAATCTACCTGCTGGACGACGGCCACCACTACGACCACGCACGGATTCTGCAGCTGATCCCGCTGATCCAGTCGCAGATGAAGCTGACCTACCACCTGGTCGGCTACTACTCCAAGACCGAGGGCAATGCGCTGGCGGCCGAGGTCGACGTCGAGCTGGTTGCCCTGGTCGATGTCGATCGCAAGCCCTTTGCCGACGCCGGCTTCCCCGAGGCCTTTGTGCCGCTGAAGAAGGGCGAGCGCGTGCTCTCCCACCACTTTTACAAGTATACCTTTGAGGGGAAGAAGTTTACTTCGTCTATTGGCTATACTAAGAATGAGAAGGCGTCGTCATTGTATAGATAGTCTGTCAAACTTGGGCACTGACTTGGGCATTCCCAGCCTTGCGCTTTCCAGAAGGCTGGTTTAGGCATGCGCTCCCCCTGCGACCCTTTGATAGAGAACATGGAACATTTCAACCTTTGACATAGTCATGGTCGGTCATGGCCACTGCTATCATGGTCATTGCTGTCATGGTAATGGTCAGCCATGGTCATGGTCATGGTTATTGCTGTTATGGTCATGGTCATTGCTGTCATGGACATTGCTGTCATGATCATGGTCATGGTCACGGTCACAGGTACCTTGGTTAGCTGGTTACCTACCTGCCTCCCTGCCTACCTACCTGTCTGCCTTCTCTAGGTACCTGCTTGGAGTTTGTGGGCATGGTCATATCATAGTTAGGTACAGTATCTCATGTATGCATGTCTGTCTGTATGTCTGTCTGTATGTCTGTCTGTCTCATGTATGTATATATCTTTGGGTTCGTACCTCTGATGCTCACTATCAATTCAATCCGTAGTTCGGATAGTCATCGTGATGGCCATCGCCATGATCACAATCGCAGCCACAGTCACAAACATGGTCATGGTCGTAGCCCTTCGTACTCACAATCATAGTCATGATCATGATCATAGCCTTTCGTACTCAGGAACATGGTCATGTCATAGCCATAATCACAGCCACAGTCACAGTCATGATCATGGTCATATCTACAATCACACACAGCCACAGCCATGATCATGATCGCAGTGATGGCCTCTCGTACTTGGAACATGTCTTGGAACATGGTCATAATCATAGCCATATTCTATCAAACTTAGGCACCAACCTATGCATCCAGTCTTATTCTTCAACCAGAAGGCAGGTATACATATCTAGGTAGGCATACTCTCCTGTACACTATATCGTCTGGACCTTAGGCTCCCCCTATACCCCATACCACTTTGATGGCCAACATGGAACATTTCAACCTTTCACAGGAACATGGTCATGGTCATAGTCATAGCCATAGCCATACTCAGGGTCAAGATCAGGGTCAGAATGATGCTGGATTCTCTGGCTCAAATGCCCTCGCTCTCGCTCTCATTCAGTCCTGTACTCCGTATTCGTTGCGTGATGGCTAAAATCCAATGCTATCTACTGTACAAGTACAACGACTGAGAGTGTGAGTGAGAGTGCCTGACCTGACTACGGCCATTGTACTGGACTGAGAGTGCCGGCCTGATGCTACGGCCCTGTACTGGGTCAATACAGTGTGAAAGTGAGAGTGCCAGCCCTGACGCTACGACCCTGTACTGGATCAACTTGAATACAGTGTGAAAGTGCCAAGTCTAAAAGTGCTGAGGAAAGAGCAAGTGCCCAGGCTAAGCCTGAATGCCAAACAGTTTGTAGGTATGTAGCTACTACAGCTTCTCCCTGAAGAGTAAACGTCTACTACCACTTCTCCCTGGGAAGACTAAACGTTTACTACAACCTCTCTCTGGGAAGAGTCAACGCTTATTACAACCTCTCCCTGGGAAGCAAACGTCTCACAACTTCTCCCTCGGAAGAGTAAACGTCTTGCGTCCCCACAACGCCCAATAAAAGCCGGCATACAGAAAGATAAACGCCACCACACACGAGGCGTAGTTCATGGTGGACGCCGTGGTCGGATAGGCGGTGGGAAAACAATAGAAGATCAAGGTGACGGTGGTCCATGCCAGGGTGACCAGGTTGGCGATGTAGCCGAGGCGCGGATACCAGAACGGACCATGCGGTATGCTGCTCCGGCCGCGCAGGAGGAGCAAGATGATGCAGACCGAGTACGACAGATACTGGAACAGAATGCCGGCGCCGATGAACGAGTTGAAGGCGACGGTGGAGCCGAGATACAGACATCCCAGCAGGGCGACGGCGCCGCACGACCACAGATGCGCGTAGATGGGAGTCTGGAACGGCGCCGGCGCGATCTCGGCCAGCTTGCTGCTGAACGGCCAGCCGTGGTCGCGGGCGAAAGCCCAGGCCACGCGGGCCTGCCACGTATGCACGCCCTGAATGGCGCCGACGAAGGCGATCAGGATCAGACACTGGAGGCCGATGGCGCCCGCGTCGTTACCCAGCACCTGGCGGAAGAGGGCGAGCGAGGGCACGCCGGTCGGGGTGGTGAGGATGTCGTCGACGGATTGGATGGAGAACATGAGGCCGACGGCGTAGGGGAACGACACGCCGATGCCGGTGATGACGGTGGCCATCAGAGCGCGCGGAATGTTGACCCGCGGATTGGGGATCTCTTCGGCCATGTGCGTTACGGCGTCCAGGTTGGTGAACCCCCAGTTAGCCCCCAGCATGCCGGTGAGGAAGGCGATGCCGTCGCTCCAGCCGGACACGTTGATGTAGTCGGTGAAGACGAACGAGCCCGACTGTTTGGTCGGGGAGGCGGCCAGCACCGTGATGAAGATGATGACGATGCTGGTCACCGACCACCACATGTTGAACAGGCTGGCCTTGGGCAGGAGGAACTCGACAAAATTAAACGACGCGATGAAGATGTTGGTGATTTGGTATCCCACGAACAGCTGCCACGGGTGGAAACTGAAGTCCGGGTTGCGTAGGATCAGCATGCCGATGACCATGGACGGGATGGCAAGCGTGCCCGAGGCACAGGTCAAGACCACACCCGCCCAGCTGAGGAGGCCGACCAGATATGACACGCCGCGACGGATGGATTGCGGTGCCAGCCGCGATGCCCAGTAGTACTGGCCGCCGGGATGGGGGAAGGCTGAGGCCATTTCGGCCAGCGAGCAGGCCACGCAGAGGGAGAAGATGAAGATCATGATCTGGCCCCAGGTGAAGACCACGGGCCCGCCGCTGCCAATGCCGGTGATCAGAGACGCCGTCAGGCTCATGGCCGTGTTGCTGACCGAATAGCCCATTGCGAGCAAACTCCAGATGCCGTACGGTTGTTCGGGGATCGCGCTCTGCTCTGCCAGGTTGGAGACGAGGCCTTTGTCGTGGTCGTGGTCGTGGTCGTCCACTGGGGCTGCCGCGGCGAGCCCAGGTCCCGGGAGCTGTTTCTCAGCGTCCATCGTGTACTGTGGTTCTAGCCCGAAGTGATGTGTTTCTGGTCTTTGCAGTGGCTGTTGATGGGGATCGTGGGTAGCCCGGTGCTCATTAATAGACACAGCTGGACATGGCGCCTCTTTTAAACACGGCCAATACCACCGCGTGCTGGTGCTGGTGCTGGTGCTGGTGCTGGTACTGGCGCCGGCGCTGGTACCGGTGCGTGTGTTCGCTCGTCCCGTCAGCCTGGTCGCAGCTAGTATCCCAAAGGGGTCTTGTCATGAGATAAGAGCGCGAAATGAAATATCTCAACAGATAACAATCTCTGGAGCATACATAGTTGCCCTCTTTGGTAGGCAGACCGTTTCAGGCGAGACAGGACAGCCGCCATGCTGAGGAAAACCCCAAACCGAAAAGTGAAAAGAGAAAAGAGGTGGACAGCGGAAATCTGATCTGATCCAGCAGGCAGAGGCGAGCTGAGCTGGTCGAGTGGCGAGGCTGACCCAGGCCTTGCGCGGTCTGTGGTCTGTGCGGGTGCGTGATAAGCAATTTATTGGATATTGACGGATTGGGACCCTTGATTCTTCCATATCGGTCAACTGAGATCTCGTCCTGAAGTAGCAAGCGGTGACGACCAGCTGAGAACTGTCGTCCAGAAGTAGTAGCCGGTGGCGACTGTCAGAGTTGCGGTCCTGAAGCATGGATCCCTAAAGGGATGCAAGGGTCATCGACACTGTACCGAGTAGAGAGTAAAATCATCTGATTGATAGGATAGGATATCCGTCCTTGTACATTGGCCATGACTAGAATGGTACGGAGTACTCTATACCTGTGGCTGTCTCTTCTCTTTGGCCATGACTGGAATGGTACAGAGTAGAATCATCTGATTGATCAATAGGATATCCGGATTTGTACATTGTCCATGAATGGAATGGTACAGACTATTGTATATCTGTGGTTGTCTCTTCTCCATGCCCATGACTGGAATGGTACAGACTACTCTATACCTGTGGTGGTCTCTTCTCTATGCAAGATGCAATCCAACTCTATAGCCTGGTTGTATCTTCTCTATACAACGTGCAACCTATTAAATCAAGGTTGAAATGTTCCCTCTTCTCTATCAACGGGTCATAGGGGGATCGCATGCTATATGGCAAAGTCTAAACCAGCCTCTCTGGTTGAAAGGCAAGGCTGGGAATGCGCCCAAGTCTGACAATCTGATCAATAGGATATCCGTCCTTTTACGGAGTACATTGCCCATGACTGGAATGGTATAGAGTACTCTATACCTGTAGTGGTCTCTTTTCTATGCAATGTGCAAGGTGCAATCCAACTCCATGGCCTGGTTGTCTCTTCTCTATGCAGGGTGCAACCCAATTCCAGGCACCTGTCTATGTGCGATGACGGTGTAAGGCTCAAGTAAAACCCAACCCATGGCCTCAGACGCCTGTCTAGATGCGATGACGGTGTAATCTAGATGCTATGACTGTGTAAGGCTCAAGCGAAATCCAACTCAACTCCTCCAAGACGGTCTAGATCTGGCGGGCTACTAATGCTCCCTCTAGTGCGATCGGTGCCATTTCTCGCCAGGAATCTCGTCGTAGCTGGTGACTTCGTCCAAGGCCTGCTTGATGATGCGGACGCCCTGCTCCAGCTGCTCGTCTGTCATGACCATCGTCACACTCATCCTCAGCCGGCCTTCCAGCGGGTACAGCAGCAGGCCCTTGTGCAAGCACAGTCCGCCGATGCGACGGGCCGTCACCTTTCCCGCCACGTCTTCTTTGATGGTGATGCTGAAATCGGCGCCGCGCACTTCGATGCCCGTCACGTAGGGGTGGTCGTGCAGCGACTCGGTCAACTGGGTGAATTTCTCTCCGATGGCGTGGGCTCGTTCCACCATGTGCTCTTCGTCCAGCACTCGGATGGCCGCTTCGGCGGCGGCAATCGCCAGCGGAGTGTGGGCGAAGGTCGAGCCGCTCTCGTACGGGCCGACCACGGTCATGATCTCTTCGGGTCCCAGCACAAAGGACGCGGGATAGGCGCCGCCCGTCATCGACTTGCCGATCACAAGCATGTCGGGCTTGACGTCGTCGCCGAGGTGGTTGAAGGAGAAGAACTTGCCCGTCTTGCCGGAGCCCATTCTCACTTCGTCGGCAATGAAGAGAACGCCGTATTTCTTGCACAGGTCGTACACCCCTCGCGCGTACTTCACTTCCTGCTCGAATGTGCTAATCACCCATCGTCAGTATCAGTGTTGTTCAAAGGTAGGATCCATCTGCAGGTGCGCAATCATGGGCCTTGGGGTCCAAACTACTTACTTGCCAGTGTTGCGGATGGACTCGATGATGATTGCCGCAACGCGATCGTGATGCTGTTCCAAGCACTTCTCCAAGTCCTCGATTTCACCGTAGCGCAATAACTCGCCGGTGGAAGGGTTGACGTTGGTCTGCTGTTTGCTGTCCAGGCCGTACTCTACAGTCATATGGTCAGGGTCTCCTATCACAGGGGCGGTGGCTGGTGGTGTGACTGACCTGTTCGTGCCGGACTCGGGTCTTGCAAGTTCCACACGCCGCCGGTCAGCCCGTGGTAACTGCCAGACACGGCCAGGACGAGCACATCCTCGGCCGGGATGCCCCGGACCTTGTGGGCGTGTCGTCGAACGATCTTGCAGGCCAGATCGGCCGCCTCGGCGCCGGTGACCATGGCGGAGATCTTGTCGTAGCCGAACCGTTTGCACATCATCTCGGCAAAGACGGGCCATTTGGTGTTGTGTGTCGAGGTGTTGATGAGATACGCTGTAGACATGAAATCAGCCATTTGCTGCTGTTGCCGTTGCTTCCCTTCCAGTTCGGCTGACCTTTCTGCATCTGCTCGATCATGGCTGCCACAATCTTGGGATGACAGTGACCCTGGTTACCAGCGCTGAACATGCAGATGAAATCCAAGTATTCTCGGCCATTGATGTCCTAGAGGGAATCCTTCTCAGCTTGTTGTCCACTAGAACACACACTTGAACGACGTACCCAAAGTTTGGCGCCTTGTCCGCGCTCAAAGAAACCAGGAAGAGGCGTGAAGCCGCCGACGGTATAGTCGATTTCCAGCTGTTGCAAATGCTGTGCTTCTGGCGTCAGTCTGATGGATCCGAGACTGGGCTTGACAACGGTCTCGACGGCCGGTGCCACCCGCTGGATGGCTTGGGAAATCATTCTGAACAGCGCTGATCTATCTCCTGTGGACGGACCGGGGGAAGTAATGGGTGAATGTAGAGTTGATTGGGACGAGTTTGATTGTTTGAAGATGGGTTTATGTTTATGAAGTATTTCCCATTGCGCCGTAAATCCGCCGGGCCAAGACGGGGGATCATATGCCACCGACCATTGGCACATCCATATCACCCGGTGGGTGTCTGTAGACCGACCGAATCGCTCTGCATTCAGATCTGAGAGGTGGTGGCCGGGCTCGCTGTCGGCTTCCCAGGCTTCATTTTCTGTGCCGGGCTTGATTAGTTCCACTTTTGGCAGGTTTCCGTTTCCGGAAGACGTGTAGTGTGTAGCGTGTAGCATGTACCACGATTAGAGAGTTTCGGTTTCGTTACATTGGGGTTTGCCACTATCTGATACACTGGTAGGCCCTCCCACCTGATCAGACGAATACGGAATCGAGTCGAGAATAGATGCATTATTCACAGTGTTTGTCTTGTATCATGTGGCATTGGATTGAAGACCAGAGTAGAGCCTCAAGGCACTGGGATAGTTTCCGACTGGGATAGTCCCCGAATCCCTGGTATAGTGTGTCAACGACTGCTCAAAGATATCTCTCGTCTCCATAGCATCATCATCTGCGTTGCTTTCCTCCAGTACGAGAATATCGCTCATTCATGCTCCAGCTCCAATTGAATTCCATCATGGCCCCTTGGCCGCCGACACCGTGATCTCAATTCTAGCCGGGCCAGAGAGGCCGGCAACGGAAACGCCGCACCATGCGATTCGGTTGTCTTTGAGGTACTTTGCCATGGCCGCTTCCAACCCTTCTCCAGCATCGTCCAGGCTTCCCACGTGGTACGAAGTCATCTTGTACACGCCTTGCCATCCACCTGGCACCCCGGCGGCAATCAGGGTATTTTCGACGTTTTGGAAGGCTTGTAGAATTTCGTCCTTGAGGGATTCGGGATACTCGATGTCCAAGTTGCAGCCGGTATGGCCGCTGGTTTCGAACAAGGTGGCGTTGGGAGGGATGACAATGGCACTCGAGATGCCGTAGAGAGGCGCCAGTTTCTCACCCAGCCCGGGGGTGTTGATGCATTTAAGACCGACCTTGGTGAGAGGTCCTTGATACTCCATAGTTGCGGGATGAGAGTGACAGGGGAAGAGGAGGAATGCGAGAGACCACGCGAGGATATGAGCAGAATGAGGAGAATGAGCAGAATGAGCGGAATGATGCCGGGCAGTTCGAAGCCAGCCGGCCTGGCCAGGCACCTTCAAGTTGTGCAATCATGATGATGTCTGCATTGGTACATTGATGCTTGTTGCTTGTTGCCGTGGTTCAAGGCCGACGACAAGTCTGGCAGGCAACGGCGAAGAAGTTAGCAGTTAGCACAACTAATTACCTAACTAGCATGTCCTATTATATCCTATCTGCCACTATTTGCTTATCGGGCTGGGTAGGGAAGGATATCCGAGCCATGTCTTATCGCCCATTCTGACGCGTCCCTGATCGCCTCCATCCCGCTCTACTCCGTCCTCTTTCCTCTTCTCTCCTCGGTGGATTCAATCTGGCTGGTCTGGGCCGGCAATCGTCTCGTCAGCTCTCGCTCGTGCTCTAGACTCGACGCTGGGACCACCATCAATCATCCGCCACCCGCGCGCACCCGAACCAGCAGGCAGAGGCGAGCAGAGGCGAGCGCAGCCGTCTCATCTGTCCAGCACCACCGACTGCTTATCCGCAGCCCCTCCCCCGACCAAATCCTTCCTCTCTGTTGACTACTCTTTACACTCGACCTCAATGCCCCCCAATCTCACCTCCTGGCCCTCGCCCTCGACTCCCAGCCCATGCCTTCGGTGGAGCAGCGACGGAGCCATGGGCGCAAGAAGCCGCGGAGCAAGACGTATTCAGGTTGCTGGACGTGTCGTGCACGCAAGGTCAAATGCGGCGAGGAGAAACCAAGCTGCCGACGGTGCAGTGTGGCCTCTCTGGTGTGTCAAGGCTACAATGTGAAACTTGTCTGGGGTCCAGATGACGGGGATGATCGTCGAAACTTGGTCGCCCGTCGATCCACCTTGGATGGCCACGAACACCTACGGCCCGTCCTCAGTCACCGCTTTCTCCAGTCCGCGTTGAACCAGATCGATGCTTGTAAGGCAGACGCCAGCTTGCAAGTCGGGCCCTTTTCGGTGTTTGCCGCCAGCCCGTTGACTGAAAACGAAGACAGAGTTGTCGGTGGCGCAGGGCCTGTGCAATTTGTAGACCCAGGAAATGCGCCCGACACTGACGAGGACGAGCTTGAGTCTGTTTCGCCCCCGGATGTCAGCTGGATCGATACCCCGGACCCCAGCCTTCTAGACGAGGAAGATGACATCGCGACCAACGAGATCGAGATCGCGACTGACGAGATCGCCCTCAACGAACATGTCACACCAGACGGTGCTGCTACCAACTCCGCGATAGGATTGAAGCAACAAATCATCCCCCACCTTCCTCTCTATCTGTCGTCGTCGTCGCCCGACGAACGCCAGCTACTTCGGTTCTGGATTACGGACCTAAGCGGAATGATGATTCCTACCCCGCGCAAGGACAATCCCTTCCAGACCATCTTCATTCCACTGGCACTATCAGCGTCCCAAGATCCCGATCTGGGCTCAGGACACGCGGCGCTGCTGCATGCCATCTATGCTGTCTCGGCTTTCAACCGAGCGCAAGTGTCGGAGACCAAGGAGCATTTTCTAGCGGTAGGCACCAAACACCACCAAAAGAGCATGCAGTACTTGCGACGCAATCTCACGCAGACCGGAGAGAGTCAGCGCGAAGCCCTTTTAGCCACCATCATTGCCATGTCGTCGATTGAGGTCATCCGAGGCACTTCATCCACCTGGCGCATCCATCTGACGGGCGGGAGAACCTGGTTGCAAGCCATCTGCGCCCAAGGCTGGGCGAACAAGTACAGTGCCAATACTCTGCAGCAGATCTTCCTCTGCATCGAGGCTCTGAATTCCCGGCACCGGAGAAGTGCCGGAGCGCAAGACCCGCAAGTTCCGGCCGATCCATTGATGATCGAGGGCGGTAGCCCGGTAGAATACACCTGGACCGAATATATCCTGGACAAGGTATTCGGCATCACCGAGGGCATCTTCAACAGTCTGCTTCGCATCAACCAGCTTTCACGGCGTGGTGCTCCCGCGCCATCTAACGAGCTGGACGAGCTGGAACAGCAGATCAAGCTCAGTGACCCGGATGCCCTGGTGCCCGAGGTGGGTGAAGAGTACGACCAACTGACCCAACATCATGCCTGTGCATTCTACAACGCCTGCTTGATCCATTTTCATCGGACTCTGAAACGGACCGCTCCGGCCCGACTGCAGAGGCTGGTGCGACGAAGTCTGTACCATCTGGGCGAGATCAACCGATTGGAGAGCGACAAGAACGTGTGCGGTCTCCTGTGGCCCCTGTTCATCACGGCCTGCGAAGTTGATGTCTCCAGTAAGCTGCGACATACGTGCATCCGCCTGTTTGATAAGGGCCACCTCCTCGGCATCGGCAACATGTGTTCTGCCGCCAACGTGGTCCTGGAAGTCTGGCAAAGGCGGGACGAGGACCAGCTGGGGGTGGATATCACCTGGCAGGATGTCATGGACGATCTAGGCATTGACATTCTGCTGACATAAACTCAAACACCCTTGAATAATATAATACAATTAGTATGGGGAATTTGCCCCTATCGCGAATGGAACCACTTTTCTTTTCCCCTTTGGTGATGGAAATGATAAGCTAACCTGAATCCTTTTGGGCAGTCATCTGCGAGCACGGCACGCCTGTTCTACCTCCTCCCAACCCTTCTGGGACCACCATGACAGACACACATCGAGTTGCATACTGACCGGGATCGCGATAGGAGATGGATGATCCCTCAATCGACTAACTCAGCCGGGGCCGGTGGTATGATTTGAACTACCCCTACTATCCCTACATGTGAAGGGCCGGGGAAGTCAGATATGAAGAAGCCCTCCACCGCACCTCGCCATCTCTCTGTCTCTCCATCTCCACTACCGACCTCTCTTTGTCTGCTAGGAGTGCCAACAGTTATATATACATAAACATTCTGCATTCCCTCGACCTTGTCGAACCCTCAATATCCTCCAGGACTCATTCCATACCCAGCCACCCACCACCCACGATGGAGAAAGAGATGGTGGCCACCCACCCCGAGTCCAGCGTCGATGTCGACGTCGAAGTGGCCGAAGTTGTCATTCCACCCAAAGAGCTTGACAGGCCTTTCCGCCTCTGGAGCTCGCTGGGGATGCAGTTCTCGGTGTCGTCGACACCGCTGGCCATCGGGACCTACCTGTCGTTCGTGATTGGGATCGGAGGCAGCCCTGTGTTCTTCTTCGGATACCTGCTGGCCTGCGTCATGGGATTTTGCATCTGTTTGTCGCTGGCGGAGATTGCGGCCGTGTATCCGCACGCATCAGGTGAGTGCAGCCGTTGTTGGTTGTCGTGGTTGTCAGACATATCCTGGATAATGCTAACATGGGGCTGTTCTCCTGCTCTTCCAGGCCAGATCTATTGGACGGCAACGCTGATGCCCAAGAAATACAGTCGGGGGCTGAGCTACGTGACGGGCTGGCTGGCATGTTGTGGATGGTTCTTCGGCACGGCGGGCTGCCTGCTGATCACGTCGGAGCTGATCTGGGCGCTGGTCAACGTCTGCCACTCGGCCTTCATCATCCAGCCGTGGCACTTCTACCTGGGATACGTGGCGGCCGGCATCTTCGGCCTCTCCATGAACATCCCCCTGTTCCGCATTTACCCGCACATGCTGAACAGCCTGGTGCTGCTGGTCAACGGCGGCGCGCTCTTCGTGCTTATCGCGCTCCTGGTGCGGGCGCACCCCAAGCAGCCGGCCAGCTATGTGTTCACCGACATTGTCAACGCCACGGGCTGGTCGGGCAACGGCGTGGTCTTCTTCATCGGCCTCTTGCCCGGCATCACGGCGGTGACGGGCTTCGACACGGCGGCGCATCTGACCGACGAGCTGCCCAACCCCAAGAAACAGGTGCCGCAGGTCATGGTGGGCGGTGCCGTCATCTGTGCCCTGTCCGGCATCCCCATGATCCTCGTCTACATGTTCTGCATCGTGAAGCCGGACAACCTCCTCGCGCCCGTGGGCGGCCAACCCATCATCCAACTGATGCTGGACTCGTTCGACTCGCTCGCCCTGACCATCCTCGGCACCCTGGTCTTCATCCTGGGCTTTGGCAGCACCTGCGCCACCGTCATGACCGTGTGGACCCGTACCTGGTGGTCGTTCGCACGCGAAAACGGCGTCCCCTTCTCCGGCACCATGTCGCGCATCAACGAATACTACCGCCTCCCCGTCAACACCATCTGCTTCTGTTTCGGTCTGCTGTGCTGCCTGGGCCTGATCGAACTTGGCTCCAGCACCGCTCTCAACGCCATCCTTGGCGGCCTGATCCTCTGTCTGTACTCGTCTTACTGTCTCGCCATCCTCGGCCTGCTCATCGGCCGCAGGAAGGCGTTGCGGAAAGACCACTACCTCAACCTGGGAAGGTTCGGTACCGTGGTCAACGTCGTTTCGGTCGGCTGGATCCTCATGATGATCGTCTGGCTGTCCTTCCCCCTGTACCTGCCTGTCACCTCGGAGTCGATGAATTATGCCTCGGCCGTCTTTGCCGCCGTTTTGTTGTGCAGCACCGTCAACTGGTTCGTCTACTCGAGACACATCTACAAAGCCCCTGTTGCCATGTATGAAGATCAAGAGGAGGACCACGAGCACAAGAACGAGAAGGAGACACCGGCCGAGGAGGCTCGGAAACAGAGTGAAGAGGACACCGTCGCCAGCGTGGAGAATTGAACCAGGATTGAGATGGCAGAGGACAGCCCAGAGCAAGATTGCTGGTATTGTATATACTTGATCAGCTTGGGTGGGGTTGAATCCTTGAACATCCTTCAGTCAGATTATATACACTTGATATATTGTGGTCTGTCAGATTATATAGACTTGATATATTGTCGTCTGTCCGATCCAAGTGTATATATTTCTAAACATAAAAACACCTGATGTTCTTGGGTGTACACACACATACGCACGCACGCATATATATACATATACTTAACGTCCTTCTCCCCTTTCATTACTGCCTATCATGAATATGGTCGACCATGGCCCTGACCCTGACCCTGACCCTGACCCTGACTCTGACCCTAACCTTGACCTTGACCTTGATCCTGACCTTGATCCTAATTCGACTGTTGAACACACTGCGAAAATCACCTGGCTGCCTCAGACCAGAACCCGGACCTGGACACGGACTCGAACTCGAACTCGAACTCGACAACCAGATAGCCAGGCCGATCACATAAGCTACTGCTAACTGCAGTGCTCAGCGTTCAGCGTTCACGGTCACTTCATCCTATCCATAACCATAACCATAACCATAACCATAACCATATCATCGCTACCATCGTCAGTCGTCAGGGTGGAAGTCAGGGTGGAAGTCAAGTCGTGGTAATGTCAAAAAGTGATATCTTGCTCCGTGGCGGTATCACACGACTCCACATTCAGACAGACAGCAATATACCTCCTCCCTCCTCCTCCTCCTCCTCCCTCCTCCCTCCTCTCTCATCCGTCCTCCCTGCTCCATCCTCCGTCATCCCTCCTCTCTCCTTCCTCCTGCCTTGCATGTCGTTCAAGTCGACGGACTTGGGTTCCTTCTCACTCCCACTCACGCTCACTCACACTCACGCTCACTCACACTCACACTCACACTCACACTCACACTCACACTCACTCACACTCACTCCCACTCACACTCACTCCCACTCACTCACACTCCCAATAACTCTGGGCATTATTAACTCTGGATATGGTATTTCGTCGTCTGGAGCGGGACTAGGACTAGGACCAGCACTAGCACTAGGTGTCAGGATAGCTGTAGCAAACAAGGCCTGTTTCCTCGTCACCATGCATTCGGTCCAAGTCATGTCCGTCATATCATGTCATGTCGTGTCACCATGGCTTGCCCAGCTCTGGAATTGGTGTTGGTGTTGGCAGCGTTTGAATGAAGACTCAAGGTCATGTCATGTCATGTCATGTCATGTCACCATGACTTGTCATCAGCTCTAGAATTGGTGTTGGCATGTCATGTCATGTCACCATGACTTGCCATCAGCTCTGGCATTGGTGTTGGTGTTGGCAGCGTTCGAACGAAGAGACAACGTAGGTAGGGCGTGTCAAAGGTTGAAATGTTCCATGTTCCATGTTCCATGTTCGCTATCAAAGTGGTATGGTATGGGGAGGCCCAGACTATATATATACCTTAGGTGTGCATATACCGGCCTTCTGGTTAAAGGGTAAGGGCAAGGCTGGGAATGCCTAAATTTAGTGCCTAAGGTACAGTAAGTTTGACAAGGGGTAGGGGAAACTTTCAGATGGTACTTTGGTATAAAGGACAGAGTACGGAGTATACTATATACCATTTACCATATACCATATACCATATACATACCCCATACCACCGAGTATTCAGGTCAGGTCAGGTCAGGTCGGTCATGGAATAAGTAGCCGGGCGGATATTAGTATATACATATCCTAAGGTAGGGGGAATGGTGAATCTCCGAGTCACTTAGCCCGTACGTGATGCCAAAAGAATAAACATGCTTTGCTGAACACGCTTTGCGAAACACGCTTGCTAACCACGCTTTGCTAACCACGCTTTGCTAACCACGCTTTGCTAAACTCCTTTGCTAAACTCCTTTGCTAAACACGCTTGCTAAACTCCTTCGTACTTGGGTGGTCGTACTTCACTCCCGTCCCTCTGCTAAAGACAAAGGCTCCAAGTACAGCCGACCTGCCGATCAGTGGCTTTCCTCATCGACCACATCCTCACATACAACCTCCATTCCCTCCATCACTCCCTCCCTCGATCTAACAGTTTTCCGCCTCTCTATTGAGCTGAACACCTGCCGCTCAGCGCCTCTTTCAAGTTCTCCCGGCCTGTCTCAATAGCTTGACTCACCGCCGTGGCGGACTCTTGCGAACACAACGCCATCTGACATCACCCTTGGACTATCCCCCGACTCGTGCTCAGAATGCGGTGATTTTCGCATAGCGTTGTTCGCCGTCAATGAACATACGCCGTTCCAATTCCGCCATCAATCTGCATGATGCTCACTTGCGCTTCGGCAATCATTGGAAGACGCCTGTCCCAAGTGACGCAGACCCATCATCGCTACGGTTGGCGCCATCGGCGAGCCCGCGCATAATTTGCAACAGCTTCTAGTCATGCATGGTTCAATGCATGGAGAGCACGCTTGAAATCCGGCTTCGTGCCCGTGACGGGCGCATGCTCTTCCCGAGGCAGAATCGATCGCGGTCGGGATTGGGGGTTTCCTCAGCATGGCGGCCGGCTCGGCTGGACCGTTCTGCACACCAAAGAGGGCAACCTCGGGAAGGCCAACCGTCGAACTCGCAAGGCTCGCAAGGCTCGCAAGGCCGCTGCCAAAAAGGCGAAGGAAACCCCAGAGAACGAAGAACAAGTTCTGGAAGCAATGGAAGGTGATAACTCTCTTGAAGCCGCCGAATACCGCTGGAAATACGCCTTGTTGACGACTGCCGGTAGAGTTGGTGTGCAACCGGCACATTGAATACTGCCGTCGAATGCGGTCCTTTGTTAAGTAGGTGGCACCTATCCCCAGATATAGGAACAATTGCGTCTGGAAGGGTCAACTTACGATCAGCAATGTCAAGGAGTTCGTTCGCGGTCGTGGAGCTTCTTGCAGCACACTACTTGATGCGTACACACCTGGACGCTCTTTGGTCCTTGTTGCAATCACCTCATTCCATCTGAAAGTTCGGCCGCGCGAGGCTGCGAGAACCATGGCCGCTGACTTGACGCGCCAATTCAGTTGGCTGCGTCGGCGCATGCTGCGCTGGGCAACAAGATGAGCGATGTGCCCAAGTCGAGACAGTACAGAAAAAGCGCTGCGTCATCGGCCGTTCTCGGGCGGGTTGTCGTAAAGTGAGTCGAGCCGTCGACGAGGCACTCATGCTCGGCTGCGGGTGGGATGGACTGGCGCACATGTGGCTTCATACTCGCGATAACAACAGCTCTTCCTCTGTAGACCAGACGTCCAGTTCCCAGACAGTGACTGCGGCTCACGACGATCAAAACATGATCCGTTGAACAGGGGTAGTGTCGACAGCAATGGTGTCTGATCAGACGGCATATTTGAACTGTTGATACATCGTCACTTCTGCGCTGCTCCTCAGACCGCAACAAATATACACGTCCCGACAAGAACTTCCGCAAGCCAGCGGCGAGAATGCGAGAAGCCTACTTATTGCTTGCATGCTCTTGCTTTGCTTGGCCGGTTGTATCAAATCCAAAAGTCGAAGTCGCCCTTGTGTAGAACTTTGTCGAGCTGATTGCGCCAGCTTGTCTTGCATGTTCCGCGATCTTCCTTTTCACCGCCTCCAGCTGCGCCTGGCGCCGAAGCGCTTTGGTATCGGCAACCAAATCGGCCACCTCCTGGTCGTCTCGGTTGAGGTTTTCAAAAGGGTGAAGCAGTGAACTGAGCTGAATGCGTGAGACAAATCAGCTCAGCCTTCTTTCTTGATAGGAGCGTAGATGTCATCTCCGTGCCGTCGAGCACGCGCTACACGACGATGGCGTCAGAAACGACTCCGCCGGTGTTGAAGTACTTGAATACCATGCCAGTGTGCGTACTCCGCATCCAGTTCCCCGTCCAGCTGGTGCTTTTCGATAGATGCAAGCTCAAAGTCAGATGCGCATGCGCGAAAGCCCAGGAGGACAAGATCCGATGGCTCTGGATAGACTCGACTGCGACAAGAACGCTTTGATGTCATCCTTCGTGAGTTGCCGGAGGACGGCGGCAGTGAGGAGATTGAACCACCTCGCCGACGCCCGGCCGAACTCATTGAGCCGCAACCGCACATGAGGGATGCTTCATTGGTGGAGCGAGGAGCATCTTGTAGACTATGCCGTACAGTAAGTCAGCTTTATATCAAAGGGAACAGAGTGGCCGAGGTGTCGATATCAATCAATCAATTGGCTGACTGACTGACTGGATGCGCACTGCGGTCGAATGCTCATGTATGTACACTGCCTCCTGCTTGATCTTGATCTTGGACTGATGTTCAGACCTGGGTGGGAGTATGTTGCCACTCCAAGCCTTCCTGTCACGCCCATGACTTCCCCTCGTGGAGAACTACTAGTCATGTCCGTATCCGCACCCCTTCGAGCATCTGGTGACATGTCCACATCCTCTCCGATCTCCTCACGTCATATTGGCATACCCTCCGCTCTCTTGGTGTGATGTTCTCAAGCAACGTGGTCACTTCTGGTACGATTTTCCGTTCGGTGCGGTATAGCGAGCTCCTCCACTTCCACTGTTGTAGTAAGAGCTGCCATTGCCGTTGGAGTAGTAGTAAGAGCCATCTAATGTACCCGGTTATTGGCAGCCCAAGGACGACAGGGCGCACCTGCGGCAGGACTCACTCGAGTTGGAGTAGTGGTAGGCCGAGCCCGATGGCTGTGAGCGTGTATCGTAGCTATTGCCCTAATTGAAGAAAAGAGTACAGCCGTCAGCTCCGGATAGCTCTGCGCGTCCACCTAACAGCAGGTAGTATGTAGGAGAGATAGATGCCTGGCTGTTGACCCCACTGCCGGTGACGGTGTAGGGAGTGTAGGAGCTACCGGAGGAGCCGGAGCCGGAGCCGGAGCTAGAGGTATTCTTGCTAGACATTGTCGGTGACCGAGGTTCGTTCTGCACAAGTAATCTGCTGCGTAGAGCGCAAGACTTCCGTCGAAGGGATGAGGTAGAGTTGTACTCCGTACTGTGTCGGGCAGTGTGAGCTGGAAAGAGGGGAAGCTGAGGGGAAGCAGCTTTTACGGGAGAGTACTCACGCATAAAGGCTCTATGCGGTGAAGTATAGTGACAATATCTGTTCCTACCTCAGCCTCGTCAGCCTTACTGGGGCACCATCAGCATCAACCGGGTTCACTTCTACAAAGTTGATTCCACGAAGCTCTTCCTGTTCGCGGACCGCCTTATTCTCGCAACATAGCATCACTGCGAGCATAGCAAGTCACTGGTGACATTTCATCAAGGCCTGAAAGGTAGAACCCTTGTGTCATTGACTACAACATGCGGCAAGGTGCATCCGCCGGGCATCCCTCATTCGTAAGCGAGTCGAGCATCTCGTTTACGGCATATCCTCCCAGTATCACAATGAGAGCATCTGTTTCCTCGCTAGTATGTGACGGCGATTGCTATCATCCAATGATGCCCTCGGCAGTTTGTAAGTTTAATTGAAGCCACAAACGGAAGATAGCAGAGGTATTGTATTTATTCGCCATGACACATCGAATTCCCCCTGGCATTTCATTGTTGGGTCTAGCACTTAATAACTGTGCCTATACTATGATGAACTCTCATCTTGACGTCGAACCGAGACGAATACTGAACACTCGAAAATGCCGTAAGTTGAAATGATGTGAAATCGAGGATGTGCTCCCACTCTGGCCAAAGTTGACCAACCCTTCTTGATCTCTCAGTTCCTGCGAGAGTCGAAATCCCGGCTCCACTCATAACAAGCCAACGCAGACTCTACCGCCTTCGGAAATGACACTGGTCAAAGATGCAACTTCTGCGACCGAAGACCATGTCTCGCAACACCACACTGACGTTCCAAAGTACGGAGTCGCACTCGGACTGCCTCAATCAACGACAAATGCATGGTCTTCGCCCATAACGCCAAATGTCCTGCCAACCAAGCCATACGAAGTCTGGTTTTGTTGCCAGTGCGGGAACGGCCCTATGAGCACCAAACTCAATGATTTCTGCTCACTCTGCTATGTGAAACGTTGCAATGACTGCAAACTCAGAATCAGAAAATAGGAACAGGAAAAGAGCCGTCAGATACAATTTGCTATATCTTTACAACATAGACATAGTTCATGAGCCGCTTCGTGGGTGACAAGCTTCTGCAAGGAGCAATTTGAGGTACAACTGGATAACATTCAATAGAATGCATCAGTAGCCGTACAAATGAGTCCTTTCAGTTTTCAGACCACTTTTCCCCGCTCGATTGTGCTTCTCTGACTGCCACGCTCGACTGTCCTAGCAACTAATCAAGCTTTTCGGACCGATCACACAGGTCGAACAGTCAGGTAGCCCACCCTGTTCTGGGATGTGGTAGGGCTCAAGGAACAGGTCATAAGACAATCTGATGGAAGTAGCTCAGCACTGCGCCGCATCGGTGCTTCTGCGTCCCATTGACGTCAAGGCTAGGCTGTCGCAGGATTAGGGACATTGAATCTGAATTTGAGCAGGGGTCCAGGATTGACACAGACTATGCGGTGCAATAAGAATGGGTGCATTAAGGGAGAGGATCAACCTGAAGACAATATGACAGAAGAAAGAGCGACAAGTGTGACGAGGTCTAGTGATCAAGACCACTCAGCTGCATGCAACCGTCTCTTGCCGGACATGCAGCGAGCTGACAGACACCAACAGGGCCATTGTGCAAGAGCAGATGTTGGCAATGGCCGTTGTTAGGCATGACTTGCAGGCCAAACATTTGGTGCAGGCGGGTTGAGGTAGAAACTTCATCGCCGATGAAGACGGGCGTTATCAGCAACTGTACTCTCCGGAGGGAGCACCGAGATGCATAGCCGCATTAGCGCTCTCCAGATTGTTTGCCCAAACCCTCGCTCCTGATGACAGAAAAACTATCTAGCAGAGGAGTCCTGGCAAGTGTGGTGATGGTAGCTGGTCGGACTCACAACAAATGCGGGCAATTGTACAATCGCTCATTTTGCCTGTGTCACCTTGTTTCCTTTCCAGTTTTGATTGTCTTGTTTGCTTCTGCCGCCTAAATCGGAATGTGTGTTTGGGCTGATTGACTCACAGTCGAATCCGAGGGCCCTTGACATGGCTAGGTCCTATGAATCCCTTTTCTCTTTCGTTGTGAACTGTGTGCTAGACTAGCCTCTTAGACACCTCTTCGAGTCGCTTTGCCCTACCATAGGACTAAGCTCGTCTAGTTCGCATCGCTCGGCTCAACTCGCCGATCGTCTCGTGGGGCGACGGGGCCCTAAGGGCTCAGACGCGATGGGTGGCGACGGTAAGGTGGAGCGTGCGAGGGCAGCCGAAAGTATCGATAGTAGATAGCAGGATCGACGGCTAAGGGGCTCCTCTACGGAGTACCAGCATTGAATTTCGGGCGGAGAATGCGACATATGTATCCGTACAGGTAACACAGATGACAACAATTTGAAAGCGAAGGTGTTTAGAACAGAACCAGCCGAGGCAGATCCAAGTTCCAAATTCCCTCGATGTGCGTGCGCCAAGACAGAGACTCAGAGCAGCTACGTCCACGTGATCAAAGCTGGGGTCTACCTATAGTACGGAGTAGATGTCCGCAGCTTGGATAAGTCTTGTCTCTGTTCGCTGTCTCTCCTCTGTCATCCGTACCTTATGTGAGGCTGAATTTCTGCAGTGCAATTCACACCCTTTACTGATACAGCACAATCATCCTCAACCACTACGCCGAGAGGCCCTATGCAACCTCCAATGGACGAGGCCACTCATGGCCAATTCATACAGCCTCCAGAGTTGTCTCCGGTAATTCACCTGTCTCGTTGTGTCTTCTACGTCCAAGGATAACTGAGAAGTGGCTAGATCCTTGGTGACAACGAACAACTCCAGCCCACTCAAGACCAATTGAAGGCTGCAGTCCAAAAGAGCCGCGAGTACTGGCACCAGCTTGTGGCCGTGGCCCTCTCCCAACATGGGAGTGGTCTCTCCCCATCCTCCACCAACCCTCAAAACATGCTCAGCCGTGTCCCAGCAATGCATGAAAAGCTTGCACATAGTAGTGAAATCCGCTACAGTGCGTCCTCCAGCGATGTCCTGTGTACCGAAACATCCTCAACTTGGGCTGTCCTCGGCGAGAGTGGCTGTGGCATCACCGAAAAACGCCAGACAATCGCGGAACTGGTGCAAATTGGCACTAGCGGGTCGATACCATGCAGGTTTGAAGGTCCAAATAACCGATGGATTGGCACAACGGACGAGAACAGAGACGGTGATAATTATATTGGAGTGTTGGCCATGGGGTGGGCCTACATACTATCTGCCCGGCTAGTGGAGATGCAAGGGGAGGGCGCCAGAATGAGATACACAAGCGCGAGAACTCGAGATCGACACCGCGGACCTTGTGGTGGAGTTCTTGATATCGGTGTTGTGGACGAGAACACCCTTCGATGGTGGGAGGCTATTCTATCACGCGGCCAAGGTTGGGAAGCCCTCATCGCTCGCCGTCCTGGAGGAACATACCTTGCCCCATGGTCAATTTCCCGCACAGACACATACAAGATGGACCTCAAATTTACATACAAACATTGGACATCCCACCCGGAGACTACCTACGGGGCCCTCTCTTCTAGACAGGCTTTCGAGGTTCTGTCGTATTTCGCTCTCATCCACAACCTGGGTAGTCAGTTCCTCATCGCGCTTACTACGGCCCTTACCTTTCCGACACACAACTGCCACGGCTCGAGCATTCTATTACCAATCCCCCCAACCACATCTTCAGCCTCGGACTACGACCATGTCGACCCAATTACACCTGAGTGGAAGGCGGCATATGACAAACTTCCTTACTATATGAGCTTGAGTTGCAGCCCTGAAGTGGTCATGTCGAGCCTCTGCGGGATGTTCTGGGAGGATGGTGTACCGTGCAATATGGTCAGCCCTTGGCTACACCCTGTTTTGAATGAACTGCCAGCAGCCAGCTGGGTCGTCGACACTCCCGGTCTCTATCACGACATTCTTGCTGCTATTTGTCGCTTCCGCCGCCCATGTATCTCAGCACTTTGGCTTGGAGCAACTGCCAGTGGGCTAATACCAGTCGTCCTTCGTCGACTCAGAAAGGGCAATCCTCTACTCCATGTCAACGGCTATCCATGGACTGGTTGTCCTCAGTCATTCATGGACATTGCTGGTTCAGGATCATATATCTGTGAAGGGACGAATGACAAGATCCAAAGGGCCGACGTCTGGCGCCTACTTTACCTTCCCCCAGTCGTCGACGATGAGCTAAGTTACGAAGATTTTCCATACGCACCCTGGGCGCCTCCTGGCCACTCTACTTCGCAAAATTGTGTCTTGCGAGTTGCCTGTCATCTACACTGTAAGAGGCACCGCCTGGAATACCTACACTGGCAATGGACGCTTCGAAATGGTTCCGTCGTTAAAGACCAGGGCTTCAACACTCATCCTATCGAAGGCTTTTTAGAACATTGCACTCCAGGAATTCAGCAGAGGTTACCCATCGAGTTTCCGGAGAAACCACTTGATCAGGAAGCGTCGCGGAAAGCCTCGAAGGAAGTCTTTGAATGGGCTATCGTCAATGGCGAAGATATTCCCCCGGAGGAGGTATACAGCGATGACTGGATACATGGTGAGGCTTAGGATGACAGCGACGAACGAGGCATAGCAGACGAAGATGCGCACCAACAGCATCCCTTCTCTCTCTCCAAAGGAACGGCAGAGCGAATTAGGAGATAAGTCAGCACGGCTCAAGGGTCTCCTTTCTTTGTCCGAGGCCCAGGTTATTCTCTTCAAAGTCTGAACACCATCATGTCCTCATCTCACAGCTCCGGGCTGAAGTAACTTGGACCACACTCACAACACTGTCAGCAGTTTCCGTCTCCCTCCAGCTGGGAATACATTCTCTACGTCTTGTACATCAGAGTGGCTCAAATGTGAAGCCAAAGCTTACCTAATGCCTTTTCATTACCGGGCCGTTGGCGAAGCCCTTCTCTTCATGACTTATACTGCAAATCTACAACATCTGATTACAGCCTCAGAGTGGACGCCTACACACCTTCCCACTCCTCCCTTTTAAGCCCTTGAAAAACATGGAAACAGTGCATCATTCGTCGCAATGAGCAGTTTCTAGGGCTGGCAAGTGGTGCTTTGAAAGTCTCGCATTTTACGAAACTCCGCACATTTTTTCTGGACCGAAAATGACACGAGTGAGCGGCTGGTGGATATGCTGGGATGTCTAACCCGCAACCTTCTACACCAGTAATTTGGACGATCAATATCTGACAATCACTATCGACAAGACGCGATATGCCCCCTATTGTCCGCTCGGCACCATCTTCCTTCTCGGTTTGCGCCGTAAGATGGATGTCGAAATGTGTCTTGTCGAAATGCCCGCCTGTATGGGGATCCTCGATGGGAATGCTCGGGTTCACTGGACGCCTCCGCTTGACTGGGGTTATCTCGACAACGAGATTTTCGTGGTCAACAATACGCTTGGCTTTGACCTCGTCAACTTTAGCCGAAGCTTTCTCTCTGGGCCTTTTGACTCTGCCACCGGACCTCTCATTGCTCGGGACCACGCTTTCTACTCTTCCCTGGAAATTTGCCGAGAGGCCAACCTTCAAAATTATTTCGCCGGTTCAGACGAGCCACATGACTTGATACTATCAGGTATTGACAGCATGCAGTGCCGAGGGTCAATCCAAGACGAATCCACGAGGTGTTTACCCGTACGGCAACTCTTCGGGCTTGCAGTGTTTCATGAATTCATCCAGTGCCAGTCTACAGTGTTCTGGTATCAGCTCAAACCCACAACTCACGATACTTCTCATTCCGCGAACTGGCCTATGCAGTCTTATTTTTCGCTTACGGGCAGTTCTACATGGACCTACCTTCCAGGTCCGCCGGCGACCGTGATACTCACGAGGGAACCGGTTTCTTTCTAGACGTGGACCCAAACAACGATCCTCTCCTGTTGCCAAAGCTCTGGTCAGGATGCCGTGTGAAAGATGAGAACCGGGCTCATCGTCTGAAGGGATCATGCATTGGTTCCAGGGCGTGTTGATTAGCCAAGTGCCCGCTAATGCCCTGAAACTTGACATTGAATCCATCGTTGGCAAGACCATCTTGTTCGGTCGACAGTTGGGTAAGCCTGACTTCCAAATCGGGCTCTTTTCCATCTATTGGGCAGTTCTGCTCGAAGTCCACGACGCTCCTATTCCTAGGATTCGACGTTCCGACATCATGTCAATCTGCGATCCGTCTTCTGGCGAGATGAGATGTAAAAGCAACAAGACCAAGGAAGCCGACACCTGTACATGTTCTCGGACTGACCTCCTCTCGACAATTCACTCCGGATTTGTGGCCTTGCAGGATTTATTCGGCATTGCTTCACGCCGGGCGGTCTCCAGCCGTGGCCATGGGCGGCTCCCTGGCGAGGTTTATGCGGAGAATCTGCAGCACTGCGACCACGAGACCTACACCTCAAGCAAATGTGCTTCGAGGACATTGCAAGCCTTATACGATGCGCCTTTTCCTTTTCCAGCTTCCAGTGCACTGAACGTTGTTAAGCGAGTACCCAGCCATAAACAAGCCTCGAATCGAGAATCGGGGGATCCGGTGGGCCACATCGAACTGGCGGATCTTTGAACTTTCCATGTTTTGAAAATGGCCGCCCTCAACATTCTGCAATCTGATATCCAAGACGAGGGCAGGATAGTTGCAGAGGAAGACAAGACGAAGACCAAGATGCAGAGAAGCCTACAAAACAGTGCTGTCATTGGAGATCACTCTCGGGCCAGTGTTGTTACTCAAACCTGGTATCTTCCATCACTTCACCCGATCGTCAGACCTAGGTTGACGCCGAGTATGGCACAGTCCAAAAAGCCAGTCCTCTCCACATAACCCTTTGCAGACCCAAGACAACGTCTAGGCATGCCGAAGGATGGATTGGAGACATATACCGACACCGACATTGCCGAGGGTGAAGTTGGCATGAAGGGGCTTTCCTCCCGTGCCGACTATGTGCTGGATCTGGGTCTGGGCTGTGGATTCTTGTTGGAACGAAGGTGGAGGGGTAGTTGGGCAGGGTTGGGGGATGGTGTCACGGCCAGACCATGGATTATGTGGTTGAAGAGGCACGAGCGGCCAGGCAAGTTTTTGCTTCAGAGGTATCTGTCTGATGGAGCGTGACTCGGCGAACATGTCGCTCCTCTGAGAGACGAGACACGAGACACGAGAGACACGACCCGGCAGTAGCCAGTAACAGTACACAGTATACAGGTCAGCCACGCGAAGACCACGATTGATGATAGGATGGAGTTAGGGATGTTTTTGATAGTAATGCGAATGCGAATCCGACTTCATTTTCAAATCTTATTTTTGTTGCCTGCACTTCCTCTGGCTGCAATCTCCATCAGATCAAGTTCTGCAGATTATGAGGGTGAATCGAGGGAGGCCTCGGCCGTTGGTCATTTAGCATATATATCATATCTACCGTAGTACCTGACTTCAATGGCCATCAAAGGCTCACTAGACATGGAAATCCTTGCTCTGTGTAGACATCTGATGGGTGGTAGCAAAGCTTTACCACCTACTGAATACTGACTGTACTCCGTACTCCGGACCTAATCAATGCACAAGCCGAGGCCTACAGTAAGCCCCCCGAGCGGACTGTAAATACTGTATGACCATCGCCACCGCCGCCGCCGCCGCCGCCCTGCCACCGGGCATTAACCACTGAGCGTAGAAAGTGCTCCAGCATCCCGAAGCTCAGATAGCATTCACGGTCCCCCAGGCGCGTTCGGCCAACCATGCTATCGGAAAGAGTCGAGGAGAAATGCTGCGAGGAAGATAGGAAATCCAGTCCATCTCGTCCGCATCGTCAGGCGTCACAGATCGCGTCACTTTGGCGGCTTCCCACCAATCCGGGTACAGTCCACTCTCCTCCCAATCAACGATCCCACTCACGCGAGGCATCTCTTCGGGGTCAGTGTATACCGCCCGCACCATGATATTGCTTAGTCGAAGATCGCCATGGGTAAAGACAATGGACGACTCCTGTGATTTCCAGAGCTTCCGGAACAGACGAACATAAGGCTTCGATGCATAGTGCGGGTTGGAGAGCAGGAAATCGACAAACTGTGGACAGGAATATAACTGGGTCTTGGAACGGTGTGTATAACGCCTGGTGTGCCTGCAACCTTCTCCGGCCGTGCCTCCCAGCGGTAGAGGTAGAGTGATGGGCACCCGCATCTTGGTGAGAATGGTGTCTAACTGCCTTCTGATGAATATCTTTTTCTCATCGCTGAGGTAGTCCCAGACTCTGTCGAGACTAACTCCAGGAATGAATGACATGAATATGTAAGTATGGCGGGAATCTGAAATGACACCAAGAGGCCTCGGGGCTGGGACCTCGGGGTGGTTCTCTTGCAGAAATCGCATACTCGTGTACTCGGTGTAGTCTGACGTGGCTCGGATGACTTTGAGGACAATGCGGCGGTTACACTTGATCACAGCGTGATCAGGTGCAAACTCGGACTGCCACAGTACTTTCACTCGTTGGATGACCCTCTTGATTTTGCTTACAACCGCGTCTGCATCGTGACCTGCAAGTTCCAGTAACAGGAGCACACTTTGTGCCAGTGGAAAGGGAATGTCAACGGTACTATTGTCCTGTAGTTAGGTAGCATCATGGACAGCTTCTTGAGGACTTTGGCTCTCATCCTCATCTGTGGTTTCGGCCTCCACTCGCTCTCCATATACCTTCTGCTCATATATCTTCTGCTTTTGGAGACGTGAGGAATAGTCCATCGGGAACCAGGATTTAAGGTCGACGGTGGGATCCTCCGCAAACGCATTTTGCACTCTCTCTAGGACTCTGGCGTTGAAGAGGGCGGACGAGTCTCGGGGGCCCCTTGGGTGAGGCTGCTCTGGTGGGGGGTGATCCATACCGGCGAGAATGGCTTCGATTGGTCTTTCATGTAGGCTCTTTTGAGACTTCACAACGATGTATCCGTACACTGGGTGACCGTCAATTACGCGAGAACGTTGACAAAATCACGGACAATACTAACAGCCTTTTTGCCGAGAGCCAGGTCTGTCTCCGTCTCCGTCTTCAACCTCAGCCGACGAGCGTTCCGAGCGAGAGCGTTTGCCTCGAGTCATTTGTATGATGGGTCTTCCAGAAGTGGGACTCCTCAACTGAATCGGCGATCAGGTTCGCTGGGATGGGAATCTTCGTCTTGGTTGTAATATCGACTGCTTAATATCGACTGCCTGAATGCGTGAGAGCGGAGAGGGAGGGAGGGAGGGAATGAGGGAGGCAGAGAGTTAAAGAGAGAGATACTGCGTGACGTAAGATGCAGATTGGTTGGTTGGATGGTTGGAGTGTGAGCCTTAGGCTGAGGCATCCGCAGTCCAAGACCCCTGATCCTAAGGACCGCAGGACCACCGCACCCCAGGGCCAGAGGCGACATCCTAGTAAGATTGACCACCATCCAACCCTACGCCGGAGCTCGCCTTCAGACCTGAGACATGAGACCTCAAGGCGGCCACCTCAGACGGACACTGCGTCGCTTGAAAGCGTCCAAACTCCCAGATTCCCACGCATGGCGACTGGCGAGATCGAGATCTGATCCCAATCCCAATCCTGGCATCCCTGCTACTGCCACTACCACGACTGCTTTCGGCCTTGCACAGCGCGTTACCATTGCTGTCAGTTGGTTGCAAGACTGCCACTGGCGCTAGCTAGGACAGATGACAGGTACTAGAGGCCAGAGAACTGCAGACAGAGGTCACCGCATGTGAGGATCCTCCAATGATCTATACTCTTTCCTTCCTTGCATTCGAGTAGGTTTCTCCTGGACACCTTCAGCCGCGCCACCGACGTTGCTGGCTCCCTTGATTCATTCATTTCACACGGCTACCAACAGCATTCTCTTATCGCCCGTATTATCCTATATCCTCGAGGTCGATTCTTCAACTCGAACTCTGATGTGTTCTCCCTTTGCCATCCTCTGTACTCTTGGGGGCTTGACTGACCTGAACTGGTGCCCAGTACCGACCACTGACTGCCCTCCCGGTTCCTCATAGGAGCCTCGACAGCCGACATGGCCTGCGCGGTCAAGATCCCCGATCTTTTGAACCCATCTGATTCCGTGGATTCCCCTTCTCGCCGGAAGATGAGCGTGGACAGTCTCCTGAACCCATTGCCGAGTCTCGCGGAAAGCGAAATTCGGAGTGGACAACGAACAGATCTCCCAGAGACTTTTTCGCCTTCCGATCAAGCAGAGACAATGATGGCGAGACCACATCTCTGTCCGGATCAGGGACAAGCCATCACCGTCCTCGATACAGCCGGGACTGAATCGAGTGGATGTCCTCTGGCTCTCAAGGTGCTCACCCAACCATGGTCACCAACCGTCCATGCGACCCCGTCAATCAATCAACCAGACTCCCCACCAACCATCTCCCAGACATGCAATACGGAGGAGGCATTGCCTGTGTCTGTTGACAAGACTGATGGACCGGTCGATCGTCGATCATCGCCACATCGTCACGACCTACCCAAAGGCACGCCACCCAAAGGCACGCCACCCAAAGGCACGTCACCCAAAGGCACCACCGGAACTACCATCATCCAGACACCAGGTGGGATTGACCAGGGGCGAGAGATAGTGTTCCAGTTGGCTCTGTCCACCGAGCAAAGCCCTCCTCTCGTACCTGTGCCGAGCACCGTCACGACTAAGTCACAGGCCGGGGCGAAAAGACGCAATGCCGATGCAGCGGCGCGATATCGAGCCCGGAAGAAAATGAAAGACACGCCGGCGGAAGTTGCAGCAACGGCCCAAGCTGGCACTGGCAACAAGAATGACCTGTCACTGGAATGTTGAGGTATTGGCCTACTTCAGGGAAGTGTCGAATCAACTCAGGTATCGAAGGATCCGTGTGGGCCCAGTCTGAGGCCTGTAGAGCAATCAAAACGCAAATCTGTCCATTGCAGGGTTTTTTTTTGGTGACCGGGTGAGCTGGGCATTCCTAAATCGGCCCCCTTGCTAGAGACTTTCCTGGGTTCGTTGTCCTCCTTTCGGGCCCTTCCCCAGTTCCAGGTCTGACTGAAAAGTAACGGACCCACGTCTTCGACCATCCCTGTCTCCGGTAACACGAAACCGTCAGCTATACTCACCATTGGACCGTTATTAGTTGTAAGTCAAGTGGTTGAGTTCGTTGGTCCAGATCGGACATCCCTCCATTGTGGGGGAAATGTAATTTTCAAGTGGCCGAGGTGTGGAAGAGGCACTCTGTCGATGTAACTGATCCAGGACTGTGGTGTAGACAGACGTGGCTGCTGTCGGTCAGAAACCTGTGACCTCATTCGCATCTCGAGGCTCTGATGCTGACGCTGGCGCTGGCTCTGCCGGTGGTCTCCTAGTCGCTGTTCTTGACTCAGACGGGCTATGAATCCTTCTTTTGAACCCAAGTGAAGTGTGAGCGAGAAACTATCTACTGGTACCATCGAACACAACATGATTGTCGGGACGCTGGCTGTCCAGAGAGGCGGACTAGGACTGTAGTCTGTAGTTCCCGTTTCGAATAGGGCGGGGGGATGCGCTGCTCAGATCGCCGATCTCTCTAGCAGACACAGACAGCCTGTGGACATCCGGAGTCTATCTCGGATGTCTAGCTTGACCCCAAAGGCGCTCCAATTATAGGCTGATCGTCAAGCACAGAGGCTCGTACCTAGTGCGCAACTCACATCATCGATCCAGTCCTGGCATGATGCTTCCACCGACGGAATCGGGGTGGCGAAAACCAAGTGCGTCTGCACTGGTGAAAGAGGGAAGATGCGGCCCTGGAGCAGGTGCTGGACGACCTGGTATCCGTTAGCCTTGTGAGACCCATTTCATGTTCAGAGAGATTGAGTTGGAAGGCCTGAGCCTGAGGAGCTGCTTCGATATGTGTAGTTTCCCTTCGACCGTGCTACCTCGACAGATGTCGCGAGAGTGTCAAATCTGAATGCTTTTTGGAGAGTGGATTTACTGATACCCACCGGGTATTGTACTCCACGGCATCTCCATCATTGCACCCACGAGACACTTCGAGGACCCAACGATCCACCTGGTCCACGCGCTATCGCCCTTGTGGGAACTGGGGAAATCTGACCGCAGACCGCTTCCCACTATTTGTTTCTGTCTCCACCTGGAGATCCGATCTTGACTGATGTCAGTCATTGCGTTCTAGCAAGACTGGGTACTCGTAGTGAAAGAATATTCAATCCCTTCTCGGGGTTGATATCTCGGTATCAGCACCCCATACAATCTTCTCTTTCCCCGGTTCTGCTTGTCGTGATCTCCGGTCTTGTCCAAAACGCACTGGATAATTGTTGAAATTCCGGTGGACCCTGGAGCGTGACAGGATATCAACTGCAGGGCCCAATTCAACCCAAGCGTTATTGGATGTTTGCTGAGTCCCCATCTGCCTTCCGTGACATTGTCAAGCTCTTCATCATGCCTCTGATTTCGTCCAATCCTTCTTGAAGACTCGGCTGAATGCACAGAAGAACGATCGACGGCTTCGATGATGAGGGAACGAAGTATAAGAGGTTGGCGAATGGTCAATATGAGGAGACTGGCTCAATTCGAGGGTGGGAAGCTTTAGCATCGCTTCCAGGAGGTTGTTCAATTGGCGATATTTTGCAGAGGCAGCCTCCTCGGCCATTGCGGATGGCATTGTAGAACGATGTAGGGGAGCAAGCATTATGCCGGTGGAGAAGAGAGGATTGTATCAAGGCATGGTTCGGGTGAATGGTTCCGCAATATCAAACCTTTTTTTTTCTGGCGACTCGTTGGGACTGCGCCGAGTTTCTGTTCCAAGGCATCGACGCTCCGGGTTTGGAGGGTTCGTCGTATTACGACTCTGGATACGTGCAGCCGACAAAGTCATGGCTAGATGCCCATACCTAACAAGTCATCAGGCGAAAGTCCTAATGATATCAAAGTCATTTGCGTTCCGCAGCAGCCCGGAGATGTATCCGTGATAGTTAGTGATACGCCATAGTCGTCCTAGCACCGTTCGCCATACTTTCCAGAAATGATCATGAGATCATTGAAGTTCTTCCCCAACTTGAACGCATTCGAGAATCGAGCAAGCAAGCCTTCGTGGCCGAACATTCGATCAACGATGCATTCGCCATGCCTGCAACCCTTCCCTACTGCAGGGGGAATTCACGTACCAGGAAGCCTCACAAAGAGGGACGAACACCCTCCTTCATCTGCCGTACCCGCAGGCGCAGTGCCAGTTCTACAACCACATCTACAAACGCCAACTCCTGGTTGAAAGGCGAGTTGCACATCACCTTGGGCTACCCTCCTCTTCACCATGCCATTTATCACATGTAGAAGATCAGATATATGGCAGCTTCAATCTATGTGTCCTGCTGACCATTGCAAACTCGAAACGCGTCCATTCGATTTCCGCTCCCTTGCCGTGTGAATGATCAAAACGACCCCAGAAATGGTGATGAGAAGCTCCGGTGCTAGGCTACAACCTATACGTGGATTTCGGAGACTTGCCCTGGTGTGTCGGTTCCTCATCCCTATGGCTTTGCACTCTCAGGTGGTCAATATATACATTTTCCCATAACTTGAAGCGACGACAAGAACTCGTTACTAATGCCCCCGTCATAGTTTACCGCTGTCGAGCATCGGCCTCCTCTCCTCGCTTTGTTCCACTACCTCCGCAGCCAGCTCTTCTTTTAGCTCCATCGTCATGCTCCCTCCAACATGACCCCGAATCAAACCAACCTTTCAAATGAACTAGGCGGTTATCTAAAATATATTGACAAGACACAAGGAGAGATCCTTTCAAGATTCTGGGATACTGGTCACACAAACAAGCAACTGAGAAAGAATCTATATCGCAGTTTGTCCCAAGTTATATCAAGAATTGGTCGGGTCATTTCCCTCGAATCAGGTCATTCACTCATCATCGAAGACCAGGGGTTTCTACATTTACGAAACAGACCTCTTACATTGGAGATCCAGGATTTAGAGAAAGATACAATTCCTCTTCATATCCCTCCTAGCCTTGGGCGGTGGCTGAATTGGCTTCGTTGACTTGTAGGTCAAGCGCAGGCAGCCGGCTACAGGCGACAGGCGACAGTCGTGGTTGCGAGACAGGCCAATCGAGATCAGACCATCATCAAGTGCTGAACGATACAGTTGTCTTCCGACATTCGAGCCAGATTTCAGCACTCGGTCAAAAGGTAGGAGCAAGGATCGTGGCGCAGGAGACTGACCCCATGGCTTCAGCAGGCGGCGGAGGCGGCGGAGGCGGTGGAGAAGGAGGATCCTTGTGTGCTAGAGGAAGGTGATATTGAAAAGATTAATCCGAAACTACGACAATTCGAACTACATACAGGCCAAATTCACAACACACCACGGGAGAATGCGGCGGGCACCAAGGGCCAGCGCTCACAAAACACATAGTAGTACTCCGTAGTATTACCTGGTAAGATACCAGCTTTAGTATAGCATTGAAGAATGATTCGCTCCAAGCTCCAGTCGTTGTAAAGAACAAGCTGGCTTTCACACCACAAAAGAACTGTCTGCGATCCTGGCCCAGTATACATCCTGCCATGTGTTTCGGGGGTCGTCGTGGGTATCCATAAGTAACGACCTGGACGTCGATACTTCTTGGAGGCAAAGATATCGTAGCGGAGGGACACATCGTGATGGAAGCAAGATGGGGAAGAACGTGCAAATGGCACGCTGGCCTTGATCTCGCCCAGTTCATGTGGCTCATCCGTTGGTTACTCCCCCTGACCCTCCCGCCTGCCTGTAGCGCCTCACACACTGGCTCACACACTGGCAAGTCTTTCATTCTAGGAGATCTGATTGTGCGGTACGTTGTACCATGTATGGTTTCACCCGAAGCCGGTCCATGCATGTGGAACTGGTCCCCGTCTTGAGTGTTCTCCGCTCAGTCTTCTCGGTAAGAGATCTTACGCATCTCACCCAGCCTAGCCTGCGCAGCATCGAGAGCATTTCTCAACTGAAGGATTTCAACCTGCGGGAGTAGAAGTTAGCGCAGCCCATGCCAACACCCGACCAACCCAAAGCCAGCTAAGACATACCTGTTGCTCCATCTCCCGCACCTTGAATTCATGACCACTGAGACTGCCGTAGTCTACATTCTCACCCTCATCTCGCTGCTTCTGCTTGATAATATCCTGAACTTGCCGGACCAATGCTCGACAAGCCGAACCGACCGCACGGGATGCCTGTTCGAGGCGGTCTTGGGTCTTGGACATGAAACTGGCCTTGACTCGGCTAGCGGCAACCAACTGTGCCGTGCTCGCGGCAACATCGTTGGAAGCCACAATCAGCTGTTCGGGACTGTTTCGACCGCTGATCACACCATCCGCGGTTTCAATCAGTGTGTTTGTCGACGAAGCCACCGCTTTGGCCGCCGAGATCAGTCCTTCGGTCCAGCGGTTGTTCTTCTTGTAGAAGGCTGTGCGGGACGAAGATCCCCGGCCTTCACGCACGATTTCTTTCTGAGAATCTGTGGCAGCCTTGATCAGTTGTGCAATGGCATTGGTCACGGCAACGGCGGCCTCGAGAATGGAATCGTGGATCTTCAGTTCGTAGGTGGAATATCCTTCTCGGGGCTTGTTCTTCAATTTGGCCAACCGCTGAGCGGCGGCGTCGATGGCGTTGGCCGCCTTGGTCAATTCGGAGTCCACCAAATCACCCAAGTCTCCGGTGGTGCTGAGCTTACTGCCCTTTGGTGCAAAAGCATCGGCCAATTTGGAGAGTTTCTGGAGTTTCATCAGGACATCATGATTGTTGTTGATCACGACATCGCTCTTTTGCATGGGCTCCAGTCCTTCGAGCCGGAAGGATTGGAGGTTCCGGAAAAAGGTAATGGTTGCCAGAGCGGATTGTCGAGCGGCGTCAATCAACTGGTCGCCCTTCTTTTCCTCTGTTGCAAACCGAGTTAGACCCTTGGTGTTGGAGAGAACATCAGCAATGGACGCTGCGAAGACCGAGACGGTCTTGATGATATCAGCATGATCGCTGTTTGGCCCCTCGGCCACGAAGTTGTTGAATGCTGTTGAAAACTCGGTCGCGCTGGCAGATGCCTTTTCAATCTGTGACAACACGTAGGGAGCGGTGGCATTCTGATTACCAGCCTGCATGGGAGAGTCGAGTTCGTACATAGCGTCATCCACTCTCTGTACACCACTCTGCAGAACTGAGTCAATGATATCGTTGATCTTGTTCACGTTGGCCTTGAGCACTTCGTCAATGGCACCGTCGAGTGCACCGTCGGTTTCATTGCTGCCTAGCTTGAGTTCTTCCAATTCTTCCAAGGCTTGTTCCATTCCAGACTTGTAGATCTCGATCTCCTCATCTTTTTCACGGAGCGCCTGTTCATGGTCTTCATCGCGGTCGCCATGCTTGGATCGAATCTCCTCGAGCTGTCTCGTCTTATTTCGCAAAGCTTCCTCGAGGTCGGCCATCTCACGATTGTATTTGGCGAGCATCGAAGACAATTCAGACCCCTTGGCTTTCTCCGCCTCTTCGGCACGGTCAATCGCGAACCTCAGCTCGCGTTTCAGCTTCTCGAGTTCTTCACGATGTCCGCCCTGAACACGATCTTTCTCATGCAGAGCTCGGTCACGTTCGCGGATCATGTCGGCCAACTCGAGGTTTTTGGTTTTCATCTCGCGTTCCAGTCGTTCCCGGCGGTCAATGGCTTCTTGGGCCGATGCGGCTTTCAATTTCAGCGACTTTGTGGTTTGGAGCAGGTCCAAATGTTCCTGCCGCAGTTGAGAATACAGCTTTGCGAGCGCCTCATATTTGTGTCGCCATGTGTTGACTTGTTCTTGTAGCGCGGAGATTTGGTCATCTTTCGACTGCGACTGCATTTGGAAATTGTTGTTGAGTTGCTGCAGCTGCTCTTCGAGCGCCTTCATTCTCTGGTCGTATTGCTGAAGCATCAATTGATCTCTTTCGTACTGCGCCCTCGCCGCGAGGTTCTCTCGCTCTAGTTCGGCCATTCGGCCTTGAGTCTGAGCCTGCATTTGATCGCGCATGAGTTGTTCTTGAGCCAAACGTTGCTGCTCTAGTTGCAGTCTTTGTTGATCCTCAAACGCCCGTTGAGCATCTTGTTGCAACCTCATCTGTTCCCGTTGTTGATCCTCCCACTCCTGTTGCAATCGACGTTGCTCGGCCTCATAAGCCTCCTGTTGTCTTTGCGCTTCTCTTGACCAGAAATCTTCCATGTCTTTCGGGTCTGGGATACCATTCTTGGAGACGGGGGTCGGAGCTTTCTCGATCTCTTTGGTCGGTCGTTTAGGCAGAGCCGGGCGCTCCTCTTCCTCGGCCAGCAGATTCGGCGGATCCTGCGGCAGTTTGGGGACGGTGATCAAAGAGGTGAGATAGCGCAGATTCGAACACTCGTAGTAGAACTTGATTAGCCGATAATGTTGACCGTCGTATCGCGTGCGCAAGGGCTCCAGAGCTTCGTCGTCACCGGTTGTTGTGTGCATTGCTCGCAGCATGCTGGTGATGAACTTGTAGATTCCATAACTCTCCTGCACCAAGGGCACCAGGGCAGCGATTCGACATTCGTTATTTGCCCCGCCGCGGAAATGCGAAAAGATAAGCTTTTGAAAGGTGTCGATTTGGTCCTGTAAGGTCATCAAATCCGAGATGGTTTCGTAGCCCTCATTGGGGTCGTTGATGGATTTCAAACTGATGTACTCTTCATATTCAAACAGGCCGTTGAATTCTGGATGCTGCCGGTGGAAGGATAGTTTGGCCAGGAGGAAGAAAACGTATTCTCGAATGAGCGGGCCGTATCCCTTCAGGCCTTCACCCGTAACGCCTCTGGCCAGACTCTCAATCCAATTGACATTTTGTTGCGCCTCTTTGACCGTGACCGGATGGCCTTCCTGCAGCACCTTATGGATGGTGATCAGGGCCTTGAAGGTCTGTACCTCGTCGGCCATGACCGGCTGCACCTTCATCCCGGACCAGAAGGATAGGGAGGACTTGTGGTCCCACGTGTAGACGATACAGCTTCGTACATGTTTGCGCTTGGGGGCGGTCTCTTCGATGCTGGTGGCTTTGCGGATGTTGACGGCGAGCTCGGTTTCGGACTTGGTCATGTCGATGTTGCGGCCGGTGCCGCTGACATGGCCTTGATAAGACATGTTGGGATGGGGGAGGTGGTCGTCGACAGCTTGCGTCCTGCCGAAGCCGTCATAAAGCGCCCCTGTTTTGACCGACTTCCTCCTTCTCTCCGCGACGTGGTAGGGAGCTGCGACGAAGAAGGCCAGCGTGACGGAGTGGAAGTGACTGGCTAATAAGACGTCAAGCGGTGGATTCGATCACTGACATAATCCTAGGCAGACGAATTTCCCAGACCCACGGACTCTCACAAGCTCGTTCGTGTGAGACTGCGCCTTTGAGCCGCGTTGCACACGGCCGATGATCGCAGCCTGTCACGTGTGAAGGCCAGACCAGAGCACGGTGGAGCATAGAGAAAGCTTGCCCACTACGGAGGAACATAAGGCCATTACCACATGATCCTCGAGCTTTATCTCATCTCCTTCTACTTTCCATCATTCTCTCCCTTTTGTTTGTCTCCAAGCCACGCAGCGGGACCTATGCCAGGTAGTGCGGCAATCATCCTGGGCCAAATCTACTCTCCCTTGAGGCGGCTGTGCCTCCACACGTTTCTATTGGCAGGTTTCTAAATGGTACGGACGGTACATATGTGAAAGGCCTGTGGAATTCCCCCCGCTTCATTGATGTCAATTGTGACCACGTGGGCGTTAACATAGCCGATCTCCGCACTGTGACCTGAATAAGCTCACTTTGTGAGTAGCTTGTTTGCTCAAAGAATCTTGGTGTCGATGTCGATATCGATGTCGGCGGACGAAAAGGCAGGCACTGCCGACGTCTGTAGGATCCAATCATATTCGACTCGATACTCACGTGTCTTGCAAGGCCACCAACTTTCGTATAGCCGGGTGCGCTACGAGAGCTTCTTCTTGCAAGCATAGTGGTGTATGCGCGTAGGATCCACGCTTGCTATGAACTATTGATCTTGAAGTTTTACTTCTACGGCAAGGCAAGCTTTTAAAAGAGCTGCTCCCATCCCCCAGGAACGAAAGGTTTGTGTTCTTCGTGCTTGTGTCTCTTTTCTCGGCTGCTCTCTCAAAGTCTGCTATTGTCCGTGCAACCAGAAACGATGGCCCTTCTCAGTGTTCTTGCCGCAGTGCTCCTTACCTCGGGGGTCTTTGCCGCATCGCGACCTTATAATGGCTACCTTGAGAAACAATTTCCTCAAACCTTTTACGATTCATACAACGTTCTCAAGCATACCGGTGGCATTGGACCTTACTCGGACCGTGTGGGCTATGGGATTGACCCCAACCCGCCTGCGGGATGTGCTGTCGACCAGGTCATCATGCTGATGCGCCACGGCGAGCGGTATCCCGATGCCACTACAGCCGCCGGCATTAAGGCTGCCCTGGGCAAAGTGTATGGGGCCGGGATCTCTAGCTGGCAGGGTGACCTCGCTTTCCTGGACGACTGGACCTCTTACCTCGCCGACCCCGGCCTTCTAGAGCAGGAGACGTTTTCCGGCCCGTACTCAGGCTTATTGCATGCATTTAGGCGCGGCTCCGAGTATCGTGCTCGATACGGGCATTTGTGGAACGGCGAATCCATTGTTCCTATCTTCGCTGGTGGATACGAACGAGTCGTTGAGACAGCCAGGTATTTCGGTCAAGGCTTCTTCGGTTACAACTATTCAACGAACGCCGCCCTCAACATCATTTCCGAAAACTATACCCAGGGCGCGGACAGCTTGACCCCTACCTGTCTTCCCGACACAGGGTTACTTGCGTGTTTCTATACGACGCGAACCTTTCCTCAATTCGAGGTTGCTGCGCAGAGATTCAATTCTCAGAACCCAGGCCTCAATCTAAACTCGAGCGATATCGTGTCTCTCATGAGTGGGTTGCCCACCACCCATTCAAGGTGTGATTGCTGATGATGTTACTATAACAGGTACCGCCACCTTTGAGCTCCAGGCCAGACCTCACTCGCCGTGGATCAACGCCTTTACGCTGGATGAATGGGTTGCATTTGGCTATGTCCAGAGTCTCTCCTACTACTATTGCTCAGGGTGTGTACAGTGCAAGTTAACCGTACTTGTGGACTGCTTGAACTGACAGGGACGTCCTAGCCCCGGCGACCACTACCAGGTGGCCGTCGGTCAAGTCTTCGCCAACGCATCGCTTGCACTCTTTGAAGCCGGACCGGAGCATCTGAGCATGTCGTGGAACTTGTATGTGTTCAACGCCCTTGAGCTTCATCCATCTGGTGTTAGCTTCTGTCATACTGATTTGTTGTTGTTTTTTGCAACCAGCGCCCACGACGCCTACATTACACCGGTCCTGGCGGCTCTTGGCCTAGATGTCCCATCCTCCCCGTTGCCGAACAACACGATCCCGTTCCCCAATCCCTACAACGCCGCCGATATGGTGCCTATGGGCGGTCATCTTGTGCTTGAGCGACTGACCTGCAATGCTACCGCCATGAGCAGTGCCGGCACTTTCGTCCGTGCCGTCATCAACGAGGCCGTGGTACCCTGGCCCAAATGCCAAAGCGGGCCAGGCTTTTCATGCCCGTTCAGCAATTTCACCGCCATCGTCAATGCCGCTCCCAGTTTTGTTGAGACCTGTGAAGTGGCCAAGCGAGGGTTTCCCCAGTACTTGGATTTCTGGTGGAACTACAACACCACGACCAAGTTGAACTTCCAGAACGGGCCGATCTCGTATCAAGAGAAGTACACGCTGGTCTAAGTAGGGTGAGCCAGGAGCCAAAGGAATCTACGGGTACAAGAGACTAGACTTGTCCGCCATCTTCGGTGAAGACCGAGTAAGTTACTTTCTGGAGGGGAAAATTCCCGAAGCGACCGAGTGTACATAGGAGCTTAGAAAGAAAGATGTAGTCCGGTAGAGCAAGAAATCTTCATATTTGCTGTCAAAGTGGTTGCAGAACAACCCGCGGTGCATGCTGGCATTGTCAAGCTTTGGGCACTAACTTAGGCATTCGCAGCCTTGCCCTTTAGCCAGAAGGCTGGTATAGGCACGCGTATATACTGTAAGTCTAGGCTTAGGCTCTCGCCATACCCCTTTAATGGAGACCATGGAAAATTTGAACTTTAAAAGGCATGTATGTACCCTAATTACAGATGGTCCGAGGGGATTTTCAATCCACCTCAAACCAAAAGATATAGGCGTTTCCTCCTCACATAGATAACTCTCCAGAAGGAGGGCCATACAGAAGTGGAGAATGAGGAGGGCTCGGAAGAAGACCACGGTACTGAGCCAGTAAAGAGGATATATCCTCCTTGACATATCGTCCTTCAGCTCTTTCACTGAGAGAACAGTAAGCGAGTTTTCTGTAGAAGCCAAGTATACTTGCAAATCGTAACGTTGAGTATTTCCGCCCAAGCTTCTAATATCAACGATGCTTGTTCCATCTCGTCTTCTGGTGTAGGAATGTTCAAGATACCACCATTCTCTAGATCCGTTCGGATACGTTGAGAACAGGCTTCGAATATTCTTGGGTAGTAGTCAGCCAAGGCCCAATCCAGCACCCAAGGTGGTTGACCTGTGAGCCATAAGATAGTTCGCGGAAACAGGTCGAGATAACAAAGTGTTGGGGTTGAATTTTGAAATGAAATACCGTTTGCGGGACAAGGTGTCGAATATTATATCATTGCTCGATCTGTTCAATGGTCTCAAATATAGGAGGACAGGATTCATCGAAGAGAAGAGCACAAGATGGACCGTCACCTAACGAACGGCCCAGGCCTGAAGGAAGGTCGCGTAACCAGATGATCGAGACCACGAGATAAGGCACAAAGTTGCCGGACGTCTGTGATAGAATTTTGTACTTGGCCTTCCAAATCCATAACGAGATAGCTACGGCCCTGCTGATCCTCGAAGAGATGGACCTTCGGCACTCGAACTATATTTGGCTCCAAGATATTGTATGCGTTCTCTTGACTCCGTGCTTCATACTTGGTCACCTCGTACCCAAACTTGATGGCTAAATTTTGGCAGGGCCTAAGGACGCTGTGTTCGTATGGCATGTGAAAGAGAAAATTCTGAGGCTCGGTTTGGTTGCACCTATGGATGATTTCCACATCTGACAATGTCTTTCGTGCTGTCCTGAAAGGAATGGATGTCTGATTCGGGCGACGGCGCTTCTGAGGGACGTAGAATACGAACTGCGATAAGGACTAGCAGACGACGTGAACGCTCATCGTTCATGGGTGGCGACAAGAGAGCTTTGACAAGGCATCGGAGGGGAGAGGATTCGGAGGCAGGCAATCTGTTTCCACCTATACTGTACGTCCTGAGTTACAGAGTCGACGAGCGCAGTTTCCTGGTCAGGAACCTCGGAGGTTGTCCACGAGCGAGAGTCGAGACAGGAAGGTGTCCCGGGTCACGCAGACCCCAAGCTCAGGAAAGAGAAGGGGTTAGACTGGACTTTAAATAGCATGGATGAAACAAGCCATGTCTACTCCGAAGACACTCTATAAACTGGATCAAATGGACAAGACTCTCAGTGACTACCTGTCAGGTAGGCGCCTAATAGTACGGAGTAGGGATGAACACATCTCCGTACACATACCATTGCTTGGCGGAGCATTCGCCAGCAAACCGCTGAGCCTGACTGCAAAGGTTCCTGCGGAGCATACAGTGAACAATGCGCAATGCTTGCCTAGGGCTAATCAGGCCGTTCTGGGCGCCCATTGGCTGCCCACCTCCGCCCAAGGCGTGATTTGCCGGTGTGGCTGATGCCGTCGCTAACGCTGCCGAACGCGTCTCCCGCAGGTGCTGTGCGAATTACTTTGCGCCTCCTTCATTTGCTCAGTCGCTCGGAGACCCCTGACTTTGGTCCTAGAGAACGGTGTCTGTGATGCTATCTATCTTGATCAGACCACATCAAACCAAGAACATCCTCTCACCACGGGGTGTCTTTCTTTTGGGTTCTATTTTGGTCAAGCTCGTTTGGGTGTCGTCCTTTAGTTACCTCCCCACGCTCCAGACCACCCGAACTCGCGCCGGCCAGGACGATAGTTACAACATGCCATGTGGCTCTGAACCCTTGATTCCCACTCTACCCGACGTCTCGCACTGCTGAAATTGGGCTTCGGAAGGGAAGCAATTGGATATCTGTCGAGAGGAGGACGGCATTGGTTGACACGGAAGCGAGATGCAGCCTTTCAGTTTTGGCATGAGGCAGTCCTCGGCGGAGAGCGTCGACGACAATCGCAGTCGCTATGTTCCCAGTTCTGTCTACAGCGGTCCTGGCCCGATCGATGATTCTCCAGCCATTGGCCCGCCGAGTTCCTTCATGATGGGCGCGTTGCGCGGCTCATTGGAAGAGCAGCAAACTCCTCGTTTCGCACCGGTACACAGCCTGGTAACTCCCTAATGCGATGACACTGACTTTGAGCAGCTCAGCCGAAACCCGCCTCGAAATTCGACCGTTCTAAACATCAATGACCCCGTGGCAATGCATCTTCTGACCGAGACCGCAATTACCGACAGCCGAGAATTCGAGGTTCTATCATTCGAAGAGGTGGAACAGCTGAAAAGGGAGAAGAACGTCCTGAAGAACAAAATTGACACAACGAGAAGGAAACTGGCTCTGGAAAGCAAGCTGCGCGATGCAGCTCAATCACTGAACCGATTATATTCTACCCGCGACAAAGCCATTGCAGCCGGTCATTCACCAAAACGGTCGCGGCGAAGTTTCATGGGGAGCCAACCGAGCGCAGGTGAAGATGTCGTCACCCGCGCAGATGATGAATACGCCGCTAGCAGCAGGAAGGTCCAGGAATTCACCCAGGAGCTCTCAGAACTGGAACGGAGACTGGACTACACGGAAAGACGGCTTTTGCAGCACGCAGCCGGGATCCTTCAGATGACACACAAAGGCTTGAAGAAAAATCTGCGAAGGACAGAGTTGCCCCGGAGTCCGGAAAGTATGGCCAGCCAACCGAACGATCATAACTCTGGGATGGGCGGAATCGATGACTTCGACGAACGGAGCTTGTACCAGGTTCCAGACTATGTGACAAACTTTGGACAAATACCATCGAAGATGAACAAGGACAGGGCCGGAGATAGCGAAACCAAGGCCATCGACAACGTCGCACGGCGCCTGCAGGAGCTCAATGAACGACTACATTCGATGATTGCTCAAGCCGATTCACATGAACATTTTGACCCGCCACCTCAGCCAACCGATGAGCATATGATGGGCCCCATTAGCGCCCAGATCCAAGCCTACCTAGTCTACCTGTCCCAGGGTTTGGACGTGATGGAAGCTGCACAGGCCCGAGGCCACGGCTCAGTCCAGAAATCGATATTTGACTCGGAAGAACAGCTGGGGGATGTCAACAACCGACTGCAAGACATGCTGGAGAAGACAAACTCGGCCGGTCACAGCCCTCTATTGCAACAGGACGAGCCTAGGGGGAAAGATCTACAATCTCAACTAGCATTCTCTGTGACTGTCCTCGATCGTTTAAACCAACGGGTTGATACTCTTGTTGAGCAAAAGGATATTCTGACCAGACAGATCCAACAACAACGAGAACTCAACACTAAATCGGATGCCGAGCGTGATACCAAAATCCGAGAGTTGACGGACCAGCTAGAAGAAGCCAAACGAATCCAGGCCGTGGGCGAAGAAGAGACTCAGCATGCTCAAAACCAAATCCACCTTTTAGTGGAGCAGTTAGACCTGGCCAAACAGGAGAATGTCCTTTTCGAACAGCAGCGCGGCGTCAGTGACACGAAGGCCGTTGAGCTAGAGCGATCAGCACGCAAAGAAATGGAAGACAAGTTGATGGCCGATTTGCAGGCTAAACAAGAAGAGCTGGTGCTGCTACAATCAGAACTCAGTCAATTGCGACTCGACTCGGAGTCGAAGACCGAGCAAGTCCTCATTGAGTTACAAGAGGTGAGAGCAGCGAAAGAACGGACAGAGGCAGAGCTTGAGAGCCATCGTACAGAATTGGCCCAAGTTGCAACCAAGTCTGCAGAACTGGAGACCGGGCGGGATGAAAACAGCAACAATCTTCGCAGGCAGATCAACGACCTGAGTGCCGCCAAGGCCGACGCAGAAGCCGAACTATCGAAAGTCCGAGAAGAGATGAAAGGATTGGAATCGGAAGTCGTTCGGGCCCAGACCGAACTCACTCTGGTGAAGGCGGAATTGGACGGTGCTTATGGCACACGCGCCCAGCGAGCAGCAGATGTTTCGATGAATCCTGCCATTCAAAAAGTGATCGATGACCTGAACTCGCGGAACAAGGAGCTCGAAAGTCAGCTGGATTTTCTACAAACTCAACACGAAACGAAAGGTGCAGGCAGCGCCGAGTTGCAAAACAAAGTCAATGCGCTGCAGAAGGAGTTGAAAGATACCATTGAAGACTACGAAATAATGACAAAGCAAAGTATCGATGACGAGAAAGAGCGGGAACGGTTGGAAGAATCCGTCGATGGCCTTCAACAACGGTGTGAAATGCTCGAGTCACAATTGAATGAAGAGAAGGTCAAATGGCTGGGTGCGAAAGCCGGATTGCCCAATGAAACCACCTCCACAATGGTCTTGAAGAACGAGTTCAAGAAGATGATGCGTGAAACAAGGACAGAAAACCTCCGGGCCATCAAGGTAAGGCATCATCGACCACATTGAGGCGATGCTGTTGGCTGACATTGCTACAGGCTGAACAAGAAGAACGACGGCGTCTGGAGGGCATCATCAAGGGCTTGAAAAAAGACCTACAGCAAACTCGTGCCACCAAGGACACCTCGACACCTCAACCGGGCCTTTAAGAGTTCCTCCTCTTCTTCACCACACTTAACGATTGCTTTGGCCACTTCAAGTGCATGAACAGCCACCTGGAGCGTCGCTCCTGGTCCAAAAGTTGCCCTGGGCGGGCGCCTGAATCTTAATCATCATCATAATCAATACTGCGCCAGTCATGGGTGTGATCACACTGGCATAATCAAAAGGGCCATTCCCTTCCCTTCTTGTTGGCACTTAACATTGGACCACCACTGCTGCTGGTATGGCATTGCTGGAAGATATGGTTGCATCTTACCTCGGCCAGGATGTCGTGCCTGCCGTTTTGAATACTTGACGCTGAGTCTGCAGCTACATTTGAAGCTTTCTACATCGCGGCTGCTCCTCTGTCTGGTGCCCTATACCTGCTGCCTTCCGCTTCTCCTTCTATCAATGCTCTGACCCCCAGAGGTCCTCACCACAAACTCATTCTTACTTCCAGCACCAACTTATTGGTCCATCCCTTCCATTCACTATATCCCATCCATTCGTTTCGACTCGTGAACGGCCGATCGTCTCGAATGCTGGCGCGTGCTGCATGGCATGCGTGCGCACCTTCAAATCACTCTCAGTTCCCTCAAGCCCGCGGAAAGAAACGTGGCAGAGCACTAAACAATGGCTGACTCTTCCTCCCCTGAAATTACCGCCGCCTCTCCCAAGCTGAATGCCCTCGGCCGAATTAGGTCGAGACGGTCCCTGACTCGTCAGCTTGACTCCTCTGAGAGCCGAGAAGCAGAGCAGGATTCAATTTACAATGCCGAGGCGGTTCGTTCGCGTGAGAGTTTTCGGTCAGAAGAACAAGAGTCGGCACGAGATGCACCTGACAATGACGGCACGCTGTCACTGCCCTCGTCCCCGGGAGGCCTACTCGACAAGCCATCCACCCCCCATAGCCATTGGCCTCCGCCGCAACTCACCAGCATTCTGGAACAGAGTAGCATTCATAGCATCCGACAGTCAGCATCCCTCCCTCGCCTGTCAGCCAGTCCAGAGCGGAAGTCGCAGATTGTTCACTCTCAACAATCGATCCGTTCAATACATCCCCAAACCGCTACTTCACCATGGCCCCTGAGGAAGGCGCTGCCTTCTACGTCTTTAGACCGCCGCCGTTCACTGTCAATGAACGACTTGGACCGCATCTGTCAGCCTGTGGCATCGAATGCGAATCCTCGCCGTTCTTCATCTTCCAGCAACGACATCGATCGGAGCAACTGGTGTCCTGCCCTTCCGAACAAGCCTGTCCAATCTCCACCCTATCGAGTTCCCACACCGCCAGGCCTGCCATCCTTTGGGACGGAGGAGGCCAATGATTACAGGCTTCCGGGACAGCATTCTCCCGGGAGGTCACTTTGGAATCGTCTTTGGCGGCATTCCCAGGACGGAAGTGACGAGCAGCCACCGATCAGTCCTCGCCTTCTGGGGTCCCCTTTGTTAGGCCCTCAGAACCCTCAGATGGGCCCTCCCAGCGAGGTTCTCAAGCGAACCCTGGCAATGCTGGGGATGGCACGGGTTGTTAGTCCTCCGCCGCCGTCTCTTAAGCACGGACGTGTCCCCCTGCCGCCCGGTGTGGTTACCGCCAATAACGGGACTGGAGCACTAGCCCAAGCCGATGATGGTACCTATATCAGAGGGAGGTTTGGGCCTCGAGCGAGCGGCCACGGTGTCGGCGGGAGGAGTCTAGAGGCGCACCCGATTGCGCGAACGGCCCAACTCAGTGCAATTGAGGAACAAGTGAGGGAGATCGACAAGGCTTGTGAGAGAGTCGACGCAGAGAATGCACTTTCTCAGATACCCTTCAACGATATGGGCTGCGAGGTTGGAACTGGTGTCCCTTTCAACCAGGAGCCGCAGGAGATGGGAGAAGCCCGGGCAGCCGAGTCTCCACCGCCGCAGGGGGTTTCCGAAGATGAATCATTGAGCCCTGCTATCTATCTGTCGCCTCCGTCCATGTCACCCCAGATGCATGTCCCGGACAGTCCCGATCAGGGCGCGTCGTCAATGCAAGAGGGGCCATATTTTGAATCTGCACGGCTCAGATCTCCGCCTAGCCTTCCGCACTCCGTCATGGGACAGATTCCTGGGTATCCTTCATCCACTCTCTTGTATTTGAGGAGCATGGAAAGCATGCCTGGCCTCTTCAGCGCTGCGGAAGAGGCCGAGCGGACACGGGTCCGAGAGCTGGTGTTGGAGGAGAAGAGGAGGGAGCAACGAAAGCTGTGGTCACAGATGCGCTGCGCTGCTGAAGACTGCTGTCACGAGGTGTGGCATTTGTGGGCATGTGCAAGTTCTTGTGGAGGCCACCGTTGTTGTCGACGATCTGAAAGTGAGTTTTAGGGTGGGTGGTTGGAACGTCAGGTCGAGCATCCCGGTCATGACCTAGCTCCCATTGACGGGTTCGTTGGACGTTGAATGGCCACATTCCTAAATGGATAGCATTCGAGGTCACAATCAGTCTGAAGTGGTTCGTTGCGAGGCTGAGGCTTTCGTAAATCCTAGAGAAGGCAACTAAATGCAGGGATAAAGTGCAGGATTCATGGGAGACGGATACCAGGTTCCGAAATCCCGACTGGGCCACGGTATCGTTTGGCAGCAAATTCTATGTCCTTTCCTCTTCCCTGTTGCCTGCCACCTTGTAGTCCCCGTAGTCCCCGGTGTCTCCATACTATGCAGGTCATGGCTTGAACGATAAAGATGAAAAGCACATAGATGTCATGCATGCAAGCCAGACGTGCGTGTTCTGTTCTACCCACAGCTGCAGAATCGATCCCGTCCAGGATTTGGATTTGCTTCTAGGCATTCCGACTCCGGGCAGTCTGAAGGGGTTCGGATGTCACCAATGCATGGAGTTGGGTTTGCGCAGGATCCCAGAACAGATGCTCATATGATCAAAGTGCTGCTGATGATGCTGATGCTGGTGCTCGTACTGGTGGTGGTGCTGGTGGGTTAGCAGGGTTCTCATCCTGTGATTGTGATAGTACCATGACTACAAGTCAACGAGTTGATCGGTCCCCAGCAGTGCAGCCATCGGATCGTCGGCGGCGACGCGACTGCGCTTGTACGACTCAAGCTCTTCCTCGGAGATGCCAGACTGGAGTTCCTGTAGAGTGCGCTTCTTCGCGGGGGCTTGGGCTTGGGCCGGTTCCGTCGTGGTCGGTTTCGGTCTCGACGTCGATGTCGATGTCGCAGTTTCGACGGAGTCGGGGTCCTCCTCAGCCGTCAGCGTCTCCTTTGTCGTCTCCTTCTCCGGCGGCGCATCTTCGAGCGTCAGAGCCAAGCCCGTCCTCATGTCCTGGGCCTCTTCGAAGGCGACGCGGCCGGCCTCGCCGGTGCAGTAACTGTTCTTGACGGTCGAGTGACAGCAGGCGTAGCCCCAGACAAAATCGCGCCACCAACTGCCCCAGACGGAGGTGTGGTTGTTGACCAACACGTCCTCGGCGTACTTGGAGCGGGCGACCTTGCGTTCTTCGCCCTTGATGCGCCCGGCCTCGTCGTACTCGACGTAGCGCTCGTTGGCCACGACCTGGTGTGCCTTCTTCAGCAGCGGGTTCGGCTTCAGATGCTCGTCGCCGCCGTATTTGTCCAGCAGGGCCTTGCGCGCCGCCGCCTTCTTCTCCGCCGCCTCTTGCTCCTGCTTCTTGCGCAGAACCTCGCCTTCGGTCGGGTTCGCCTGGAGGTGTAGTTTCTTCGTGTCCGCGCTCTTGGCCGCCTCTTGAGTCTCCCATGCGTAGCGCTGCGCGCGTTCAAACTCAGCCGCCTCGTCCGAAGGCCGCACAAAGCCTTCGTCCGCGTCCGTCTCGCCCGCCGCCTTCAAGGCCGACGTGTCCATCGTGCGCGTCTTGGGGTCGTACCTGGCCGAGTCCAGGTCCAGATTGCGTAGGTAGTTTGCCGTGTCTTCTCGCAGACGGAGCTGGCGGGTCGACGTCGGCTGTGACCGACCCATGTCTGTCTCTTCGCCGTACCGGGCGTCCGAGTCTCCTCCATCAGCGTCACCGTCGCCGTCGCCGTCGACCTCGCCGTTCTCTATCGTCTCGCCTTTGGATTTGGCCGCCGCGCGTTTCAGCGCCTCGAGTTCCTCATACTCCTGGACCACGGCGCTGTACTCGCGACTGTCGTAGCCGTTCCAGCGATCGCGCTTCGCATCCCACCCGAGCTGCACATCCTCAACCACCTCGTCCGCCTGGATGTCCTTGCCCGTCCAGCGGGCGCCGAGCTTCCTCGGTCGGCTGAGACACTCTTTCGTCTTGTGCGTCATGGCGCCGCAGTTCTCGCATGCGCCCTTGCGGAATTTGGTCGCCGCAGGCCCGGCCTTCTTGCCTCGCTCGTACCATTTGGCCTGGTCAAGGGTGTCTTTCGACGCCGTCTGCAGACGCTGATGCTCGAGGTAGTCTGCATCCGAGGTTGTCTCGGCCCAGAACGGTCGCTTTGAGATGAAGGATGGGATGTACTCGTTGCGTGACTGGTCGGGCCCGGGGGGTTTGTTTTGCGCCATGGCTTGTGCTTGTGAGGAGGATGCGGCGCCGGTGGTGGTGGTGGTGGTGGCGGTGGTGGAATATGACAACTGGACAGCACCAAAGGGACCGGCAGTCACTTTAACTTTCTAGTCAGGGGAGAGGGAGAGGGAGAGGTCTGGTGTCCGAGTCAGGATGGATGCAAAGTCTGTGCCTGTGGTGCAGACTGGGTAGTTGTTGGTTGTTGTCAGCTCAATAGCAGAAGATACTGTAATTTATTCAAATTCATGGCGAACTCGCCGCACTCGCCAGTTCGGCGCCGCTTTTACAGTAGATATCGAGCGCGACTCCATTCCTCCCTCCCGCTCACCCTTCCACTCTTCACTCACTCACGCCCTCTCCTTAGCCACCCCTCCTCCTCGACAACGATCTCTGCTCCTGTGCCAGGAAGGATCATGCAGCCTCTGGCGGACCAGAGTCGCTGTAGTTGGCAAACTCAGTGCTCGGAGTGCACGGATAATGAGACGAACGTCTCGCTCTTTACACGCAGGCAACTATTAACTGCCATTCATTGCAATGCCTAACTAACACTTAGATCACTCCATATGATCTATCTTCCTCGAGGTGTCTCAGCCCCGGGCCATCTCAGGTGGGGGGAATGGTATTTGAGCTGATCACAACCACTGTGATCAGAGTTCCGTTCCAATACCGTACCCTACTAGCAATGGTTTCACGGTCGACGAGAAATGCTCCCCGGGCCAACTGACGCATCCCTTGACCAGCTTCGACTGCTTTAAGAAAGAGCACCTTCTCTACACGACGATGACCTCGGATATGACCCTCACCGGAATACTGCGCGGAGCGGAGCGTTCAATCCAACAACGTGAAGCACAATCTTCTCATCCTCGAAAAGCTCGTGCCCGTTGAGAAAGAAGGCTTGGGAGGGCTGAACTGAGACAATGTGTGACCAGTGGATCCGGGAGCTCATAAGTCGAGCGCCCTGGCACATCTGAAGAGTCGAGACTATCTTGATGGAGATATCACCATTTTCAACCGCGGGGTCGATCGTCACAACGCACTCAAGGGCTTTGACTTTGGCTCCGCGGTGCATGTAAGGGACGAGGATTCAAAGACCAACTTCGGGAAGACCGATTGGATTTTCCAACCTGCCTTTACGTTTTGGCGTCTTGGGACGACGTGTTCCTCACGAGTCCGACAAGCGTCCGACATTAAATGCATCAAACAAGATCTTCGGGACGGTGATTTCGCCGTGGCATCTACGGCCAAGAAATATCGAGTGAGGTGTGATCGAAGCGTGCTGGTCCAGAAGCCAATTCTGCAGCTTCCGTGAACTTCAAGAGTCTATACAACAGATAATCGGTGTACAAACACCCTTCTACATATGGCTTAGAGTGGACGGATCATTCTTCATCCAATTCGCTCGACCTCTTCCAAAAAAAGACTGGCTGGCTAGATGAGACCAAGTTGCGTAAAGCGTGGCTCGAAGCAGGATTTGATCCGTCTTCCTATTGTCTATTGTTGAAGTCTCATTCTTCCCACGGGGCATAGATTTGTCGGCCATGGGCATCGGAATTGCTGGCCACAGCTCGTGAGAGTATCCGTAGACTAGTAGTGTATCGACCTCCTACCGGACTGGTCCTTCACAGGTGGGAAGCCACTGAGATATTTACAGTGGAATCTGTTGGAGACAAGGACCAAGATGGAATGGGTCTGGAAGAGGATCTCTGAGCCAGCGACAAGTATAGTTGTACATGGGTATCCCGAAAAATTCATCACATCTCAATGGCACCAAACAACACGTGCATGATTTGCGTGCTGATAGAGACAATATCATGTTGGAAGTGCACCCTTGTCTTGATCACACCTCTCCCTCTCGACACTGTCCGCCCATATGGATACCAAGTCTCCCCCCTTCAGAACGGGAACGTCATCTGTCCTATTGTTGGAGAAATCGAGACGCCCGGCTTGTCTTCCCAGAAGCCAAATCTCATCTCTTCATGGGCTTTGAACTTCGCCCGTCCTATTGTTGGGAAGATAGTGCTGGCTGGAGCGACGTCCATGATAGCTAGTCTCATCTCTTCCTGGGCATCCTGGGCTTCTTGAATGCCCCCTCTCCCGCTGCCGGTGTAACAGAGGTGTCTGGAGTGTCTTCCTAAGAATTGCTAAGCGCAAGCCTGTCGTCATGTCTAGGTTCTGCCGCAGAAACATGATGACTCTTTAGACTTTGAGAGAGTCCGGATTCGGATAATTGCAGCTTGGATCCCTGTGTGAGTTGGAACTCTATGTCGGATGGTATTGCATCGATTGCTGAACACAATCTTTTCAAGTGAGCTGGCATCCACAGATCATAGATACTCTTAGTGAACTTATAGGCCATCCATCTCTCCTTCCCATTGAGTGTGGTGAAATAAAAGTCATGAATAGTATGGCGGTAATAGGTTGTCTTACTGCCGTCGATTACTGGATAACAGCCATAGATGCTCGCTGATTCGTTGTCGTGCGAAATGGAAAAGGCGAGGATCTCTCGATGAACCTCTTTTTCACGTTTCACTAGCCTGAAGAGTTCGACAATCGCTCGAACAGCCAGTGTCATACTGTGTGCGTTCTGTCGATCTGCCACAATATTTCCACCCGTACCGCATTCGGCCGTAAAAAAGGGGAAGTACATATACCATGTGCCCATAAAGAAGGACTGGTCATAAAGTCCGCCAACGAAAAGCGAAAATTTCTGTAGTTGCTCGTCCGTAAATGCAGAGCGGGCGAACCCTACGGCGTAGTCTGGTTGCGGTCGGGGCTCGGTTATCGTGATGGAGTTGTTCCAGCCTTCATTGACACTTTCAACTAGGCAGTTGAGGTGATGTGCACCATAAGTCGCAAATTGTTCTGCAGATGGCACTATTAATTGAGAGATATCTTGAAGAACTCGAGCTTCATTTCGGTTCCGTATCTTTCGACAGGTAGATTGGAACAGGTCATCACGAAACAGCGAATCCTTCGGGATGGGTTGCTCTTTCTGGAAAAGGTTCTGAATGAGAGTCTTGCTGTTGTAGTTGATACCAAGCTTTGAATCGACCATGAAACTGCCGTGCAACTCGAGTAGAGCTTCATAGCGCGAGTCTCTGTAAGGAGCAGTCTTCTCCTCCCGAGTCCTCTGGTCACTTGGTGTCCTTGATTTGGATGTGACCGACTCTACATCCGACGTGGGCGTAGACCGTTTTCTGGCTATTAGGTGGCTTATATCGCCACTATTGTCACAAAAATCTTGCGGCCAGTGGTGTGTCTCGGCCCAATGCGTTATCGAACCAGTCTGTTTCTGTGTCAGTCTCACAGCTTTGTGAGGAAATGTGTTTTCGGCAGGGAGTGGTCGCTTTCGAGAGGGCAGGTACAGTTGCTGGGTCTCTGCTCCCAGAGGACTCGACTGCAGAACTGTAGGCAATATATGTGCATCCTAAGTAGGGTCAGTCCTCTGTTGCAGGGCAATGTTGACAGCCAGCTCAGATCGAAGCTTTTAGCATGGCTTACTGGAGACGGCGGAAGAGGCGTGCTGGTCGTTAGCTGAGCCTCGTTAGCCTCAGCCAAGTGACGCAGACGTGTGCTCTGTTGAGAAGGATTCCCTTTTTGCTCCTCCTTGATGCCCTGAGGACTTTCCCTGCTCTGGTCAGCCCGAGATCGAGGATGGGAGCAGGTATATAACCTTGATTTGGCGGGTCTGGGGACTGCAATGCGGCCTTCCGAGCGGTTGGATTGTCTTGAGGAGCCATGATTGCTCATGATGAGGGCGAGGGAGGCTATAGTCTCGCGAAGCAGGTTATAGTTTCCATGGGGGCAGGGCTGCTGGTACAGTAGTTTCATGAGGGCGAGTGAGGTGGCAGTCTTATGAGAGCGAAGGAGGTTATAGTTTCCATGAGGGCAGGGCCGGTGGTACAGTAGTTTCATGAGGGCGAGGGGAGGTGCCATTTGAGAGGCGCTTAAGCCGTCTGCGCCTGTGATCGTAGAGCGTTTGCTGTCACACGCCATGAGACTCGGTGACATGTGATCATCCCACCCTTCTTTGGGAGCAGGATGATGCCGCGCTGTACTCAGCCCCTTACCCGGTACATGCCACGACATCACCTTCTCAACACACTGTAGCAGACATTAATTTGTCCAACCTACAGGTAAATTCTTGACTGCCGACGCGGCTTGATAAATTTCGCTCCCAGAAGAAGTCAGCTTTCCCTAGGACATGGATGGTATCTACAGCGCAAAAGCCCACCGTTTCTTGCTCACCACTACTACCTTGATGTTTGTAATGGGACTAAACAATCCCAACGCTCCCTTTTGCTATGGCGACTCGAATCGAACTAACCTCGTATACCGAGGATGATGATTGGCAATGGACTGGAGATCCTGAGCCATACACGCGTCACCAAAGTGTCATATTCCACTCCGGCTCCTCAGTATGGCATACCAAAGTGACTTTCCATATCGAGCCGCTTCAAAACTCCTCTTGCTGTACCTTTCTGAGCAAGCCACTCGCTTCGAAATCCTAAAGACGCGAAGAGTTTCAATCATTCGTTCAGTTGATCGAATTCGAAAAGCTCAAGGATCAGTTGCTGGATGATACAGTCACGGCGATAGAACTGAGGCTTGAGTCTTCGGAAGCAGAGGTATCAAATATCCTTCCGAGGGACTTTTTACTTGGCACAACAGCTCCAGATGGTCATACGAATAGATATTTGGACCACGCTTGCAGAATAAGTATCATCATCCATGAAGACAGCTCTAGGATTCTCTACCCACCCTACACCGATGATGATTCCTGGCCGCCCAAGATATTACTGTCAGAGATCCAAACACAAGACCACATTACTAGCTCCGCCATTCTAGTTCAAGTGCTTGATAATACGAGGGCTTCATACATTTATAAGCCCATCGAAAGACCTTTCTACGAACAATCCGACACCACGGTGATCCTACAAGAACTAGAAAACCTGAAACAGTGTCGCGGTAGACCCTATATCGCGCAACTCTTTGCCGTGATTGTTTCCACCAACCCATTCCAAACAAGGACATGCGCCAACAACCAACAAGTTATACGTGGTTTCCTATTGGAGTACTATTCAGGTGGTACCCTTGAACGATGTTTACAAGAGAAGAGTTGGACCGATCTTCCTTGGAGGCAGTGGCCCGTTCAGATTGGTCATGGATTACAAACTCTACATTGCCGAGGTATCACCCACATGGATCTCAAGCCTTCCAATATCGTCCTCGATGATCATGGAATTGCCGTCATCATTGATATCAGCGGTATTGGTGGCGTCACTTGGAATTGGCTTGCCCCCGAACTCCGCGAAAGGGTCGGCGCAGACGCACACTTCACATTCGAGGAAGGGAGGGGAGGTGATATCTGGGCTTATGGAAAGTTACTGGTGGAGATTGCAAAGTCGGTGGGCAGAATCGAAGGTGTGCAAAGGATGTTTGATATTGGCACAGACATTATCAACCAATCTCCTCAATCGCGAACCAGCCTTCCGGAGCTGATTTGGAGCCTTCAATCCGAGGAACAGGAACACTGTGACAACTTGCCAAGCGCCTCTTCTATCCCTATCTACCAAACCTAGCTAGAGCTAGCTGGCCCAGTCGAAGTCATTAACGTCGAATCCCCCATCTGTTATCGTAATTGGGCAAGCTAGGTGTAACCCAAGTCTCGGGCATCACGGCTCGTCAACGTGGCCGGTCTTTTGGGGGAATGTTTGCTTCCCTTCTCTGGATATTTGGCAACGATTAGTAGAATATCGAATACCTCATGTCTCCTCGCCACAGAGTCAACCTCAGTGATGATGTGATAGCAGACTAGCCACACCTATGAGATGTTCACCAAGATCCCGGGCATCCAACGCGGTAAGGACTTTGATTCCTGCGGCTTCGACGATTACTAGGCCGTCGTTGATGGGCAACATTTGAGTGCCGAAGCACCTCCTATCATCATTTGCAGTTCTTGTTGAAAAGAGACGCCGATGGAAAACAGAGCAGGGTAGATTGAAGTACGGTCTTTCGTCTCGCACGAGTCATCAAATCAATTCAGTGAGTTGTTCATCTAGCCTGGCTAAGCAAGCAGCAGGATCGCCCGTTGTCAGTTGTGAGAGGAAGAAGTCTCGAAGGACCATTATCAGTGCACTCCGAGCACTAAGTTTGACAACTCACGCCGCCGGCGAAGCTCTCTTCTTCGGCATCGACAGCTTGGAGATTTCTTTTCTTCGGGAGGCCGGCGTCATCTTCGCGTTATACGCCGTGGGCACGATCATCTTTGCCTATCTGGCGCTTTCTCAGATCGAGGACACCATGTACTTCAAGGAGGATCACGTCGTGGTGCCTTTGGAGGTCATCGAGAGCAAGCTGATGCCCCAGGACAATGTAATCGAGGGGAGCGACCCGATCTCCAGCCCGATCGAGGTTGATGGAGTGAATACAGGAAGATCCAAAGCAGGTGTCTCAGGCCAGGTGTCTCCGGCCAAGCTTGAGAATTGAAATTGGAAAGGAAGGCCAGGCAGCCCGCAGGTTCATGTACTTGCGACGGATGTTTCCAACCTCGGTCGTCGATCACGAAGCGGCAGCGGCAGGCCTGCTTCATTTGTTCTGGCTCGATAGTGATCTGTTCGGTCAGCCTCCATGAATAGTCGTTGAACCTGTCCTGAAGATCTCACAAAGCCAGGGGATGAGCCCCATTAGCTGTGGCAAATTATTTGTTTCGTACGAGCATCTTGCAAAGGGCTTGATATCGTACTAACGAAAACGATTAAAGATCCTGAGACTTTCAATCTTTCGTAATCTTGGGAGAAAACGTGACTTTGAAGCGAGAATTGGTAAAAGCAATGAAAAACTGGTCCAGGATCGTCTTACCAGCAACAAATAATGCTGCTCCACCTTGCCCTATATCTTACTCGCAGGCAGAAGTCCAAGATTGTTCAAGTCTTGATCGCGACATGAGGGAGATGGAGAAGCAACGGAAACGACTATCGAAAGTCTTGGTGTTGGCGCCGAAGGCTGGGTACCTAACGAACGGTACGAAGCATCCAAGGCACTTGCGACAGAGTTGAAAAAGAACGCACTCAAATTGGCAGAGTCAGAGTTTGAGAGACAAATGCTTGAGAGGCATTGGCCCTTCGATGATCAAGACGAACAGGAATGAAGACTTCGGGAAGAACCAAGAATATTGGCTGGCTGTTGTGTCGGAAGGTGATCTCTTTGTTCAATGACCAGTGAGAAAGAGGCACATATGTCAACAGAGACGTTCCTCATTGACGATTGGGACTGTGCCACCTTAGGTCTGTCGTGAACTCAACGAGAAGAGCTCGGTGAATACCGAATTTGTCGGCATACTCAGAACTTTACCATCCGCCCCTCGCCCTTCCTCCTCGTAGACGTCTTTATATGTGTGGGTGGTTTCGTCAAGAAATCGTTGGTAGGTCTGTTATCGAAACCAGAGGGCTGATTGAGGACCGTCGATGTTTCGAAAAGGATAGCATCAGATGTGATGCGAAAAGAACTTGGGATCGCGGCTGAGCGTGATTCTTGGTTGTTTTCTGGGAGAACATGGTGAAAAGGGAATTCCGATCTCGTCTTATACCTTACTCTGCATGGTCGGAGGGCTCGGAAGATTTCCTTCGCCGCGGATGCACCACCTGCGAGCCAAGAGCGTTCCAATGTAAAGAGCATGCGAAACGCCACCTGGGTTTGCTTTACGTCTCTGCGCTCTCCAGAATGCTCCGGGTGGAGCGAGCCCAAGAACGATGGTATCGGTTTGCCTTGGCCTGAAGAAGCTGAGGTATGATCGGCCCGCGGAGCCACGCCCGGCAAATTCGGAGGTTCGGGCGCTCGAAGGGAATTTGCGATCTGGAGAGGTTTAACGGATTGAACCTGGTTATTTACCCAAAAGAGCTTGCAGTGGGGAGGCTTTTGGGGGTGCCGAGCTGATGGAGATGGGATTGACAGCGCCACTTCCCCTCATCGGCTGGGTTGAATTCGCTTTCGGGACGTGCATGCTTGTGTATTCGGATTTCTGGGCTCGGTTATGAAAGCGTCGATAGTCGATGGTGAGCCTTTGAAGTCTGGCCGTGAGCTATCCGGGCGTGGTCACAACGTCTCGTAAAGCTGGCATGATTTCTTCCAAATATCCCGACGTCCGCGTTAGCATCGTTTCGAAGGGATGCTCACTATTGCGCACAGATATCCATGTCTCGTCTGTATTTGGCGAAATATCGTCCACATTCGGAGACAAACGGGCCGCATCTGACTTCCCACCAGGCAAATGTCATTGTCTATTTGGAGACCAGTGCCACCAAGCGCTTCCCTCGAAGGCCAAGCTCTTAAAACGGAGGTCTTTGTTCCCTCCTATTGACTCCAGTGCCTCTTGTTCCCTGTTCTGAGATTCTCATAGGCTCCGAATTTGTCCGGATGTCTTGAAGAAGAAAAGCAAGACCAGACCGGCCGCGTTCGGGGCGGTGCTCAACACGCTGCGGGTGCGTTCATGTCGGGTACGTAGGGTCGGTTGGTATGTAGGGAACTGGTACGAATATTTGAAGAGATAGCGAGCCACTTTGTGACATCGAGGAGGATGGTCAGGTTAGGGAAGAGATGTGGGATGTCGAGATAAAAGTGCGGAGGTGCTGCGCGAGAGCTTGTTGCGATGAAGGGAACGAAGATAGGCCGCCAATTGTGAACCTCGACCTGGGTGCATCCTGAGATAAATCCGATGAAACGGACGCTGCGAAGCGATGAAAACCGTCGTGCAAGGACTGAATCTCTTTCATGACTCTTGTAGAGATCGTGACGGGTTTCGATTCAGCAGTGTATTTAGGGAACGTTGTCAACAGAGATGCCAGGAAGTCACGCAGTATCACGCTGTGAAAGGACACTTCCACATCGTAGATTTCGACGAAACACCGTAACACATAGCCCAATCCCATGCTGAGGAATTGGTGAGCATGGCGTCGAAGGCGGACAGTGGTGGCGCAGCTTACCTAGGTAGTCAAGCAGCAATGTCACTTGGCGAGCAGGCATCAAAGTGACGAGCTCACTAGGCCTATGGAATCTACCTAAACCATGCGTCGACATGGTACTTGGAGGAGTCGATCTACTGTACGGAGTACAGATACTCCGTATAATTTCCTGTACAGCAGGCTCTTGAAGTATTAAGCAATATCAGAGGTGCCAGCGGCAATACTGCATTTGAGTATGTTAGTTTGCTCACGAGACCGTGGGGCTTAGGCCTCAAGCTTAAGATAAGGGTTTAATACCTTAATGCCTAGGTAATTAGGCCTTGTTAGAATCAGAACTACAACGGTACTGTAACCGCGACAGAGTCGAAACTCATCTCCAAGGTCTGCGTTCCTGTAGGTGTAACATCTTACTTGTAGAAAACGACACCGCTCCGCTATCCAGGATCTAGATCTAGGTCTAAATGGGAAACAGGAAATAGGAAATAGAAACTAGAAGAGCCAATACTCCGAGTGTCTAGTTGTTACAATCCATATCCGAATTTAGAATCGAGGCCGAGGTCGCCTCCCTAATCAGCTTCTTCTCTTCTTCCCTTCTTCCCTTCCTCTCTTCTCTACCAGCCGCAGCTGGAAAAGCCACAAGCATTCAATTGCAGTCCAAGCCTCTGTAATCATCAACCAGGAACAGCCTTGTCGCATCAGCGGTTCACGCATGCCCGTCTTGTCTCCTGCGCAGCCGGCTAACTCCTCTTCTTCTTAACCTTCCCAGGCAACGCTGCCATCAAACCTGCAATACCAATCATAGAGCTCCATACCACCCATCTGCCACGCAACTGGGGTTTGCGCAAGGTCCAGTCTTCCCCCCAGCATTCATCCACACGTTGTCGTGAGCACTGCCCAACATTCATCCAGCCAGTGTCGTGAGGGCTGCCACCTCCAGACGCTCAACCACCGATCTCGCAAACGGACCTGCACCCCAAGTTAGCACATTGTTGAGCCGGATCACAAAATCCCCCCCACGCTCCACCAACATGGCGTTCCAACTGTCCAGCAGGTTCGATTCAAATGTGCGTATACCATCTTCCTCCACGGTCCAGTGATACCAGAGCTCGTGGATGGGACCTTGTGTGGTGATGGAGAAGAAGAGTGGAGGCTGGGTACTCTCAACCCCGGAACCCTTGTTAACTAGCCTATCTAGACCAAGCTGTATCTTGAGCCCACACGCCCCGGCAACCGCCGCTTGGTTCTCCGCCTCGAAAATCTGTTTGCCCGTCGAGTAGGCCTTGCCTTCGACAACTGCAAATGGGAAGGCGAGGTTAAAGGCGCGTTCGGCAGGTCTAAAGAGTAATGCTGGCTCAAAAGGCGTATCTGGCTTGTGCTGTATCATCTCTGTCTGGAGCCAATCGATGAGACGTGTGGTCTTGACCTTGGAAAAATTGAGACTTTGCGAAAGAGCAGTGGTCAGAGCATCGAGATGAAGGCCTATTGAGAGGTCAGGGATGGGGGTTTTGATCGGGTAGCGATCTTCCTCTCTCATCGGACCAAGGGCGACAGGGGTGTTTGTCAGGATAAAGTCTTGTGAATCGTTGCCTGGCGAGGTGGTGGACCGCTTCTGCCGCTTCTGTGCTCGGTCGGTGTCACTGTCAACTTCCACTTCTTCTGCATGTTCACTGACACCGTTCAGGAAGCTGAAATCGTCACATGGTTTCACTGGCTTAAGTTCCTCTCGCCAGGCGGCCTTATCAATAGAAATGAGACTCTTTGGGCTTAGAGTTCTGAGGGCACCGTAGAGTGGATGAAGACCGCAATCCTCGCCACATCCACTCTGGATTAAAATGACCCAGTCATCGTGGAGCTTTCGAGCAATACCGCTAACTTCAGCTCGGCGCTGTTTAGAGACTTCGGTGTTGGCAATGCTGTTGACAGCGGCTTCGATGTAGTCAGGCGGCTCTGTGTATACCTGAATCCCCACATCTCGGAGATGATACGTGCGGTAGAAGAACTGGGTGCTGGAAGAACTCTTGGATCGGTAGGTAATCTCTTCCGATGCCAACGTGCGTTTGAGAGGCCGCGATCTGTTGGCTGCCGCGTCCATCACCTCCTTGTACAGTGCTTCCAAGTCCTGCTCTGAGAGTGGTGTGGATTCCTGACGTTTCTCTGAGAGATACACGCCTTCTGACTCGTCGACTTCGCCTTCAGCTTCAGCTTCACCACTTATCTGCTTCTGCAGGGGCTGCGTAGAGGACTTGCGGTCGCAGGGAATATCTTTTCGGTGCTGCTTTGCAGAGGGCGCGTCCTTTGGCTCGTCAGCTTCGGCCTCTGTGGCTTGCGAACGTTTGTGTTTCGTACGAGCCGGCTGGGTGGTGTAGGATGGCACAGGTTGGGATTCTGCAGAGCGGGTCACGGGCCGCTTGTTTTGAATGCCAGAGGATGCTTTGACGATGGGTGTTGGGTCGAGAATACCAGTCTCCCGTTGCCGTCTGTTTTTGTCTGCTGCACCGGGAGCCTTTTTATCTCGTGGAGCCATAGGGGGCGGAAGAAGAGGCGACAAAGGCAGTTCAGTGCTAGAGACAGGATGATGGGATGTTTAAGACATGTAGGAATAGTCGCCGTGAAGCTGAAAGGCGATGAGGAACCTGATCTTGTATTTGAAACGAACCGAGCGGTGTTGTTTGGCACAAATCCTTCGGGAGCTTCAATATGGTCGGTACCCGCAATAGGAACTCAGATAAGAAGAAATAGGTATCCTGAAGTGATGCGAATCGAGGCTGGAGAACTCTTAAAATGGCAGTATGGGAGGCCTCCGTGTACACGTTGTTGTCCTCGCATTCCGGGTGCTCATCCCTAGATACGGCTTGGGGATATGCTGATCCGGGTGGTCCTTGGGTTCATTGTGGATAATACTGTACTCCATTCTGAGGTGGACCAGTGCAGAAAGCTTCCAATACAAAAGAGATTATGGTGGCACAATATTTGACATGATTCTTTGTCCAAAAGTGCCTCCTTGTCAGAGTCATACTGTGATTCGTGCATGGCCTGTGTTCTTCTGATCTCCTAGACATCATCGTCATTTGCAAGCCATAAGTCCCTTTCATTATTCCTGTGTCAGTTGAGAAGGTCAAATGTAGTGTCGCTTACGTTCATCCATACCCGCTATCATCCTTGTCTAGAAGGGATCGATTGAGGTGATTGCTTCGACAAAAGCTTCTCCAAAACGACCAGTCATTGGAACCATCTTCCATGGACAGACGTTCCCATTATCCAGGCTCCAGTAGGTCGTTCACCGCAGCTGTCTGTGTCCCTGAGTTAGATGTTCCCTAAAGTCATGGTTGGTGTCTGAGGCTGAGACTTTTCCAAACGGCGCCCATGGAGTGTGAGATAGCAGGATATCTGGCTAGACCAAGGAAGATGCGGCGTATTCCGCAGCGTTGGAACAATCCCATCTTGATGCTTTACCGGGCGATAAAGAGGACAAAAGCTTTGACGACATCTTGAAGAAGCGGAACATCTGATTTAGTTAGCCAGCTAATTTTATGAGAAACCTGCTCATTGCCAGAGCCAAAATTCTGATCTTGTAAAGACAAACGAGCATAAAGTCGGGTTGCACCTCAGACAATATAGCCCTTCAACGGTTTCCTAGATAACTACCCAGAAGTTTTAAGGAGGGACCTCTTGCTCCTCATAGAGTGTAATGTCCTCCTCAGCATATCGGACGGTATCCACCATATGACAGGACAGAGGATATATCCAAGTCAGGATGAAATAGGATATGTAGAGGTCTGCATTCTTCCCTCATCCAGAAATGGAAGTACTGCAGTGCTTGAGAAGTCATAGTCCGTAGTTTCGAGGAGACTGAGGTTTGGTGGTAATGGAACTTTTTTGTTCGCCGCAACCAGCCGGTTCTGTGGTGGTCTCCCAAACCAATGCTAGTTTCATCTGTGGACTGGCTGCTTAACCACGGGGAAGGAGATGGAGTCGCGAGACTGAAAGGGGCTCCACTGGCAAAGGCTCAGGAGTCGTACGGCAAGGTGGAAACGCTCAAGAATAAGAGGACAAGACAAGGCGGAAGGAATTTGTTCCAGGCATGATAGCTCTTCCGGGCTGTACAGATCTGCAAGACCGTAGGGGAAACGCAGGCTCTCGGATACGCGGCTGACGGCAGTCCCTAGCAATATACCACCCGTCAATGACCTCAAGACCGAAGGATCTGAACCGAGTTCTACCATGGCGGCATCACATGCCGAAATGCCGGTTTCATCTTGCCAACGTCCAAGACCAGCTTGTGTATCACTGCAGTTTCTTGCAGGCTCGCTAAGCCCATCTGCCGTTCATGCAAGGATAGGAATGTTGGACGTGGAGGGCCTGAGGGAGCGACGAAGTCTGAAAAGGTGACTTGCTTAGGTAGGATGAACCTGTTCTTCGGAGGCTAAGGGGAGGAGGGCATTGCGGTAGACGGGTGGCAAGGGTTGCTATACATGACAGTCACCTGGTACTGCCGTGGTGTCCACGTCAAGATCTGATTTCGCAGGCTAGAAGAGTAAGAGCCGATATCAAAGTATGAGAGGCACCTCAGAGGGTGAGCTGAAAAGGCGCAGCTGAAATTTGCTCACTCTAACTCACCCACGTGATCAATATGTGGGCGAGCCTAGCAGCCTAGAGGTGATCTACCTGTGCTTTTTTCGTGCACTCGATCTCACGATCTTGATCTGAGATTACTCCGTACTGTTCCGGCGGTATCAGTCGCACACGTGTCCAGGAAGATGGATCCACGGTACACGATCGATAGCATTCCCATCACCTTCGCCGCCAGCGGCGCCACGGGTATTACCATCGATTCCGTATTGGCATTGTGCTAACTGCACCTCTATCTCGACCTCGACTTCGACCTCGACCTCCTATCCCTCATGCTTGAGACCAATTCATCCGGAATGCTATCTACCTACTAGCCAAAGCCCGCACGTATGCCTCTATCTGCGACTGCATCGTTGCTCTGACTCGACGCCCGGCCAAAAAGGTAAAGAGACGGACAGGAACGGTGGTGATTGTGCGAATGGCGAACGCTATCGATCATGGGGACGACCCGTTCTATACCCACTTGATCAAGTGCTATCTGTCGGATGGCTCTCGGTTCGATGGACCGACGCGAGGTGGTTCCTGGCCTACCCACAAAGCTCCACCGGTTCGGCAGCTTGTTGCTGCCACGGTGCGTCCCGAAGCCTGAAAAACTATGTGTGCAATGTACGGAGTACATACATATTGGCTTTGGCCAGGGACGCAGCGGAGGCCTGTGCGGCCTGTGAGTCTGTCACTGTAGACGATACACTGGGCAGACCTCATCGGAGGTGATTTTTCAGGCTATGAACCCCGACGAACACCACAACATGTGCTCTGGGATTCCAAACCCTCCAGGCACAGTGCTGCTACTTGAAATCTTCCGGTGGTCCGGACGACATAGTGGCTGATGCAAGAGTATTATGGAATAGGAGGTTTGTATCATCAGATCGGACGGGAAGATATTCAAAATGCGGCCTCCAAGGGCACGCTTTCCATCTCCGTCGCGAGTTCTTGGTATACAGGTTATCAATCCTTGGATATCTATCATTGGACACCTATACCGAGCTTGAACTTCCAAAGGTTATCTCTGGTTGGGGTTTCGTCTCCCTATACATATGCTTGTTGTCAGGGTTACAGCTCTTCCAATTCTCCCTGCTTCACGGAGAGACTCCGACCAGAGCATGGCCGAGACTCTCTCAAGCATCAAGAGAAAAGATCTTGCTCCAGCTGAGACATACTGTTCAAGAGATGCGAAAGTTGCCCGCACCAAGCGCGAATATATCGAATGTGGGCGGAAGCTCTCTTTGGAACTGCAGGCTCTCGTCTGGCGTCCTCGATTTGGCCCGTTCGAAGCCACACATATGTTTCTTCGCCGCGGCCCTGAGAAAGCGCCACCAGGATTCCCAGAGGTTGAAGAGATGATTCAGCTACACGGGTTACAATGGGGCCCGGGTGTCTTTACGCATGGGGATCTGAGCTGTTTGAATATTCCCGTTAGAGGGATAGTATCGTGGGCATAGTGTACTGGGAAACCGCTGGCTGGCTACCATCATACTGGGACTACACTACTGTATGCCAGGTGCACCATTAGGTAGAAATGCATCCTGGGGAGAGTGGACTAGTCAGTTCTTAGATCCGTGGCCCAAAGCCCTTGAAATGGAAAGAGTGAGACAGAGATGGTGGGCAGTAATTTGATCTAGGCTGCGGCCTCCTTTGCCCTCTCTAGAATCATTTCCCTGCGATCCAGCAGATTATATGTTGGGACCTTTTCTGCATCGAACTCTGAGGTTTGAAGCAACCCTCCTCTTTCTTCTGCTCGCAGTACGTCACGGCCGTGTTCCGAATGATGTTCGATTGTATGATCCTGTCCTTTGTTGTCCTTTTCAAGCGCGACCAACGCTTCCATGACCCATGAGACGCAGTTCCAACCGTTCTCAGTTCCTCTCACGGGCACCTGACGCAGAATTGAGTCCAAGCGAGCACCATCTTCGACCTTGCCGATCACGACCCGGATCAAAAGAATGCTTGTGGGCTGCAATGTTTTTTCTTTCAGATGTCCATTGAGCACCTTGTGGGGGGGTGTTCAGTACGGAGTAGGGATGAACGTCATATTTGTGGGAGGATGAACGGCCAGGGAGAGGTCGTCGCGTGGGTGGCCTTCGAGGGGGCAATTGCTCGCCTTGCTTTGTTTGTTTGTTTTCCTCAATCGCTCTAGGCTGTGAAGGATGGTCGACGGTCTTGATGTGAGGGTGAGCAGACTTATGTCTAGACTTTAGAGTGGCCATGGCCTGGGTATCCGTAGTTTGGACATGGAGAACCGAGGTGTAGGAGAGCGTGGGAGATCTCTTTGGCATGTTTTCTTACGCCCAAGCCCCCCCTTATTTCCACCTTCGGACCGACCAAAAGCGCCCAATGATACCTGGGAATGTAAGTCAACAACACCTAAAGCCTCGTAGATTACCGGGGTCGCTACACCGTCGTTACTTTCGTATACAGAATCCTCCAAAATGCATCACAGTGTCTTGACCGTAGCGGCGGGCAGATAGTAGTGCGCCTAGCATCTCTGACTGACATATTCCAAATAATGAAATAGATTCTGGCTCAAGCCGATCTCTTTTCCTTGACTTCTGTCCTTCTGCATATAATTTATGCACCAGATCGTTCAGGTAAAAGACCAATGTATTGCCTGATTCGTTTCTCTTTGGCTTCTCTTGTTCCGTTGGTAGGCAGTCCCAACTCTCGTAGGACAGAAACAAGTGCCTCATTCTCCATACTCGGAATCTCACGAGATCTTCTAGGAAACACTTCGATAGGGGTATTGGTCGTAGGATTCACGAGCGGTATCAGTCGCTGATCGGCGCTCGAGAGATGGGCGTTTTGAACTCGAGACATACTGTTATGGTCGCTATAGGAATAGAATTAGTATTGGATTATCATAATCAAGGTAAAACTTACTTCGCCACGACTCGAGTGGTAAGATTATCGATTCTCTCATCAACTTGGTCAAATCTCTCATCAACTTGATCAAATCTCTGATTGATTTGAGTGCCGAGCTGATTCATTTGAGTGGCGAGCTGATTGATTTGAGTAGTAAGCTGTACGAGGGCTAGTTGAATGGCGTTGCCTTCAGCTAGAGCAGGGATGTTTGGAAACTTGGCCAATTCATCACCGAGAGTGTCATAGCACTGTGCTATACGATTAGCATCTGGCTGCGGACCCAAAGGATTCGCGTTTGCCAGGTGCATCTGCATTGAGATGAGACATCAAAACCCTACTCTTGGGCGAAGGCTTAGGCACAGAGGGAGCAGTGTGGTGGTAGTGGTAATGGTGGTGGTAGTGGTGGTGGTGGTAGTGGTAATGGTGGTGGTAGTGGTGGTGGTGGTAGTGGTGGTGGTGGTAGTGGTGGTGGTGGTAGTGGTGGTGGTGGTAGTGGTGGTGGTGAGGGTGGTAGTGGTGAGGGTGGTGAGGGTGTTGTTTGTTGACTTGGAGGGGTGAGTTGCGAGCACTTTACCAAAGCTTGGCAACAGAAACACTACTAGTACCCCAGACAAAGTAAATCACTGGTGCCACGCTTACCGGTGTTCGGCTCCGCGGGAGCTATTAGAAGGAGCCGCCTAAGCCTACCTAATGACTTAGGGCCTTAGGAGCCTTAGGAGCCTTAGAAGCCTTAGGAGCCTTAAGGGTCAGGGGTTCCTTAGGCTTAGAGGCTTAGGCTAAAGCTTAGGCTTAGGGGCCTGAGGGGTGAATGTCGCAGGCACCAGCACCAAGTACCAACACCAGGCACCAAGCACCAAGCACCAAGCACCAAGCACTACCTAGGTAAGCACCAAGCAGCATCTATCTAGGTAAGTAAGTACCTTGTAGATCACAGACCACAATACTATTACAGAGCTACCAGGTACACGGATACTGTTAGGACATGGATACGGAGACAAAGTACATACCTAGGTACCTACCTACCTACCTCCTACCAAGGTACGCATCGGATACAGATCGGATACAGATCAGATTCGGATACAGATACTTCGGATACAGATACTTCGGATACTTCGGACACCATCTACATCTCTATCGGATGTACAGAATAACGCTACGGATAATAACTACGGATGTGGAGTGCAGTACAGTACGAGCACGGATATGGAGCAGGTAGGTAGGCGATTACGGATATGGTGCGGATGCAGGTAGGTCAGATCAACCCAAATGCACCGACAGACAAGGCAGACAAGGCAGACAGGTACTCCGTCCTCCGTCCGTACAGTTAGTTTCGTTTAGTTTAGTTTCGTTTCGTTGAGATTGACAGGAGATTGATATTGACGGGAGATTGATGAGATTGACGCGAGATTGACGGCACAGCGACGGCGATGGTGATAGTGATAGTCCGTAGTGATAGTGACAATGGGAATGGGAATGGGAATGGGAATGAATGAATGGCTGAATGGCTGCCTCCGACTCCGACGCCAATGCCGACGCCGATGCTGACTGTCATGTTGATAGCGATGTTGGCAGTGATGTTGGCAGTGGCAGCGCAGTGGCAGCACAGAGACGATGGAGTTCATTCCATTCATCCATTCATACCTCTACTCCGGACAGAGGATCCGTTGCTGAGGTACGTACCTATCCAGGTAGAAAGATACGTACCTAGGTAGAGAGATACGCACGGTACCCAGGTACCTATAGGTGCCAGGTATGTACCTACAACGTAGAGAGAGAATTCAATTGCATACAGTACCTAACTCCTAACTCCAACTCCAACTCCTAACTACCTAACCCAAGTGTTCAGTAAGGACTGGAAATGCCGCTTTCCTCACCTCTCCTCCCGCATACATGCATGTATGTATGCATACCTAGGTAGGTAGGTAGGTAGGTAGGTAGGCACACACACACACACACACACACACACACACACACACACACACACACACACACACACACACACACACACACACACACATCATGTATCGTCCGACGTTCGACGTACCTAAAGGTAGTCACCCAGCCAGTTCATTACCTCAACCCCGACGGTATTGTGACTTGTCGTGTCATGCTAGCCATGCCATGCCAGTAGGTGCCAGCCATATATACCTTGGGTACCTAGGTACCATCCATACCTGACAAGGTGCGGTAGGTACAGGTAAGGTGGACAGGACAGACGGCAAACAGACAGACACACAGACAGACAAGAGTCCACAATTGTAACAGACAGACAAAGTCCACAATCGTAAAAGACAGACAAGAGTCCATCATCGTCCCATTTCCAAAACCAAAGAGAAAGAACGACAAAGACATTCAAACAAATCAAAACAACCTTGACCAGGACAGAACTCTCTTGTGCCCTGCAGGCCTTGGGCCCGGTGGTCCGGCCATCCAGCCTCTTATTGCCTTTTCTTTTCCGGTGAGAGGAGGGAGGAGATGAAGCTGATTTGAGGACAGCACAGCATAGCATGGCACACCGCACCAGATCACCCCACAGATTTGAGCACACCGCACCACAACACAACACACCACACCATAGTCCTCCAGCAACGAGCTGGGCTGAACTGCGCTGAACTGCGCTGAGCAAATAATGAACCCGCTGACATCCTCTCCGCTCACTCACTCGCACCGCATTTGCAACCCACCAAGAACAAGCCGAGGTAGTAGCCCGAAATGAAAGTCAAAGGCAAACAAAATCAAATCATGCTGGAGAAAATGGGCCTGTAGGCCTGGTCATCAATATCGTCTTGTCTGGGTCATTAACACTCTCCTCTAGACCGCCGCGCCGCAAGGAATGGTCCGGAAAGTCACCAAGTCGTCGGTCCCTTCAACCCATGTCCTTCGGCACAATGGACAGTTGTAAAAGAGCGAGCCCGGTTCTCTACACCTCTCGAGGCATAATCGACAGTATGCATGGCCTGAGAGGACACACGAAGGATCAGTCAAGACTCAAGGATGAATGGTTGACTTGCGTAGGTAGTATGTAGTATGTAGACTTGGTACTCGGTACACCGTACAGGGTGCACAGAACAGGAATGGTAGGAGGCACGAAACAAGAATGGTAGGAGGTTCAGTAGCGTCTCGATTTGCGGGGGCTATAGCTGCGGGCAAAGGTTGCGGGGCTGCCACCCCTCTGACTGACTTACCACATGGGGTTCGCACTCGTTCTCGAGTAGTCTGGCCTTCTCCTCTCGTGTCACTTGTGTCGCCATCCTCATACGAGTCGGCGCCTGATTGCAAGCAGATGGAACATTCGAGGCCATACATCTCGTAGGCCACTTGCGCCTCTTTGGAAAAGTGGTCGAATTTGGGACACCACAACTGTAAGTAGAGATGGGGCTTGATTTGGTCTGCAGAGATCCCGCTGAGGGAGCATTCACCGCAAATCACCTGATGCCTCGTTAGCGGCTGTTTTTCTTGTGCTGGAGCTGGAAAGGAGGGAGGAGGGAGGGAGGAGGGAGGGAGGAGGGGGTAGATGAGAAAGAATGGAGAGGTAGACGAGAAAGAAAGGAAGGAAAGGAAAAGAGGCTGACGAGGAAGGGAAGGAAACGAAAGAAAAGATAAACGCACACATCCACACTGTTCATAGACAAACATCCTCCCGATAGGGTCCTCTCCTTCACCGAGAACGTTGGAACAGATTGAGCAATGTTCCGTGTTACGAGTCAGGTCGTAAACAAGGGGCCTTCTATTTCCAACCGGACTTGGCTCTGGCTCGGACCTTGATTCGGCTGGCTGCGGCTCACTTGTACTGATACTCGTACTTGGACTTGCAGTCGCACTTGGACTGGCACCTGGACTGGCACTTGCCCTTGGACTTGGACTAGGGGTCACACTCGCACTCGCACTCGGAACCGACGCATATGCTCTTGTCCGAGGCGGAGGCGGAGACGAGTAATCATCCCAAGGGTTTTGTTCAAAGACTGGGTCAATTTAGCCGAGAACCAGAAGGAGAGGGAGTCTAGAACTAGGTGGTTCTCGATCTCGACCTACAGTTTCTCATTTGGTTGCCATTGCTGGTGTGGGTGTTGGCGTTGCTGGAGGGTTTGGCCACTCTGTAGTCAGGCACACGTCTTTGGAGGCCAGATCCATTAGACGCCCTTGGTCTGGACAGAGGAGGCCCGTCAGACCCATCAAGTATCCCTCGTCTGGTGCTGCGAAGGCCAGATCCATTAGATCCCCTTGGGTTGTAATAAGGAGGCGCGTCCGGTTCATTAAGCACCCCTCGTCTGGTGCTGGTGAGACCAGATCCATTAGACACACTTGGTCCAGACAGAGGAGACCCATCAGGTCCATTAAGCACCCCTCGTCTGGTGCTGCGGAGGCCAGAAGCACTAGACAACCTTGGTCCAGATAGAGGTGGCCCATCAGATCCATCAAGAGTCCCTCGTCTGGGAAGGGCAGGTTCATCAGGCACGTGTTGTCCGTACAGAGGAGGTCCGTAGGGTCCGTCAAGCACCCCTCGTCGAGTGAGGGAAGGTTCGTCAGGGACTCTTGGTGTAGACAGAGGAGGTCCGTCAGACCCATCAAGTATCCCCCGTCTGCGAAGGCCAGATCCATTGGATTCCCTTGGGTTGTAATAAGGAGGCGCGTCCGGTTCATTAAGCAACCCTCGTCTGGTGCTGGTGAGGTCAGGTCCATTAGGCACCCGTGGTCGAGACAGAGGAGGCCCGTCAAGCCCATCAAGCACCCCTCGTCCGGCGAGACCAGGTCCATTAGGTGCCTGGGCCTGGGGCTCTGGCTGGGCTCTGGCGACATCACCGCCCTGAGGTCGTGTGGTAGAGTCAGGTTGCTCACGGAGCGGGATCCGACGTCTGGTCGGGCGAGGAGCTCGGCGACCCCGACGCCATCGTCTACGGCGGACAGAATTTGACTCCGGCTCTGAGTCGTCTTCCGAGCTGGTATCTGGTGGATCGTAGACACTTCCAGGGCTGTGGGGTGGGAATCTATATGGGCTCTGGTCGTCAAGGTCAGACTCAGACTTAGGCTCCAATATGAAGTGTCTGGAAAGTGGCATGGTGGGTAGCTTGAAAGTGGGTTGGAAGCAACTTGGAATAAACTTGGAAGCAGCTTGGAAGAAGGTTGGAAGTGACTTGAAACAAGGAGGGAAGGGGGAAAATGAAGGATAAATGGGAGAGTGGGAAAGGTGAGGGAGAAAGGAGATGGGAGATGGGCAGATGAGAGAGATGGCAAAGAGGGATATCGGTGAAGGGGAGGGCAATGAATGGGCGACCTGGGGTGCTGATCCTGGTCATCCTGGCCCTATTGAATTGCGGTATTCCATCCATGCTCTTGATCCTGGCACCTGGACAAGGACCTGGAGCCGTCGGCGGTCAGCGGTCGGTGATGGAGGAAGAGGAGAGGCGAGGCAAGGCGGGGGTTCTCATGACCAACTCGCCGCTGGCCATTCGCAGCCGGGGACCTCAGGATCTCAGATTGGAGGAGAGTACGGAGTAAGGATCAGGTTTCTGCTGGGGCCAGGGTCAGTCGAGGCCGGTCAGGTCAAGTCAGGTCATGTACGGCTGAAAAACGTATCACATTTTGTATGGAGTCTAGCGAGCAACAGGCAAACAGCAAACAGGCAAACAGACAGTCGACATACAGGAGGCATGGTGGCTGCAGCGCGGGATACAGGAATTATGTTTGAGCCAAGGTGACGAGTGGCAGAGGACCCCCTAGGGGCGTTCGGGGGCCTCCTAGGCTCCCTTAGCTGCTGGCACAACCTGGGACAACCTGGTCCTAAGCTTCCCCCGCCCTATCGCTTCGCGCCGGAGGGCCTAAAGTTAGATCCGACAAAGCCTAAAGTGCAGGTCCATCCAGCCCACTGCTGCCCCCAACTAGGGGCTAAAGGGCTAAAAGGGCGCAAGGGCGAAGGGAAAACAAGGGAAAAAGGGAAAAATGGTCAAAGCTCATGCAGGGGTCTTTCAACATCGTCCGTGCCTCTGCTGGCGCTAATGCTGCTTGCACAGAGGAGAGAACCTGTCAACTGTCAACTCAACCTATCGCTGCCCGTGATTCATGGCCATCTCTGAAGCTGAACACGACACCCACACCCACACCGCAATGCACTGGAGCTCGATCGGATCCCGCCCATCACGCTGGAAAAGGTCCAGCTTGCTCGAACATCCTATCCGAAGAAACGGACGCAGGACCGTACGAGTACGATGATGACCAGTGTAGGCTGGTCCTGTGGTCAGCTGGTTGGGTTCAAGTCAAGAGCGGCCATCCAGGCTGGGAGGTTGAGGTTGACGGCCAACTACATGACAGACGGCAAACTACATGACATGTGGATAGCTAGCCCTGGGTGAAACGCTTTAGAGTTTGCAATACTATCTGAGTCGAGGCAACCACCCAGCGTACCGCGTCCTGTGGTCTCATTTTCACTGTCCGAATCCTGGATAACGAAACTCCGTATGAAAGGTCCAACTGGCTGTCCTACTCCTCCTGCCCAAGGCATCGTAGAGGTCCCACTATCCGAACGTGCTCTCGGTACGGCTTCTCACCTTTTGTCTTGTGATCACCATGGAGGGATTCAGCTTCAGCTCACTCCCTTGGATAAATGCTTCGAACGCCTTGAAGCTCCAGGCCGCAGTGTATCGAAATCCCTTCTGGATCGCCAGAAATTGGATTGATGTCGCAGATTTGGCATCCCATTTCGGCCACTCCTCCACGAAGCTCAGGAGACGCTCATTCCCGAGCCGGATGGGGATGGGACCCTCGGTCTTGGTCAGCACCGTCAATAGGACGACCGCATTTCGGTCGGCCGAGTCTTTTGCCTCTCGAAGCCGCCGACCCAGATGTCGGCGGCTCCGCTCGATGAATTCTCGATGACTATCATCCGCCGGGTCCAAGGTCCTCTGGAGGCGAATGGCGTGCTGGTACGCCGTGACAGGATCTTCGTGCTCAGCACACAGCTGGCCGATTTCCCTAAGGGCCGCTCGCGTGCGGGAAGGAATTCTCACCAGCATAGGACCGTATGATTCCGGGCTGGACTCCTCAGACTCGGTGCGTCGGACATAGCGGGGCTCAGATCGAGATTGTTCCTGGCTGGGAGAGTGGACATCCCTCGGGATGGGGTATTGCTGAGGCTGCTGGTGTTGGGAAACGCCCGAGGAGAGTGGCCGTGCCTGGTTGTAAAGGGAGGGGATGGCAGGCATGAGCTGGCCATCAGTATCGTCTGGCCAGGCCAAATGGTTGGCAATGTCGTCGTCGACCTGCAGCTGAGATGACAGGTCCGGAGTGGTCGGGAAAGCGAGATCACTCTCGGTCCCGCTGTAGAGGGAGTCTTCGTCCATCAATGTTTGATCGCTGGGCTCCGTGCTGCCAGTATCCTCATCGGCTGGTTTAGACCAAAAGCCTGCGGACAGGTGAGGAATCTGGCTTTCGTACGGCACGGGATCGACGATGGGATAGAACGGCCCGGGGAATGGTCCCCACGTTGGGTCTCCGAAGGCAAACGGCTCAGCCTCAGCCTGAGCCTGAGCCTGGGCCTGCATCTCTTGCTCGGCGTCGCCTGGGCCGGTTTGCAATAGCAAAGGTGGGTCGATGGCGGCCTCGGGCTGAAGCTCAATGCTGTTGGCGTCGCTGCTGTACGTGAAAGGCTGTGCAGGGCCAGCGCTTGTCCGTGGTATCTTCTGTCGGCGGGCACCAAAGCTCGCCATCGCAACCAGACCAGACGCAGGTACGGGAAGAATGAGGGAGGGCTGACAGCGCAGGATAGAGAGGATAGGAAGGATAGGAAGGACAGGACAGGGAAGACAGCCACGGATAGATGCATGGGCGATTGATCATATACTGCTCAGGACCCAGGACCCAGGACGCAGCCAGCAAGGGGGAATGGCCCATGGGTGTCTGGATGTCTGAGAGTCTGATGCCTCCCGCCACGCCACTGACAAGGGAGCAAGAGCTGGAAATGTCAACATACGCGCACACACACATACACACTTTCTCTCTCTCCCGCTCCTCTCCTCTCCTCTCCTGCAATTCCAACAGTCTGGGTCGCTGCTACGCTGGTGGCAGCTGGCAGCTGGCAGTGGACAGTGGGAAGGGCTGGCGAGGGGGTGGACCATTACTAGGACGTCTCGCACTGGAATGCCACTACTGCCATCCGCGCACCCTGGCAATGGCACCCCGGCAGCCGCAGGCCTAGGAGGCCCCCAAAGCCTATAAGCCTAAGCCTAGGCACTAGCACCTGTCAGTGCTAGCTGCTGCCAGACGAGCCCAAGTCCGAGCCGCCTCACACGATTGCCGATCAATCGCAGCCTCTGCCATCCACGCACCATGCACCGCGCACCTCTATCACGCTCCACCATCACCGCCATCACTGCCATCACCCTCCATCACCACCACGCCTTACAGCCTGTCGTGCGGTCCGTGATTCTTGACTGTCACTCTGTAACGAATGCCTGTCTGTTCGACCCGCGCCTGGATCCGTAGCCGGAATCCTGATCGCTCGCTCCACCACCCATCTCCCCTTCGCGGCCGCCAACCAGCAAGCACAGGCAAGCTGAGGTGCTGCTAGTTACCTACTAGTGCACTGCCTCCCAGCATCGTATCTCGATTCTCAAAAAGCCTCCTGAGCCTAGCACCTCCGGGGCCCACCAGTCAGATTCATGGCATGCTCGGCGTCTCTCTCGATCCTGACGTTGATGTCTCTGTCTTCGGATTCCTTGTATGGAGTACAGGACTCACTTCTACTAGTAGCAGCGCATGACCCCTCCAGCTGGAGGAATCCCGCCCCCCCTACTTCCCAAGCTCGCCTCCAAATTCTCTCACGAAACTCGCCCGCCGGTGCAGCCTGGCCTCGTCCAGCATCTTCCACACCCAAGTCGTGTATACCTGCCCATCAGCAGCTGTCATCGAAAGGGGACGCTGGGAAATCGCGACCAAGCACCTGCGAATGGTTGGATGGGTTCCAAAAGGTGGCGACCGGTCCCGACTGAAACCCATCCTTGCTTGCGGCTGAGACGACAGGGTATTCAGGTATTCAGGCATACAACCTCATTGTCTCCTCAAAGATGCCGCCTGCTCTTACGTCAGAGTCGCTGTGCTCCACGCGTCTTCTCAAAGGTGGCGTCGAATAGTGCAGGGTCTGTGGGAGGTTGCCGGCTGGTGTTGGAAATGCACCTTTCGCCTCGACAATGTCATTCGAGTCCCTGGGGAGCAGGAGGAGGAGCAGCAGCAGCAACAGCAGCAATCTCCTCTAGCCGTCCCATGGAGGGACATGTGCCAGAATGGATCTGATGGGGCCGGCCTTGCGAAAGGTATCGGACGTGCCCTCAGATAGGTCTGGTCATGTATCAAAAACCACAGTCGATCATCGGTACCACGGGCAAGATCATGACCAGACTCAACCCGTTGTCACTATTGTCTGTCAACTCTCCACTTCAAGTCTATGCAACTTCTTTCTGACCCCTCCTTGTTAGCCCCGACCGCCTGATGTTGACAAGGACCGCCCCACGCCGTCTGGGAGGCTTCAAAAGTTGGAATTCAACTGGTAGAAGCCTCATGCTCCACCAGTTAGATAGAATCAAAGCGGTATCTGGATGTTGTCGTCGCAGCTCTTGAATGTTGTCTCTGATTGACGGAACCAGCCATTTTCAAACCTTGAGAGTTAATGGGTGTCCACTACTCCCTGAATGTGTCAGATATGGCCCTCAGGCGGAACTTCCAGTGCGGCAGACACCCCGGCTCAGGCTGCTCCCAGGCGGGTCAGTTGACACCTTGTTCTCTAGCGGTTGCCATTCGACGTTCACTGCTATTCTCGACTACACTACAAGGTGTCACTGGGGTGTGCTTCTGATCTCAAGTTGTTGTTGAAGGGATCAGCAAGCAACGCGGCCTTCAGCAGACGGGCCAGGTGTTCAGAACGGTGAAACTGCCCGAAACATGGGACCAATTTAGAAATCAAGAACGAGCTATTGAACACGCTTGATGCCATCATTCAGAATCCATGTGCGTCACTTTCCCTTGAGCTGGAGGGGGTGCCAGAGAAGGCTTGACCTGCAGGCAGCTTACAGTAGCAACCTGGTTCTCTGGTCTATGCAATACCCTTGCTGCTCAAATGTCTCCGTCCTAGTAGTCTAGATGCACTCAACAAAATTGCCAGTAGTTCATTGGATAAGTCGTACTGATGCTCTGACAGTCGTCTTGCCGTCAGGCTTAAAACGTCGTCTCAGGCTGAACAGGCGGTCAATGGGTATGAAGACTTTGCCTGTCAGCATGAAGAGCAACCCATCCAGCCATTGAATTGGCTTTGATGGATTTAACAAACGAACAGAGTGAGGCTTCCCTGGGCTTGGTTTGAGGGTGTTGATAGTTGATGTCCTAGTAGTCATTGATTCTGCCGCCATTCCAGTTCCATAGACCACAAGAAGCAGCCAACCAGTTCCATAGACCCCAAGGACCCAAGCAGCAGCCCACGGTACTGTACATTGGCTTGGGGGTGTTGATAGTCGACGTCCTAGTAGTCATTGATGGACTACCGACCGCCATTCCAGTTCCATGAACCCCAAGCAGCAGCCCATATATTGTACATTGGAGACCAACGCAACGACATCATCCCCGACAGATTTACTCGAGCTCGTGTATGCAACCACCTCTTCATGCATTTTATCCTTGACGCCACAGGCTGAAGCTCGATTGCTAGATCATCTTAATCTCACTGTCGAGCCGGTTTACACGGGGCAAGGCAAAGGTTGGGTTCTTTTTCCACCCTGCAGGGTTGGCTTGTGTCCCAGCCATTACTGTCATGGAGAGGAGGAGTTATCGACTGACATGGAGAGAAGTGGCTATCGAAAGATCGATAATGAATGGACTTCGGAGGAGACAACGCTGGCAAGCTCTAGAAAACGTCAAGGCTATTAGCAAAACCCAGTCGGCCAGGTGGGAGAAACACGACCGAGCATCGAAGACACCAACTTGTGAATTGGCATATATTTATATGTTCGTCCGCAAGTCAGCGTGACCAGAGTCGAATCGGAGTCCTAACATCACCATGTAGGTACAAGTTCAAGTCCCCAAAACAAGGGAGTTGAAGTCCAAGGCTTGCCTTTTGCCTGGCTGGGACTGGGACGCATGCTGAAGAGGTAGGTAGTACATACAGGAAGCTGCGCTGCTGCGCTGCAGCTCTGTCCCAGATCCCCAGCTTGGCTGAGGACAGTTGAGAAAATCCCTTGAAGCAGCCATGATGGGAGCTTGGAGCTTGGAGCTGCCTGCGCTGCGCTTCGGAAGATGAGGGTGCAATAAGGCTGAATTTCAAGACAGTTCAGACTCTCAAGGGGAGAGGACCGCAGACCGCAACTTGGCCGCAAATCCGGGGTGCTGATTGGCGGAATCTCGCTCCTTCAACTTGAACCCCACCAGACCAACAACAGTGTTGTGTAGTGTTGATTCCAACAGTGACAGTGTTGTATTGTGTTGATTTACTGTACGGATTAGATGACGTCCACAGACATTCTTCTGTCTTCTGTCTTCTTCTGCATGCAGGTCTAGGTCTGGGTCACACATTCATTGTTAGCAGCAGTGTAACAACAAACCATGTAGGTGAGATTCATGACCCAGAACGGCTTTGCACGTTTCAATTGAATCTTCATTGTTGGAGGGTGCTAAATGTCAAGAACTAGATGCCGTGAACTCAATACTTTTTTAAGTTGGCAAACTTGGTGGTCGGAGTGCATGGATAATGACACAATGATACAATAGACTGGTGACTGGATGCTTCTGAGACTGGACTGTCTCAGAACACCAAGTTAGACACCAAGTTCATACCACACCAAATTCGGATTATACATACTAGCTAATCCGGCCTAACTCTTACGCTGACCTTATTGCTAACCTCGTTGTCGACCTCGTTATCGACCTCGCCGTCGTCTTAGATCTCGTTATCGGCCCTATACGCCACTGCCACATAGGTACCAAGTTTGATGACTCCGCCTTCTAGTATTTAGCTGCGTAAACTCTCTTCCTCTTCTCTCTACCTAATTTAGCGGGACCGCAGGCCTATAGTAGTCAGCAGAGGGGATCGATCCGTACGAGGCCGAGGCCCCTCCAACTTCAGAGGAGTAGGAATACTTATTGGTCAAAAATATGAGGGACGTGTTGGGCGCTATACGGAGGCGTTGTATAAGGGTCGTGCTGTAGGCTTAGGGGCGCTGTACGGATAGGCGTTACAAGTTTTGTAGGCGTCATAGACGTTAGTTCCACCGTCTGTTAGGTTTTACATACCCTCGACGGCTCCTAAGCTCTCGCACAACGCCTCCACCGTCGCACAGTACCAACCACCTAGCGAGATAGCCGAACTAGGTGCGGTATGAATTTGGTGTTGAACTTGGTGCTCTGAGACAATCCGCTTCTGAGCAATGATGTCTGTGATGCCGTGAGCAGGACGCTTGTTGACCCAAGGCAGAAAAGTATCGAAAAATCAAGCGAGTTTTCAGGGGCTTGGAATCGGATCGGGTTCAATGATAGTGTTGGCTATATGTACGGTCACATAGTTGTGGTCGACCAGATCTACCAGGCTGCTAATTTTCGTCGTCGTCTTCGACAAGTGCTGCCGCCTAATCTTTGTCTGCTGTCTTCGCAACTCTTTACGAGTACGACCTCGGGCTGATTACACATTGTTGGAGCTCACCAGCCAGCGATCGCAGATCGTCAAAATCACCCTCTGTGTGATTGATGATCTCTTTTCTCGCCTCCACGGCCTCCTTGGTCATTTCCCCAGCCTTGATGCATCTGCAGAGATCTTCGGAAGTGATAGTGATGGACTTATCGCGCAGAGACTGCGGAATCAAGACCTCGAGTGCAAAGTCCACGATTGCGATCTGCAGTCGTGAATCTGGGATTGGCTGGCCATCACTGCTCCGGAGTTCCTACGCAAAAGTGAGTGATCATAGCATAAATCGCGTGCTCTGTACGCTTACCTGACTCTCGTGCACCATTATCATGCAGGTCGCAAACTGCCAGGCGGGTGCTGCATTTGTGATCTCCATGTGTGCTAAACGATCTTCTTTGAACGGATCTAGCGCAACGGCGAGGCAGACGTTTCCACTACTTCGGCTGTGCGCCAGTTCTAACAAGGGCAAGCTTGCTCTTCTGTGAATACGCTACCTCTAATATCACACCCGGATATTGTGCCAAGATATGTTGAACCTGCGCGTTAGGGGTGTCAGGAGTGTGCTAGACTCCGGTGCGGCTGTTTTTCATATTACGGAGTAGTTTGGCCATTGTTTCTGATCAGATTCGCAGAAACTTCCTCCTCTAGATTTCCTGAGCTCTGCTGCATCAAATCGTTGACAGCCAGAAACAGAAGCCCGAGACTAGGCTCTCATGCTCAATACTCACCGCCATACGTAGGACGAGTACCGTGATATCATGGAGGTGGTGTTGCCGGTAGTCATGAAACGTGCCAATATTACACAACTGACTTATTTCTCCCCGGACGGATTATCGTCGAGGTGTTGTCTCAAAGTGCTGGACTCGTCGGTGGTTATGTGAGACTGTAGCCAACGATCGGTCCTGCGAGAGCGACCAGCAACGCATCAGTCAACAACTTCAACGATGAGTGGTCGATCAGAGGTAGATATCGAGTCTGGGATCGTGAAAGAGTGAGAGGGACGACTAGCAAGTTCCCAGACAGGGAGGTGACGGGGCTAGAAATCGAACCAAGCACGTCCAACCCTTCTTCAGCGTCCTGCGCTGTAGCGAAATATGGTGACGGAGTAGCCATGCTTGCATGATCTGTGAGGAAGTACAACGACGACACCGCCGGAGAAAAGCTGGTTGGAAGTTGAAACTGACAGCATGAAAGAATTGATTGATGATGCTAAAGATGAAAACCACGAAAGAGGCTGAAATGTTTTGAAGGACCTTAAGTACCAGCTATCTTAGCGCTATCTTAGCTTAGAGGACAACAATAGTAGTGACCACTTCAGGCGAGTTGAAGTCAACTCTATAAGGGTTTGAAGTGGTGTTGGTGATACGGTAAGCAACAGGAAAACATGGTCGCGGTGGGCACACAGTCGGCACAGATTGCGGGCGAGGTCTGGGGTATGCGGAGAGATATATTTCAACGGTCGAGTACATAGACGTTCAATGTCGAATGTGCTACGGCCGATCAAATAAGCCCCGGTGGCCTGTGCAATTCCGAGCAAACCCATAGGTAGGTATGTACTCCGATGTCTGTACTCCGTACCGCCAGTGGCATTTCGTCAGCTGGCCGCTTCAAGGCTGATGAGACATCTCAGTCCTCATTCACCCGGCCATCGTGCGGAGAGCAGTGTGGGGAGCTGAATGAAATACGGATACTCGTACGGATTGACCTTTGCCAACCAACTGTAGATAATTCCTAGATAATAAGAGTAGTATTAGTACTATTGCAATTCCAGACCCAGCCTGCTCGTGTCCAATAAGGCGTTTCCGTGGTTTTTTCCGTTTTTTTTCAGTGAGTTTAGGTTCCCAGTGAGTAATAGTGACCTCCATTCCTTCCACTCCACAAGCCATGGTGATGATCCCTTTGGCAATCCGGGCACCATCTCAATCCCATTAGAAGTACTCCTGCTAGGAGCCACAACTTCGTCAGTCCTATCCAGCTTGGATCCGTAGGCCTGCATGTCAGAACGGGCGATTTATCGGCGGCGTCGGATGCCAATAATACCTCGCACGCATCCTGGAAGCTACGGGTAGTAAGGATCATGCCGCCGCCACTCCACCTCCAGTTTATCCGTCCAATCTCCCTTGCGATGCAAGTAGTTGTATAGCTCCAATCTCCCATCATCTATTGGCCGCGGTACATCCAGGGTGGAAATGGCAGAAGATAGTCGATCAGAGGAAAGGACAGAAGATAGTCGATCATTGTCAACATTGCTGATCTCAAGATCTTCCAACGCAGGATGCTCACGCAAGGCCCTGAAAACAGGAAGCCACCGCTCATTGTTCACTCTCACGTCGTTCAAGGTTATCTCGCGAAGATGGCGGTGACGGTCCATGAAGCGGACAAATCCTGTACGCGACATGGTCAAGCCTTCCAAGCCGAGTTTGGTGAGGTGAGGGATATTCAAGTCCCAGAGCTTGTTCATGGTCGGGTGATCCCATCGTTTGCAAACAAATCGAAGGTGGAGCTCAGTCACCGCAGGCATCAGCAACGATAATTGACCAATGGTTGTGGACCATTGCAAGTCGGTTGGTTCATACGGCTCGTTGCTATCTCTCAAACAGAGGTCCAGGCGGGTCAGCTTGGAAACATCGAGCCCAACTGGCCATCCACGAACGTGGTCCATGGAAAAGAAGTTGCTTGGACCCCATCCATTGTAGGTGACGAGCTCCTCCAGCGGAATTTTCGCAATGGCTACCGCCTCAAGGACATTGGCAACGTGGAGATCAGGGGACTCGGTCTCGATGCCCTCAACCATATTTCTCAGAAGCACCTTTGGATACTTCCTTTGAAACATGGTCCGGATTTGAAAATGGTGATTCATGTCAAGGTTGATGGCTCTTGGAACCCCGTCGGAGATGAAAATGCTTGACAGCAAAGGGAAGCGAGACAGGCATCGTGCACAAATTTCTGTGTATGCTACGCCGCGAAGCAGATTGGTTTGTTCTGCCAGGGCAGCCTGGTATGTCACAAGACCTGTCTCTTCTTCTACGTGTGAGTAGATCGACTGTACCAAACGCCATTTCTCCGATCGAATCCGGGTCCTATATTGGCGGGGGTCTCCAAGCTTTGGCTGCAACATGGGCGAGCAGAAGACGAGTCGATGGACGTAGTTTCGAAGGAATGGGTGCTGTGACAGTAGTTCCAATCTGTCCAGACTTTGAGGAGTCACGAAGACATTGAAGTCGTAGAATAAGGCAGCAGCAGGTGTTCGGAGGTAGGATAAGGTCTTGCAAGTTCGTCTTATCGCTAGACAATCGGCCCTGAAGGGCTCTTGCCGTGCCTCAAAATAGTTCCGGCTTCGTTGCGGACGGTACTTTCGAGCCTCGTCGGGTGGTACGAGGTAGCGGCAGATGTTTTCAAGAGTCTCAAGTGGAAGAGTCTCCATTTTAGGCAGGATGATCACGAGAGGATCTGTAATGTCTACGACAGCCTCATGGGAGCAGATGAAGTTGATGACCTGAGGCTGAACTGCGGTGGGCAGGTGGTGGGGTTGTCAATGTAGCGGTGGGCTATGAGGTCACATGCTGCATCACGTGCTTGTCTCGTTTCACAGTGACCCAGGCTACCTTAGCTTCTCTCGCTGGAAGATGACAACAGCACTTGAAGCAGGCTAAGATGAGGTCAAACGAGAATGATTTGTCTTCTAGTACTAAGAACAAATAGTGATGTTGATTTCCATTGCTGCGAATTCAATATTCTTGAGGTAGCAGCTCTGTCTCGCTGCTATTACGATAGCCAGTGCGGGGAAATATACTAGTTGATGATAGGACAGCATGAGTATCAGTCCAATTCGGTCTCTCGCAGTTGGGTTACCTGTTAGGTGCTTGTGTCATAATAAACATTTCATTCTCGTCTTCGACAGTTGTATAGCATATTCACCCAAGATGCACGGTTCGGTGCCGTGATTACAGGCTTCGCGGACAGCCATTTACCTCCTCCATACTTGTTTTGAGTCGCGATGGGCCGCTACCATGGTAGAGACGCGTCACAAATACCACCCCGCTGATTCCCATGGATGTTTTCCGAGTCCGCCTCAACTGCGTTGACCATTACCAGGCACTTCGCGTTGATGAGTTCGATCCGCCGGTGCCCCAGGGCGTCGCGAGCCAAAATCCGAAGGATGGCCCTCGAATCTCCGTCATCCGCGTGTTTGGCGCCACCGAGACGGGACAGAAAGTGTTGATGCACATCCATGGCGCGCTGCAATATACATACATCGAGTACAGTGGGAGTCTGGTCCCGGAAGATGTCGAGGTCGCCATACGGACACTCCAGCTCTCCATCGATCACGCGCTCGCGGTGAGCTATCGCAAGAATATCTACGATGGCAAACATCGATACGTTGCGCACATCTCGCTGGTCAAGGGAATCCCCTTCTACGGCTTCCATGTCGGTTACAGGTTCTACCTGAAAATCTACTTGCTCAATCCACTCCACATGACCAGGCTGGCGGACCTTTTGCGCGAAGGCGCGGTCATGAAGAGAGTTTTGCAGCCGTATGAGAGTCACATGCAATATCTGGCACAATGGATGTGCGATTACAATCTGTACGGTTGTGGGTACATTGAGTGCGGAAGGGTCAGGTTCCGAGGACCTGTGCCAAAGTACTTCGAAATGACCAACGCCATGCACCAGTGGCATGACCACTCCATTCCGCCAGAGTACATCTCCGACGAGGCCCTACTGCCGAAGCAGAGTCATTGTGCCCTTGAAGTGGATGTTCATGTCAAGGATATCCTCAATCGCCGGGATGTTTATGCTCGAAACCTCCATCATGATTTTATTGAGCGTATGCATCCCATCTCTGCCGATGCCAAGTTGGTCCAGTCTATGGCCGGCCTGTGGAAGGATGAGACGCGACGGAGGAAAGTCAGAATGGGTCTGAAGGACAACAGCAGCAGTCCGTTTCCACCTGAGGTCCTGGTCTCGATGTCGGCCGATCCACGGGACATTTCTGCCGGGGGCTGGATCCATGAGGAGGAATATCGCGCAAAGGTTGAACAAATCGCGGCTGAAGAGCATTCCCATGGCGACACTTCCAAAGTATCATTTGATACGTTTGTGAAACCTGTTTCGTTGGAAACCACAATCAAGACCGCATTGGAGAGCGTTGAAGACTTGTATCCGTACAATATGCGTGAGCCCCCGCTCGCGGGCAGAAACGACTCGCCATCTGCAACGGATTTTGATCACAACAAACCGCAACCAAGCTTCGGTGGCGAAATACAGGCAAACACCGTCGAGCACGTTCTTGAATGTAGTTCGGACGACGTGAATGTCTCGAATGATTCGAGTGCGGGCCCTGCGAACAGCAGCCACAGTTCCAACATGGAAAATGCTCAGGTGAAAGAACAGATATCAATGCCTATCAGCTCTTCTGAGTACGAGCAATATGGGATCCGACGTGCAGGAGATACTTTATCTCTGGACGCAGATGCTTTTGAGTTGCCCGAAGAATACCTGGATCGAGCCTTGACTCCAAACAAACCCAAGCGGGCGAGATTTGCCGCAGCACCAACTTTCAAACCGAGGAAGCGACGGAGGCAGTTGGTTGATGACGAGAATGTCTTGCCCGATGTCAGATTCTCTGGCTCTGAGGACGATCCCGACGTCGCCACAGACGCGTTCGGGATGGAGCCTGTCGCAAAACCAATATCGGACGAAATGCACAGCATTCGACTTTCTAGCAACATGTTACACGAGCTACCATCCGGTCCTCAAGAAGTCGGACCCAGGAATACGTCGGAGGGAGGCCTGAGTTCATTGAACATGTCGCAACACTCGACATTGTCCTTCCCAACAGTCAAGAACCCAAACGATCCTACAACACTCCTTCGACTGAGTCAAAAAAGCGGCGCATTCCCTGACCCATCTCAGGCCTCTAGTACTAAGCCGGTGGCCTCCCCTGTTCTGCCCGAAGCTACTTCGAAGAATATGCCGACGTCTTCCCAGCCCACACTGGTACCACTCCCCCTTAGTGAGAGTCCCAAATTAGCGAAACCTGTTGATTTGAGGATGACAAATCTTCCTTTGCAACGGCCCGGGGCCTGCTGGCATGTATGCCAGGTCCGTCCACCAAGCTTCAACCACGTCGAAAAGAGCTTGTGGCAGCACGGTCTACCTGATGTGATCTACCAAGAAGCATTCTACAGCAACGAAAACGATGTACCCGAGCAGGCGCGAGAATACGCGGGACGAGAATTCAAGCTCGAGAGTACGACTGTGCCGCATCTCCCTGATTTTGATCCGTCCGGTGCATCGCAAGCCACTTATGGTCGGAAGCCTCCAGCATTGCTCGACCTCGCGGCGGAAAGCATCCGAGATAATCAGAGGCGAAAGCGCTGCACAATCACAGAATGGACAATTTCCAAACCACCTCCTCGCAAGATTGACGTCCTGTCTTGGATCGAGGAGGAGCGAGCGGCAAAGGACAACGCCACAACGAAGGAAATACATACTCACAGGCAGCTGTCACAGATCGATGGGCCGATGCAGAAAAACACATACGGCTTCAAGTATTCCCAAAAACGAGCAAGCACCAGTGTGCAGCATGAAACGCAGTATATGAGCATCATGAGCCTCGAAGTGCATGTCAATACCCGGGGCCCACTTATGCCCAATCCGGAGGAAGACGCTGTCTCTTGCATCTTTTGGTGCATTCAGACCGATGATGAAGACATTGAGACGAACGGAAGCAAGGATGGCGTGCATGTCGGAATTCTCACGGTCGCGGATGAAGCACACATGGCCAAGAAGCTTGAGCGGATCGTGCCTTACGACGTGGAAGAAGAGGCGACCGAACTCGACGTACTGACAAGGCTGGTTGACATTGTACGAAAGTACGATCCGGATATCTTGACAGGCTACGAAGTACATAACAGTTCGTGGGGATACCTGATCGAGCGAGCTCGCCTCAAGTACGATCTCAACTACTGCGACGAGCTGTCACGCATGAAGGCGCAGTCTCACGGCCGGTTTGGTAAGGAGGACGATCGATGGGGGTTCAACCACACATCAACGATCCGCGTGACAGGCCGACACACGATCAATATCTGGAGAGCAATGCGTGGGGAATTGAACCTTCTCCAATACACCATGGAGAATGTGGTGTATCACCTGCTCCACCAACGGATTCCTCATTACGCATTTATCGATTTGACCCGCTGGTACAGAAGCAAGAATCCACGCGACCTGGCGAAAGTGGTGGAGTATTTCTGCTCGCGGGTTCAGATGGACATTGAAATCCTGGATGCCAACGAGCTCGTGCCGCGCACAAGCGAACAGGCTCGGTTGCTGGGAGTGGACTGGTTTTCTGTGATCTCCCGCGGCTCGCAATTCAAAGTGGAGTCATTGATGTTTCGCATCGCAAAGCCCGAGAGTTTCATGCTGGTGTCGCCTAGTCGTCGGCAGGTGGGCGGGCAGAATGCGCTAGAATGCTTGCCGCTGGTGATGGAGCCGCGCAGCGACTTCTATCCAAGCCCGCTGCTGGTGCTGGATTTTCAGTCTCTTTACCCCAGTGTGATGATCGCGTACAACTACTGCTATTCGACTTTTCTCGGTCGGGTTGTCGGCTGGCGAGGCACCAACAAAATGGGGTTCACAGACTATCGTCGGGCGCCCGGCATGTTGGGGCTGTTGAAGGATCACATCAACATCGCGCCCAACGGGATAATGTACGCCAAACCCCATATCCGTACGTCACTCCTGGCTAAAATGTTGAGGGAAATCCTGGAGACGCGGGTGATGGTCAAGAGCGGCATGAAGGTGGACAAAGATGACAAGACGCTGCAGCGGCTGCTGAACAATCGACAGCTTGCACTGAAGCTCATTGCAAACGTTACATACGGGTACACGTCGGCGTCTTTTTCGGGCCGCATGCCCTGCTCCGAGATCGCGGACAGCATCGTGCAAACGGGCCGCGAGACGCTGGAAAAGACGATTGCGTTTATCCACTCGGTAGAGCGATGGGGCGCCGAGGTTGTTTATGGCGACACGGACAGTCTTTTTGTGTACCTGAAAGGACGAACGCGCGATCAAGCGTTTGACATTGGCGAGGAAATCGCGCAAGCCGTGACCAACATGAATCCGCGGCCAGTCAAACTGAAGTTTGAAAAGGTGTACCATCCGTGCGTGTTGCTGGCCAAGAAGCGATATGTCGGCTTCAAATATGAGAGTCGCAAGCAGACCGTGCCCGAGTTTGACGCTAAAGGTATTGAGACGGTGCGGCGGGATGGCACGCCGGCTGAGCAGAAGATCGAGGAGACGGCTTTGAAACTGCTCTTTCGCACTGCAGACCTCAGCCAGGTGAAGCGGTTCTTCCAGGCGCAGTGTGCCAAGATCATGCGTGGCAGTGTGTCGATCCAGGATTTCTGTTTTGCCCGTGAAGTCAAGCTGGGGACGTACAGCGACAAAGGACCTCCGCCGCCTGGCGCACTGATCAGCGCTCGCCGGATGCTGCAAGATGCACGCCTGGAACCGCAGTACGGCGAGCGGGTGCCGTACGTGGTGGTGACGGGCGGGCCTGGAGCACGGCTCATCGACCGCTGCGTGGCGCCCGAAGTGCTGCTCAGCGATCCGCATGCGGAACTGGATGCCGAGTACTACATTTCCAAGAACATCATTCCGCCGCTCGAGCGGATCTTCAATCTGGTCGGTGCCAACGTGCGGCAGTGGTATGACGAAATGCCCAAGTACCAGCGTATCCGCCGTGTGGAGGGAGCCGGCACGAATCAAAGGAAGGCGACGCTCGAGTCGTACATGAAGTCATCGACGTGTGTGGTGTGCCGGAAACCACTGGACATCGAGTCGCCGTCGTCACTGGGACTGTGCTCGACTTGCCTCAAGCGTTCTGCGCAGAGCATGTTGACGCTGCGGACGCGATTGACGACGACGGAACGGAAAGTCAGCCAGCTTTCCAAGGTTTGCCGGTCGTGTGCCGGGCTGGCCTGGGACGACCAGGTCTGCTGTGACAGCAAGGACTGTCCCGTCTTCTACTCCCGCACGCGGTCCAAGGTGGCGCTAGCGACCGAGCAGGCGCAGCTAGGCCCCATCCTCGACAGTCTAGAGAGACGTGAAGATGGGGGTGGATGGGATTGGTAGCGGAGGAATGGAAGAGAGACCTAACCACACGGCGTGGATGGGTCGAATATCCTTCGCAGGGCGTGGAATACACACAGACTGGGCGAGCGAAGATTCAAAATGGTTTGGATTGGGTCGGCAGGATACCCCATAAACCCCGGTTTGGATTAGGAGGAGAGTCACAGGCAAGGCAATGGACGTTATGCAATGGATTGGATTGATCAGGCGCTGGAGCATCACGTGCGGCAAGAATTGAATATCAATTGGACTTGGACTTCCTTTTTTATTTGGGGTGGCTCAGCGAACACCCGGCTACTATCAGAGTGGACATCCAGTACGCCTGGGTGGTGTGCTTCAGCAACCACACGGCATACAAAGACACAGAATCCAGTTCCCCCAATTCCCAAGTCCCTTTTCCCTTGGTGTCAACTCATATTATCGTCACCTCATAGCATGTCCTGCGTCCTTGCATTCCGGCCTGGTATCCCTAAGGTAGCTATGTGTCGACTGCAGTCCACCTTGTGTCCCTTTCTTTCGCCTCCTTGTTTGGTCTCGCCCATGAGCAGCTAGCTACTTCCGTGTTAATGAAGTGGGCCGAAAGGGGAATGTGGAAGCCGAGCGGACTGGGCTAGGAAAAGGAGGGCGTGTATCTGGTACACAGCATGGCAAGGAAGAGTAGGGAGGCTCGAGGAAGTCAAGGTCAGGAAGGGGAGGACTGACCTGCGGCAACGACGGGCTTGCCATTCAGAGGTGAGCCTCGTTCTGGTCCTGGCCCTGTGAAGCGCCAACGCTCTGCCGCCACTGTCTACGGACGATGGCGAGGCGGTGTTTGACAGTGGCCTCGACGACCTCCATGGACAAGACGGCGGGGAACAGGCGGAGCCGGCCGCACTGTCTGATCACGTCGTCGACCATGGCGCGCTGCAGGGCGGCGGGGATCTTATTCCAGGAGGCGGCGGCGTCGGTCAGGACGTTCGGGGACCCGTCCGACGCTGCCAGGCGGTGGCGGCGGTGGGTTTGGCGAGCGACGGTCCTGAAGGCCTCGAATGCTTCTTCGGTCATGCCCAACCCAACACGCAGCTCTGCCGACGTGATGTTGGTGCGCGTCGGGACGGGGAGGGCGTCACGGAGCATTGCGAATGAGGCTCGTTGCGGGGCGTTGCTGGAGCTGGAGCTGGAGCTGTTGAGGGTTTCAGTGCTGTGGCTGCCACCGGTTTCCCAGATGCTGCTGGTGTTGTGGTTGTTGTTGGTGGTGGCGGTGGTGTTGTCTTCTTCTCTACTCTCTTCTTCTGGGGGGAATGGAATGCAGATGCGGATGGGTTGTAGACGGAGGCGGGATCGGGGGAGGCATCTGTGCTGTTTATATGCTGCTTCGTGTCGTGGGCTTGATTTGCCACTGCACCCTGATCTCAAGCCATCCCATGGCAAGCCATGACCCTTCCCGCATCACTTAGGGGACTGAGTTGCAGCGGGCTACCTTGTATCCTCCCTGTTCGGCAGTGGTAGATTGCAAGCCGCATCCCCAGGGAGAGCATTAGCGCAGTCGCGGTATAGGTGACTTGCTGCAGCAAAAGCGGGCTTCTTGCGTCGAGTCTCGATCTACAGTGTCATAGCACCTCCGTAGCACAGCTGGGTCCCATTTGTAATTCAATTGTCAATTGTCTGGGGCCGGTGTCATGGCATCTTTCCTACACCACCCTCATCCTTCCCGAAGACATGTCATCCCCTGGTTGGTTGGGCGGGCTCTCACTGGAGGCTTGTGACGGGGGATCGGGAGCCACAAAGTTATCAAGCCTTCTTTCTGTCAGTGCATGTGTCAGCGTGGTGAGTGGTGCGTTGTGCGTGTGTTGTCCGTGTGTCGCAGGGAACAGTGTGTAGAGTAGCGTACGGAGTATGTGTAAGGTGGTGTCCACCGTCCATCCATGCTCTTACTTCCTCTTCTTTGCCATCCCCCTCCACCTCGACAGCCTACTCATCTCGGTTTCACTCGCACTCGCTCGTCGCTGAACATCTTGTCCAGTGGCCTGCGATCCAAATGGCAAGCGAGTGTCCCGACACATGGGCACCCAATGGCCGCCCATTGACAGCAGACTTGATGTTGCTCGACGCAGTCAACTGTCGACTCGAGCGAGAGGAGCCAAACCCCTTGTCTGCGCCTGACCTTGTTTCGCCTTCCCTTTTGGGCCTACTATGCAGGTGACAAAGAAAGCCGTAGTTTGTCAAAAGGCCTATTCGTGGGCCGCGCGTCCGTTTCGAAGGCAGGGAAAAGGCAGGGGAAAGGCAGGGAAAAGGAGGCACAAGAGAGAGCGGTGTGGCCAGCACGCAATGAAAGCACAAGTTGCCGGAGATCGCGACTACCTGACACCGGCACTGCCACCTGTCTTGTCACCCGTCAAAGGTGCGGTCTGTCCATCCATTCCATCTGCCCTCGACCTCCCCGCGAACTCAAACTCCACGGACTGCAATATCGCACTCCCGACCCGCGCCCCTCCTTAGCTGGCCGAGCCGCCGGTCATTCGTGGTGGAGTTTGTCCCCCTCCGGCCCTGGCCCATACTTTACATCGGAGCAAATGTCCGACAAGATCCTCTCGCTTCCGTCCCGCCTAGAATCTGGCTCTTGCCCCTCAGCCTGACGGCATGGCAAAGACCGTTTGTTGCTTATTGCAAATAATGCGGACGGTGTCGATAAATACAGGAAACTACGGCATTCTGTGATCTTGGAGAGCACGCACGGCCTTCACCTGTCTCGCCGACGCCCGCATATCCATGCTGGGGGACACGATTTAGAGCTTGTCGCGCCGCAGCCATGCAGCGCAAAGATGGATCCAGCTGTGCATTTCCCGTTGGCCCCCGGTGGTGCTGACGCCCGGATTAGGGGCAAATCCTTGTCCTTCCAGCAAAAGCGCGTCCTGAGTGTCGAGATGATTCGCGGGGAAAGCATCTAGACCCTGTCCTTGCTTGCCGCCGCGGAGTTGCTAAGCAGTCAAATGCGCCAGCTGAACGCAGTAGACATGATACTGTGGCCATGTGGCTGCGACCGGTCGCTACTGAACGAGCCGATCATTTCTCGATCAATCCAGACTGTCCGTGAGCGCGCCCAGCTGATGTATCTGAGACTTGCTAGGAATCGATCCAAGCTCGCAATTGGAGATCTCGATTTCAGCTGTGCATCGAGGCAAGCTGCTTGGTCATCTACCTTGCAGTCATAGAAGAAGGCGGATAGGCTGACGTACTCGGCTTTCATTGCTATCCCAACACCAGCGGCGCTAGGTGTGAGAAGTCGGTGCAGTTTGAATAACCGGCCTTCACGCTGTCAACGGCCAGACCTCAATGGCACATCTGGGCGTCCGGGAATGGTCTTGTTCAAAACGACAGATGCCAGGGAGGCATGCTTGGGCGGCTCAAGACACCACCGCAAACTCCTAGCCTCAACCGTCCAAACGCGGCATTTGACAATGGACAAGGTTAGCGGCATCAACTCCCAGGGTAGGGAGATATTTTCGTCCGTCATCGTCTCATGACCGCCTCCTTGAGCTGCAGACGGAATTGGAGCCTGTGCTTCCCATGTCTCGGTGGCGCTTTAGTGCCCCCGACTCGAGCTGAGGTTTGTGATGAAGTGCATGGACATGCAAGGGTGAGTCTCTCACCAGACCCAACCAAGCCGGAGCCAGGATGCATCTCTCTCGAATTGTTAGGGTTGAATGGGATGTTTTCCGTCCAGCCTCAATCCACTGATAACCACCGATACAGGCCTTGGTCGAAGGATATTGAATTTGGTCAGGCGGCTAGGGAAAGTGGGTGCGTGACAAGGCAAACAGACATGGAAAGGGAGGAGGGAAATGCGACGCAATACGATGGTGATCTCGATGAATGCTGGCCCAACATGCACGGGTCGAACAGCGACAGCCCCAGCCAACTGTTCTGTCTTTGACGGCCTTACCAGACAGCGCTAATCTGCGCTCCTTCTCCTTTCTTGTCTTAGGTCTATGGGCAGATCTGCTTGAATCCTTGTCCATGGTTGCTTCTTCCAAGTCTTGCTTTCTTGCTGCAGGACTGAGTGGGCTGCAGCTGCGCCGGGACATGCTGGCTCAACGCCATTCTCACAGCACTTGGAGAGGCTTACGTTGATCAATTGTCCAGCGATCAGCTGCCTCCTTACGATGGCATGGTGCCGGGTTTGGCGTACACCCCCAAGAGACTTAGGGAATACCATGGCTGAAGCACCTCCTCTCCCGGACACCGTATCACATCTCTGGCTTGCCTCTCCCTGATCCTGACCTTCGCAGCCGTCTTCGGCTCCGCATGTGTGCTTCTTCTATGTGTCCTGTGTCCCGCGTGCGTTAGCATCTAGCATCTACCATACCAACTGCTTTCCACTCTAGAGTCTCCCGTCACAACAGTGAGGGTCAGGAATTATGCAAACATACTCGACCCTTTGTAGAGCCTCGACGGGCTGTCGAACTTGAACATGATTCTCTTATGATCCTGCTGCAAGCAACCCACGCTTAGTCACTGGGTGTTGCGCCGTAATGCCGTATCACTGAATCTGGTCCACCGTAGTCGGAATACTTGCCTTCATGCACGGTTAGCCGACATAGCATGCTAATTAGTAGCAGGTAGGAAAGGTAGCACTGCTGGGACGATGCCCTCCATCTTCCATCCTCCATCCTCCTCTCCCTCAGGCTTGCTATGTTCGATAGATACCAGACATCACCTACTATATATCAAATCCAGACAGCCCTATCCCTGCTTCTACCGACAGCGTCCTCTCTGCGTCCCGGCCTCTGTCCTTCATGTCGATGAGAGCCGACATGCTTGATCGTCAACGTCATCAGTCCATCAGTCCATTGGTCCATTGGACAGCCGCAGAAAGCTCTGCCTGATTCTCCAGCTCTTGTGTTCGTCATGGGTCATCGGCCGCGAGCTGTTTTGCCCCTGTAAACATGTTTGAGTGGCCGCTCATATGACCATGCAAGACCGACATCGAGCATTAGGTAGGAACAGCTCACATGAGGCTGATAATGTCGCCAGACCATTAGGCGCAGGCCTTCCCAGATCAACCAGTTGTCCTGTCGAGCCCTCCGGCATTCCGCCACGCTCTGGAGCGTCTCCCGAAGCTCGTACACTTGAGATATGCAACGTGAACGATCTGATATGGTCGCCCTCAAGGTCTGATCCGGTTTGCCATCTTGAGTCTTGAGTTCCACAGCATTTCCTGTCCCGGATTCGCGCCAAAGAGGTCCGATAGAGTCTGCTGTTGACGGCTCAGGTGTCCGAGGGTATTGGGTTGGTAGTGAGTGGTACAAGGTGTCGTCAATGAAGCCTCATCAATGAAGGCTCGTCAATCAAGCCTCGTCGGAAGGACACACGTTCCAGCTGCTGTGCCGTTAAAGATGCTCGGAATCGCGGCCAGCCCCTTTGCTGCAGGCCAGTCCATGTCAAGCAGAGCAATATATCAGAAATGATGGACCGTGGTTTCAAGCAAGACTCTTTGATAACAAACCCTCGCCCTCCTCCAAATGCTATCACTCTGGTAAGTCATCTCTGTTGCTATTGGTGTCAGTCAACCTCCAAGCTGCCATCGTTCGGTGCGTGGCTCCTTCTGCCTCTACTGCATCCCCTGTCGTCGGGTGCCTCCCGTCGCTATCAACAATGACGGCGTGCCTTCCCAACAGCCAACAAACATAGCTCCTGCACGCTCTCCGGCATTGTCCAGGTGCCTTTCCCAGTCAACGATGCGAGGTGTGCCTTCCGTTCCTGTTTGCCCCTTGGGGTTATATTATCTTCTGCGCTTCTCCCTCTTTTTTTTTTCCTAGCCAACGACGAGAGGCGTGTTTTCCGTTCCTGTTGCCCTCCAGATCATATTATCTGCTACGCTTCTCCCTCTTTTTTCTTTCCCTCTCCTTGGAGCAATCAATATTATTATTTTTTGCACCATTTTTTTTTAAATATGATTGACTATTATCGCTTCTTCACAGAGATAGTGGTCCCCGTTCCTGTTTCCCTCGAGATCATCTTATCTTCTGGGCTTCTCCCTCTTTTGCTTTTCCTTTCCTTGGAGCAACCAATACTTATATTTTTTGCCCATATTTTTTTTAACAATATGACTGGACATTATCCTCTATTTACAGAGGTATCGGTGCCCCTCGGCATGGGGATCGGGTGGCTGATCAAGCTCTGGTAAGCTCCCTTGAAGCCCTCCCCTTTTTCATGCTAACCAGATGCAGGCTTGACCGCCGGGAGAGGAAGCGCCTTGCTGACACGGAGCACGAGGGTTCCATGTCAACTTCCCGTTAGGAGCACGAGCTCCGGATGGAGACGCTCAAGCTCCATGGAGGACGCACGGTGCCTCCAGACTCCGGGTCAGGCCAGCCTTGACCGTCACCCGTGAACCAGCCGGCGGGCATTGGGTGTGGGTGGGCGTAAGTTCTTGATATTCCCTTTCTCGAGTATGGACTAACACATCTCTCAGGGGCAAAAAAAGGCCTTGTACTTCAGAACATCCGAGAATCACAAGGTTCCTCCAGGCTTCCGACGAATCAACCAAACACCTGACCTTCATGCACCTCGCCGCCTCTCATCCTCCAACATTTCCATCAGCGACGTCTGCCTCGACAGCCCTTAGGCATTCTAGTTGAGTAGAGCCTCAATCTCTATCCGAGAGCCACATATCGAACAGACAACGAGTCCCCACGGAGATACAGTTCCTTCCCTTGACGACCTAGAGGCGCTCGAGCTTTCAGTGGTGGTCTCAGACCCAAGAAACGGACAAGAGACGGGGACATATCATCAACAGCCATATGCAAGACCTGTCATCCGCGACAACGATCATCAGTTTGGACAAAAGATTTAGGATCATACCTCCATTGCAGTGAGAACAGTCTTCAGTGTGAAGATCAATGGATTGACGCAAAATAGGAATAGTACAACCTGCCCCTGTCTATGATCACCACCGATACCACGACGTTCCGTCTTCCAACTTCCAACTTCCAACTTTACGGTACACAATCGCTGTGGAATCTGGGTTCCCTCCTCATCTCTCGACGTTCACCTATGCCCTGCTGGGACATGGAGATGCCGCCGCCGTGCCGAACTGTCGCTTCAAATTCGCGCAAAGCCATATTTCGATGGAGCTCAAAAATCTTCAACTGCGTCTCGTCGTCTCCATTCTTCTGCGACATCATCTGTCAATCCAGAAAGCTCTTCATCCGTCATCACCTGAAGCTGGGCTCGGTCCGGTCGATTCATTGTGGCTCTAGTCAGCGATGCTGACAACGGAACCCGCCGTTCAAGGTGATCATATAATTGTTTCGCACGTTCGCGCGATACACGGTCATCTTCACGGGTGAGCCAAGCCAAAGGAATAAGCACAAGTAACGCAGTGCTAGTCACAATTCCCGCGGTGCCAGCTAGGAAGACGAGTATTTGGTGTATCTCCTCCCAACCATTGTCCATGGTAACTTGTCGAACAGCTCGATGCTGCAGGCGTCTTGCGAGTCTGACTGTCAACAGGCTGCTGATTGATGGCTGGGGCCGCTGGGATACTGGGGAATAGGCTTGGGTTGCTGAAGGTTGTTGAAGGGATTGTTGCACTTCTTGGGATGATGTTTGATGAAAGGAAGTGTTGGTGAAGAATGAGCAGATGAAGGAACTATATAGGGCACGAGACGTTGTTCCGGTGAGGACCTGTATGACAAGAATTAAATTGCCGAGAGGACCGTTTCTGGTGTAGGTTTCGTTCCTCTTTTTCCCCTTTGGGACTCGGAGGACCTATGTGTCTAGCTAGGCACCCATCTTCGCAGTCCTTGGGCGTCCATCAGTCACTACAGACCAACCACAGACCAACCACGGTGGCTGTACCAGACAAACTCCTTCTCGCCCCGGTCTCCACCTGAACCTGAACCTGAACCTAGATCTGAATCTGCGTCTGAATCTGAACCTGAATCTGCGCCTGAATCTGCACATGCACCTGAAGCACTGCTCGCACCCGGGCCACCGGGCAAGAGAACGAGCACCCCGCTACCGGGCAACCGGGCAACCAGACGACCAGACACAAGACGACTGGAACTGAAACTGAAACTGCGGCGGGCCGGGCGAGAGACCAAAAGCAGGAGTCGGCTAGGGCTAGAGAGAGGGAGAGAGGGGGCGAGAGAGAGAGAGGAGGCGAGAGAGAGAGAGGAGGCGAGAGAGAGAGGGCCAAATGAAAGAAGGGAGGGAGTTGATTTGCACGGCGGGATTCGACGTGGACATGGAAATAGACATGGACATGGAAATAGACATGGACGTTGCGCTGTCGTCGTCACTGTCGCTGTCGCCATCACTTCCGTCGCTGATGAAGACTGAGGTTCGTGATTGTGAATAGTAATGGGAATAGTAAATGTACTCTGGACAATAAAGTGCATTCAGGACGAGATGCTACACTTCATAGTACATAGTACATAGTACATAGTACATTCTGTACCAGTAGGACAAATTCCATGCCAGTGTGCCACACCGCAACGCCGAGCTACCCAGCTTCGTCGCCAGCTTCGTCGTCGTCATGTTGTTTTGCTTTGTTTTGCTTTGCTTTGCCCTCTGTCCTCTTTCAAACATCGTATATTGGTGGCAGGAGTGTCGTCACATGAATGGATGCTTGCCCCCATAAGCTGCCGGTCAAAAAGCTGGACAGCAGCTGTCTTGTTCCCGTGCTAGGCACTTGTTCAGTTCAGTGTCGAAACGGTAGACGGGCCCATCTCGTTGTCCTTGTGGGAGCACTGGCATAACCATAGAATGTAGTTGTGGCCCTGTCCAGTCACCTTGGTGCCCTGTTATTTTCAACCATGTCTTTTCCATCAGTGACGAGAGCGGCCGCCACCAAGTTCAACTCAGACAACAGTCAAGTATCCGTTGAAGCGCACCCATTTCCGTGCCTGGGTCCAGCACCAACATTTGCATAGCAGCAAACCATATGTCATTCATTGTGTATACGGTCCAATCTTTTGTCTGTCAATATCCTCCTTGTCTTCTAGAGGCCCCGGCGGCGTCTCAGTCCGCCGTATTGGTAAGGGTGGAGGTTTGCCTGGTTTCTGTGGTTGCTCATCGCCCGTCTCCGTCGATTCTTCGCCATGACCGAAGAACTCATCATGGTGTTCGTCGGCGGCTGGACTCGCAGGGGCGGATTCTGTGGGTGCCTCTACCACGAGAACCTCGCTTTCGGTCTCATCGTCGGGTTGTAGCGTATTTTGTCGCTTGCGCCGCGCTGGGAGTGGTGGCTTCGGCGATGGCTTGACAGAGTCGCTCGAACGACCGGTGTCTTGTCGTTTCGGTAGTAGTGGAGGTGGCACCGGCTTCCGCCTAGGCATCATGAATGAGCTGGTTCTGATCGGGTTCTCCGGCGGAGGTAGTGGCGTCCCAGGAGGTGGGAGCGGCCTACCACGACCCATGGGCTCTCTTGGTATAGATTGTTCATTTCGCTCCTTGTCGGTCGCGCCTTGAGCTTCGCGCTGACGATTCCTCGCTAGGACGCCCCAGCCCCATTTCTGGGCGGCAGCTGCAGCAGCATTGACAGAAGCGAGTGCCTGCTTTCTGTCCGCACTGGTCAACGATCTTGTGGTGAATGTGGAGCTCTTGGTGGGTATCCTTCCTCCATGAGAAGAGCCAGGTCTAGAATCTTTCAGATCATTGGTATCAGTAGAATACACTGATGCTCTGCTAGATGTATTTCGTATCGGATCAGTTCGCATAGAGCTATCGTCGGACATGTTTGAGACATCGCTTCGAGATCGCTCCTTTTCCCTGATTGCCGTGGCCATCGCCGAGTCTGAAGGCGGCGAACCCGCTTGTGAAGCAGATGGTGACGGATTTCCCGTCGAGCGAGTAGAAAGATCTTTCAGTAAAGTGGTGACGCTCTCGCGTTTCGAGTGAGAATCGGAGTCCCGAGTCGGGCTTGCGTTGGCGTCTGCGTGGCTTGGGCTGAGAGTCGGGTTCGCAGCACCGGCAAATGAAGGCGACCTTATCAATCTCGGGGTCGATGAATCAGGTCGATCTGGTGTCTGAGCACCTTTCGCACCGAGAAGATCGTTGAGAGAAGAAATCGACTTTTTGGCTGAATTCTTCTTGCCGGCAGTCGTCCTGACATCTGTCAACACCGGCATACTCAAGACTCTGTCGTCTTTGGAGATGGCGCCGTCGTGCCTGGACAAGTCAGCAGGGGCCCCGTTTTCTGTCTCCCCTGCTTCTGCTTCGTCTTCGGGATCTTCATTGGGTATTTCGGTGGTCGTAGCCGAGACCGGTTCTCTCTTCCAAATGCCTCCACGGTATCGCTGGCCTTGTGTGTCCATGAAGGCGATATCATCCCAGAATGGGAGACAAATACTCTCAGCTACCACCTCTCTGATTCTACTCTCAATCGCGCGGAGTATGAAGTTGTAGGTAATTTGCCGTGAACTGACTATAGGTTCCAACACCAGGTCCAACTCGGGCATTTTCTCAAACGAGAACCATGTTCTGTTGCTCGGAGGTGGCTTGAATCTCACCAAAGCGTGCCCTTTGAGCCGCTTACAAGTGATCGCGAGCACCATATCGACTTGGCGAGGCTTGAAACGAGCTCCCAGTTCAATCCGGGCCGTGGCCGCAATTTCAATTCTAAAATTCCCGGTGTAGTCGACATCCGCCTCCACCGTGCAATCTCCATCCACCGTAAGGTCTCTTAATCTTGGATTCGTCACAAACGGGGCACCGTTTCCGAGATCGATCTTTTTCAGGGCCAGTTTGGTGATGAAGTTGGGTTTCTTAACCCTTGAAATCTTCTTGGTCAACTTTTTCCGAACGAACTCTTCGAGTTCCGGCGTCTTGTACATGGCGAGGAACAAACGGCCAATGACTGCGTTGAGCCATCGGGTTTGTAGGTGCTCCTCGGAGGAGTGGAGCTGCTGCACCAGCTTGACGATATCATCAATCTCAAATTGTTGAGGCGCAGGAGGATCTTCGTCGGTGGTCTTCTCCTGGTTTTTCAGCAACGCAAAGTAAAAGTCCTCCTTTTCCGACAGATTCTCGCTAAAGAGATAGAATGGCAGTGAACTGGGTGTATCCCCAGCTGTATTCGTCTTCCTCTTCAGCCGTATGGCATTGCGCTTGATCCAAAGTTCGCCCTCGGGGGTTTCACCTTCTCCCCCGTAGATTTCGACATCGTGGTGCTCCAAGGAAATGACATAGCGGACTTCCAACTGTTGGATGTCGTCGTAGAGCATAAGGTGGCCGTGTCTGCACCTTCCGTCAGTCTAACATCTTGCACCACTTGAATCGAAACTGACCTTAGGACGACATAAAACACGTTGTTTGATTTCTTGACCGACTTCCCAGTTCCGTCCTTGTTCGGCTCCAGCGTGGGCTTTTGCGACCTGTCAAAGATACTCCGGTACATACTCTGGTAGACACTCGGAGATTCCTGTGCAACCACCTCCCCAGCGGGGGTCAGTTTGTCGGGAGGCTTGCCATTGACCCCTCCAGGGACATATTCGCGGCAGACGGCAAAGTAGCCTGCCGCAACATCTGAATCATGCTTGCGGTGGAATTTTTCGGCTAGATCGTCGGTAGCGGTCTTGAAGGTAATCTTGTCATCGTCGGGGTGGACCAACTGCGCTGGATCGTTGTGGCTGGGTGCATCTTCTCTCGGCAGTGGGAGGGTATAGTACGCGTGAAGGAGGACTATGGCCAGAAGCAACGGCAGGAAGGTCAGGCCGCCGAGAACATAGACGCAGAGGAACCATTGCAGGGCCCCCATCGAAGCATTGAGGCGTCGGTGGGACGAGGTTGCGAGATGTCAACAACGCTGGTGTTGTCTCAGCGGTTCGGCGCAGGCGCAGGCGGATGACGTCGGTCCAGTACGGCGAACCAGTACGGCGAAGTGATACGTACCCCAAGTGCAGTCTTGCAGCCTTGTGCTCAGGGCTGATATCCTATGCACTCAGCCTGCGATCGGTTCCATCCTACGGAGTAGACATGCAGGTAGGAAACAAGAAATAGCTTGCTTTTGAACTAATGGGGGTCTCTAGTCACAAAAGATGGAGTCAACCATCAGCCTCATCAGCAAGAGCATATTGTTCACTAGTGTTTGGCTATACGGGACAATCTTCGTTTGGTTGATAGGCATTACTTCGTAATCGTCTGCTTCATGTGCCCTTGGCCAATAAGCAAGGCTATCCTCCGGTCACTGAGTGCTCGATTCTCTCTGTGCATGAGCCCTTTCGGCACAGACACTCTCGATCGCCGTTCGCGCATCCTCCTCGATGCGTTTCATGCGATCGAGTAGTTGGGCACTCCGTGCCTTCCATCGGATCTCCCACAAATCCTCGACCTTGTTGCGCGCTCTTTCAAGCATCGTTTCCGTAGTTTCTTCCAAAGTATCCAGCCGTTTCTTGAGATCGTCAATCATGAAATCCTTCGCTCGTAGCTGCTGCCTAAGTACAATGTCCTTCTCGTGCAATTTCTCTCGTAGTTCCGCTAGTTCTTTGTCTTTGAGGTGTAAGGCCTTGCGGTGGCCATAGTCCAGTTTTCGCATCATCCGCGCGTAATGTAGACTGATTTCATTCTCGTCATCCATGGATAGCGGAGTATCATTGTCGTCCTCGTAGGGAACCACACTCCCTTGGGATTCCCTGTCGACGAGTCTGAAAGTTGCATCGCTTGCAATGGCGGTAGGCTCGTCTCCGTTGCTGGCGGAGGTGCTAGCATTGGATCGGTCAGAGTAGGGCGCCACTGCACTCGCACTTTCTTCCATGACCCTGGAGGATGGAGAGGTGTGCACGTTAGGAAGAATTATAACGCTGGCAGGTTGCAGATGCGGCCCGCCGCCGCCCAATGGGGGTGATCCATGCTCAAGGTACAGCTGTGTATTGACTTGCGTGTTGTTGTCCGCTGGCATGGCAAGGCTAGACGGCCGAGTGAGATCCGTAGTGGCTGTAGGTGACGATGATGATATTGTACTAGGTTCATCGCCACCGGCCAAAGTGCTCGTTTCGTGGTGGACATGATCTGTTGTCGCCCGGACTTCTTCATCCATGAGGGCTGGGCGGTCCAGTGTTGCTGATAACGGGCGCTCGAGAAGCTGAACAGCCTCTGTCAACCAGGTATTGGGTTGAATACCACTGATGTCTTCCGATAACCTGACCATGTTGGGGCCAACAAGCGTCGACCTCGGCGTGCTTGCGCCATCATAATCAGGGTCGACGTTCTCGTTTTCCTCGGGGTGCCTAAATCTCAGACTGTGTGGGCTTTCTAGACTGGTTGTGCCAATGGAGCGAGCTTGGCCCATGTGCCGCGGATTCAGTTGGATGGGAGCAGTGTATGGTGGCGGAGGGTCGGCTGTGATGTGCGAGCCATCGCGACTGATGCGGAAATGCTGGCCACCGGCATTGATGTCGATGCTACGCGCGTCGTCCTGCAGAGTGGTGGTAGAGAACTTGGTGCGCGTCGACACAATGGACGAAGCACGGCTGTGCCTTGTTGTTTGGGAGTTGTTCAGTTCTCTGATCCAGGGCGGTATGCTCGTACTTTGGAGCAGTGGTGTGTCTTCTTGAAGAGGCGGCAGCAAGGCCAACGGCGGCACCTCATCCTCGGCTTCCTGGTTGAGTATCTCGTCTTCAACTATACCAACGTAAATCGTATTTCTGGCGGGCACAGCACTACCATCGACTCCGAGCGTGGAGTCAGCGCTCTTGAATCGAAACATGGCCTGGATACAGCGCTGGCAAGGTCGACCCCGAGGGTCCTGGCCGCAGTCTGGTCTTTGATGGTCAGTATTTGCGTCTGGGAATCAATGCGCGATGCCAGATTATGTCTCCTCAACGGATCCAGGCAGCCTTGTTTTCTTGGTGCCGCTTTTTAGCCCCCAACGATGATGCTATTGTAACTCGTGTTTTCGATCCAGACTTTGCTGCCTGGCATCTACCGCCATCTTTCGAGAACAGAACAATAACATAAGCCATGGTTGACATTGCGATCCGCACCGGATCAATGACAAGGTACCACATTTCAATTGCACCATCCGGGTACCTACAGAAGCATTCGGTCCGTTTTGATGGCATTCGGTTAGGTAGTATACGGAGCACCTACGGAGTATAACTAGTCTATATTACTCGTCCGCTCAGTTCTTCTCTCTCTTCCTGTGTCGGGAGTTGAAGACGATCGTCGAACGCCGAAGCCCGCACTAGAATACCGATGAAAGTTTAATCAGAACGGCACCTCCGAATCGGAGACCATGCAAACTGTACAATCCCGTTCGTCCAGCGTCAGCATCCGGACGACAAGTAAGGCCATCTGAAGTTGGCACTTGATCCAAAGCTGTGCTGGTAGAATTGTTCGACAAGGCAAAGAACCCTGTATCACTCATGCGCTAGCCATGGCAGAGCCTCACAATTGTTGTAGTCATGATCAGTATCCTTGCTTCAGCTACATCTTTGCTGTGAGTCGCTGTAGAGTCAGCCTTTGCGTCAATGGTTCTGCCGCTGTAGGGATGAGATCCTGTCAACGCTGCGGTAATTGCGCAACCATACTCGTCGCTTCATGTGCCCTTTAGCGAATCGAATGCCTGTCCGTGTGACACTCCAATTGGTCCCGGGGTTCCAGATGTGGAAGCTTTCTGCAGTTGTTTATTTCCCTTAGTCTGCGATGTATTCCTTGCGAAGGCGTGCGCTCTTGCGGACAGGGGTGTCATCTCAGCGTTTCCTTTTGCGTACCCTTAGGTTCTGTATTGCATATGACTGCGTCGGATCTGTCGTTGTTTTCTCGTTTCGGGAGGAGTGCTCCGTACGTGGACTCGGCGTCGAAAGATCACTGCCCTTACGGTGGAGATATAGTTTTCTCCCCATCGAGGAGTGACCCTCTGCCTAACTTTTAGGTGTGTTTGGGCCGCATCGATGTGATCAGAGATAGGAAATAACTGTGGATATCATGACAGCGCGTGTTTGACGATTCACTGCGAACGAATGCAGGTAAGTTGCCTGACACCAGGAAGACAACGTCGTCCAGTAGTACCTCGAGGATTCTGTAGCGGAACTTTTCCCCTCTTCCGTGCTTCTCTTCCAGCTGTTTGCAAATTTTTCAACAGTCTGTTCGATGGGCACATGCTCCGGTACGGCCTTGATAAGGTCCCTGAAACGGTTTAGGTTCCAATCCTCTTCGATCGGTATTACCATTCGGTTGTGTTTATTGATAAACTCCTCGATATCGAGTCCGCGATGTTAGAGGTATTGTTTGAAGATGTTTTCATCTTCAGGAAGTTACGTGTAGGCAGAAGGAAGAGGTTCACCATCAGCAAGAGGCTCGGTGATGGTATCGCTGAGGGGGTCGGTCAGGCGGTCGGTGAGATCGTCATACTGGGTCTCGGTGAGATGATCAGTAAGAGAATCGCTGTCCATGATGTGCACACTTGAGGGAGAAAGACTCTTGGTACATCGAGAGAGACATCAAGTCCCAGGTTATGGCATCCCTTGCAAGATGGTGTCAACATGCCAGTGAGACGCTGCGCGACGGACCATTGTAGATGGCAGACCAGATGCGCTATGTAACTTACCTACCTACCTAGGTTTCAGGTAGGGGAAGATCTCGCGAGGTGTCATCAAGCCACAAGTCTGCTACGGGCATATGTAGGAGCAAAAGGATGAAGCTGGCGTCATAGAATGAGCTTGCATAGTGAAGGAGACAAGCACGAAGACGATATGACGAGTCGTGCCCTGGGAGGCTGCCTGTACTCGTACTGTCTGTACCCTAGGCTCCGCAGTATTTAACTGCGCTTGCAGGTTTAATGCGGTACCACATAAAGATGCCAAGGCTAGATCGTGGGAGTCCACGTGATCAGTCACGTGGTGATATATGTCCTCCCCCCTTCTCCTATAATTCAGGCTGCAAACACTTCGTGCTGTAATTAGCCACAGTGCCCAATGCCAGTGTGATGCTTTCTCTCCTTGGCCCTGGATGGAGCCATGATCAGCATCCAATCTTCTCGAGTGTTATATGTTCAACCCCGGTCCAGGCGGTTCCTTATCACCTCCCCTGACAGCGAGCTGGAAGAGCGAGTCGAGAGATCTTTCCCTCTGCCCCCCGCTCCGGACCGGAGTTACATAGCACTACTGCTAGTCTGGCAACCTCTCAAGACCCCCAAACGTCAATTTCCGTGGACAAACTCGTTGCACAACGCTGCGGGCTGAGCTGCGATGCTTGGACTGTGTACTCCGTACACTGTACGGATGGTTCGGAGACTCCAAAACATGTGCGCGGCGACCAATGCCTCCTTCAACCCTTGAACAGACATGGGACAGGCACTCCGTAAAGATCAGCATACGGAATCCCCTGCACCGAGTGGATTGCCGAAATGGAACAACTCCAGTCGTGAATGAAAGCTGAAGATTAGAGGTTTGGGGCCAGTAAAGTACCGTCTGGCTAATACCTGCGTGCAGACCAGACTCAAACTCAGACTCGACGCTGGGGTCAGGGATGATGCGTCGACCTTCGATTTCGATGTAATCGTCTTGCCACACCATCCATTTGTTCACTCAACGCTGTTTGCACGACCAGCTGTCTTGTTGATTAGATCTTGATGCTATCATCATAGCTTGCACCAGGGACCGCTACTCTCCGCGGCCTGCGTCATGATGGAAGAGAAATCAGTCTTTGTAGACTACGATGATACTACACCATCACCGCGCTCTCTCCGAGGAGCACCGAGACATTTCTTATCCAAGACATTGTCGTGGCTACAACCTGCCAATGCCTGGAAACTCAGCAAACGGTTTGCCTATTGCTTCACGCCTCAACTCGTGCGGTCACACTATTTTGGCGACCCCGGGTTTGCGCCCAAGAAATTCCCGACCAGCTACCTGAGCGGCCTTCGAGGACTGACGGCCATCAAGGTCTTTACTTTCCACTGGACTTTTGCATTCAGCGATCTCGGCTATAAGCCGTACGGGACGACGGAGCGGTACACGCACTTCCTCGAGCTTCCTATCATTCGCTATGTGCACTCTGGGTTCACCGCACACATCTTCTTCGCCGTGGCCGGCTACCTGACGTCTCTACGAATATTCCAGCTTCTTGAGCGTCATAATCAACAGTCGCACTCGAAAGTCATGGTCAACATCTCTGGTGCGCTGTTCCGTCGGGCCTTTCGACTGTATCTCCCCACCTTCATCATCACGTTGATATTCACCCATTACATCCACTTTGGCTTCTATGAGCATAACCGACCCTATCTCGACGATCACGAGAAATTGTTCCCCGGTGTATGGCAGGAGCCCAAACCAGAGCAACTTGCAAGCTACTACGCTCAGCTGCAATACTGGGCCAGTGAAATGTATCAACTCAGCAATGTCTTTCTCCCGGCGACGGCATACTATCCCCTTATCGACCAGCACCTGTGGTCTATTCTGGCAGAAATGCGCGGTTCGCTCTGTTTATATTTCGTTCTGATGGCGACGACGCAGTGCCGTACCTACGTCCGCCTGGCGATGCTATGCCTCATGACCTTTGTGTTCTTTCTCTGGGATCACTGGGAGATCTGGATCTACATGCTCGGCTCGATCGTGGCCCAGATCAATGTGCTCATGGGCGAGCCTGAGGCGGAAAAGAAAGTCGCCACGGGACTCTTCGCCCCGCCGCCACGGTTTCCAGCAGCCTCGGGGACGGTCCGCAAATCGAGCTCGGTGTGGCGCTATATAACCCCTGCCACCACGCTGCGGTCATACCTTCGCATTATCGGGTTTTGGGTTGCCTTCTATCTCCTGTCCTATCCGATCTGGGGATCCGAGCCATCCGAGGAGGCGCCCGGGTACGAGACGCTCAACTTGCTAATCCCGGCATGGATGGAACGCAAAGATAAATTCTACGCCAACATCGGCACTACACTTCTGCTTTTCTTGCTCGCCCGATCGTACGAGTCAACCTCGAACTGGCGCCGCCTTCTCAACAGCCATGTCGCCCAGTATCTGGGCAAGATCAGCTTCGGACTATATCTGACTCACGGCCCGGTGTTGCATGCCGTCGGATACATGATTCCGCAGTACATCTGGTGGGGTATGGGCGTGGAGGGGATAGACACGAGCAACACCGTGTGGTTTATCGTCTTGTTCATCGGCTGGGCCATCAATCTGACGCTGTGCCTTTCCGTCGCGGATGTGTGGACGCGAGAGGTCGAGAGTCGCTGCGTCAAGTTGGTCAAGAAGATTGAGGAACTGTCTTTTGTCAGAGAATCCACCTAAGGTCCGTTGCCACGGCGGGTGGTCTGGAGCTCTACCAATCTACAGTCTGCGGTAAACCGTCGCGGCATCATGATAGATTCGACCGGGTGTACCAAGGAAGTATGTGACCAGGGTGTACCAAGGAAGTATGTATGTGCATGATGGACACCATGTGTGTGCATGAGGGATGCCAGGCAAGTGTTCTCATCAGGGAGTTATGACAGAATCTGTCTCTCAAGACTCGAGCTTCGGCGACGTGATGAATAGATGGTCAGCATTCGACGGTCCGGCCAGCATGTGTTGTGCTCAGGCGTCAGGAAAAGAAGGGAGGGCAGGCGTGGAAAAGACCAACAGACAGGAATCTCTAGGTATTCCGCCATCCGCTATATTGGGGCGTAAAGATGGTCATTCGTTTTCAAGAGGCATTATATTAGGTTGTATGGAGTACATATGCAAGTCATGATTAGATTTTCCACAACACGCCTGAGGCCCCTGAACCGGATTTTAAAAGCGACCGAGTACGATTAAGTAAATATACTGTACTCTGTACAGTATGTAGATCTATATCTTTATATGGACCACACTCTGTTCCGACACTTGATGTCAACCATCTCAACTACGTCCGCTCGCTATTGTACATCACTGGAGTCCGCTCGCTATTGTACAGCACATCACTCGAGTTAGATCTAGCCACACACGGCTGAGCCTAGATCCCATAGATGCAGTGCCCGTCCGAGAGAGAACCCTTCACCCTGTCTCCGCCAGTGGTGATGCAGACGGCTTGAGTCCCGACTTCGACTTGAGACCGAAAGATAACGCAACACAATAGATAGACAGACAGCAAGACAACACAATAGACAGACAGACAGACAGCAAATCAAGGGTCTGGTGCCGGTGCTCGTGCCGCAGATCCTGGATCCATGACTCTGCTGGCTCGCAGTCCAAAATGGGCTCAGAATGGGGGTTGAGATGCACCTAGCAGATGACCGTGGACTGTCCAACAGGTGCGTCTGCGTCTCTGTCTCTGTCTCTGTCTCTGTCTCTGAGCCATCAGATGCGTTTGAGCGTACAGACGGACTCTCTTGACCATGGTTGATGTAGCGTACAGACGGACTCTCTTGACCATGGACGATGATGACCTCGATCTGGCTCAGGTCTGACGCATGTCGTTGCTGTTAGACAGGATGCGGATATAGGAATAGGAATAGGAATATAGGAAGGAAGGAAGGCTTGGCCTCCTTGGATTCGATGTTGAGCTTTCTCGCCTCCGACTCCGACTCCTTTCCTTTCCTTCACTGTTGGTGCTGTCTCCTTTCCTTCACTGTTGGTGCTGTCTCCTTTCCTTCACTGTTGGTGCTGTCTCCTTCCTCCACTGCCAGCGCCCTCACTCAAGACGGGTACTTCCTTCACTGCCAGTGCCCTCCACGAAAAATCACCCTTGATATATTTATACCGTGCAATTCCTACCAACAATCTAAGGAAGTTCAAACACTGGGTGCACACGGTGTATGAATAGTGTGGTATCGCACTGAATAGTAGTATCGCATGGTTCTAGATTGTGTGGAGTCCATCTTAATATCATCCTTCTTCCAGTATCCGTTCTCTCTTACCCGGCCTAGTCTCGAGTATGATGTCGGAGAGATAGGTGTGATGGGTCCTCACGAAATAAAAAACCGTCCTGGGTTCGAAACTGGGATCAACGGTTTCTCTTGCGAGAGTTTTGGTCACCTGGACTTGTCGTGAAGTAAAATCTTGTTTTGTTGTGCGACGCCTCTCGATGTGTTCAGTGAATTCACTAGCTGCTGACAAAGGAGAGTCGAACAACAAAGGGTGGATGCGGATGCGGGCGTATCATCCCTTTTTTTGACTCATTGTGGTTCTAGATCTGGACGGAGAGAGGACAAGACACGTTGCGTTACGTGAAGGTGCAACGTGCAACAGTGCCAGGAGTTCATGGGTATGATACGCCTGTGGCGGGCGTGGAACACTGCTCACCGCAGCGCAGCGCTGTCAAAGTTGTGAGTCTGGGGGTTTGACATCTGCATAGAAGCAAAGAAGTGGTCTTCACGACACCATCTGACGCTGACCGACCGACTGCCCGACCGACTGATTGACAGGTTTCTGGATCACAACGTCGATATTGACAGGCCCCAGCACATCACGTCACGTCAAGTCATATCACTGTTACCAGTGGGTGGCAAGCTTCACTTCGTCAATGATGACCTTCAGATTGGCAACATCTTCAGTCTTCCAAATACACGCACTCTCCAGACGAGCCAGGTTCTCCTGGAGAACTTTGCGGAGGGTCTGGTCTTGGACGGATTTGATCGAGTCCTGGCCGAGCTGCACCAGGCTGCGACACTCCCGGGCGGTGGACCAGAACTGGTCGACCTGGGCGGGATAATAAGACTCATTGTAGGGGATTTGCATGTCGGCATCTCGACCGGTCTCGCCCTTTTCCAGCCACTCCTGCATATGCTCGGGCCGTTTGGTGTCGGAGTAGAAATGGACAAACATGGTGCCGGGGACGACCTCTTCATGGCGAGCGTTGAAAAAGGGCCGGGGCACCCACAGGACGTTGCGCTGGAACTCGGCGGAGCAGATGGTCAGATCGAGCGCCCTTTGGTCGTAGGCATGCTGGAGGTCTTCTTCCGGCCTCCAGGTTGGGTAGCCGAAAGCCTTGGTCAAGATGGCGACCGACCGAGGGTGCACGCGGGTGAAAAAGATGCCTGTGTTCATCCCCCATTGGTCGTGGGCGCTGACCACGTTGGTGTTGTCGAATGCAGCATCCGACTTGTCTGGAACGAAGACTTCCAGCGGGATCTCGCGGTTCAGGACGACGCTGTCGGCGTCGAACCACATCAGCCACTCCAGGCGGGTGCTCTCGGGTTTGGCAAGCTCCTGGATCAAAAGCGAAATCAGATAAAGAGTCTTGCTCCAGTATCCCTCGGCCACTTCTCTCCGTAGCACAAACAACGGATACTTGTGGCGAGCGGCATGGCGGGCGTGAGACTCGATGGCCCGATCGTACACAGCGGTGTCATTGCCGTAAGCCATGCTCACCAGCCCGATCCGAGCCTGGTCAGCATCTCCAACCGAGTCCTGTGGGTGCAACGCTTCCGGCAGTTTGTAGGAGTAGTTTTCGAGCTCCTTCAGCGACTCTGGCCGGAGAGAGCGGAGCTTGTCGACAGGTGTTATGAAGAAGATGAGAATGAACGCCAGGGCGAGGAGCCCCCATAGTCGATAGCTGGGTCTCCGTCCCACAGTGGAAGTCCAGTCTTTGGGAGCCATCGTGTTCAAGTCACCCAACGCAGTTGATAAGAAGCCAGAGAAGGGTCAATTGCCAATGCAGTGAATCTCAAATCGTTGATGAATTGAGGCGAGTCAAGCATCAGGAGTAACCACTGCCAAGGTAGAAGATAGAGATGAAGTTGGGCCTGAGAGCAGAAGCACAGCACACAGCACACAGCACACAGCCCCGTGGAATGAATGATATCAACTTTGGGCTTTGGCTTGGGATCTCCGCTGTCCGCTCTCCGCTGTCCTGTGGATATTGCAATAGGAGGCAGTATGCTTCCAAATTGGTCTGATCTTTTGATTTTGTCCTTCTGAACCAGTGCAAAGTGATACATCCCAATGCGTCGAAGCCACACGTCTAGATCTCCGCCGACCTGCTTATCAGAGTTCAAGCAATAATACCAGCGCTGCAACCAACGGCTGAGAGAGTTTGGTGGCTTGGCCAGCCGGAGGCCTCAGGTGCCTACAGTGCTGAAGCTGGGCTTGTTCGTATCTTAGGGTTAAGGCCGGAGTCGGGACAAGATATGAACGCAGTATCCGTACCATAGAATGGAGTACCGTGTAAGATAACATCTGATGCCGATCCTGTTCTCTTTGTGCTCCGTACCTGCATTAGCCTGTGAACGTGGGCTAAGGAGGCTTCTTGGGCGGCTCCGGCGCAGGGGGAATACAGTACTGTAGAGAGGGGCGCAGGAACTGCAGAAGACACCCACACGACACGCACCCACTCCGGCCCGGGCACTGCAGGGGCATCAGATTAGGAATAAGCATCCCCCTCCCCCACCACCACCCCTAAACCCCCCCGGAACCCTTTTATTTTGGTGCCTCCAGCGGTGCTGTGCTCCGTACTCCGTTCTGTACCGGGGTGACCTTGTCATGTCTCAGTCCTGCCGCCCTTCATTTTGTGCTCAACAAGCAACAACCCATGGCGAATTCTGTCGTCCAGGCCAGCATAATTAGGGCTGTTGTCGACAAGGATGCCCGTATGAGTCCTGATGCATTCGCGCCCGGTGCTTGCGTGATTGTGTCGCCTCAGCCGTGCCCGCGCAGCCAAATCAATAGTGCAATACGAGACTTTCTTGGTCGGATGCTGTGATTACGACGGTAGATCTGAGCCCAGGCTCAGCTCCCGAGCAGTCTGTCTAGCATCTGCCCTGTCTGGCGTCCACTGACCATACCCTGCAATCGCACTGTGGTCGCTCGCCTCCGTCCTCCTCATGCTTCCGGCGAAGAGGCAGATTCGATCCTCGCCAACCTTCCCCCCTGAGAATTAGGGCCCTTTCGCGGTTCCAGGCCTCGTTGCCGGATTGGAACCACGAGGACGGTGCTGGTATCAGCACATGTCGGACTTGGGCGATCCACATCATAGCCATCTGTACAGAGGCAGAGGACACTTGGACGACCAGCCCACGCAGGCTTCGATGTGACTACAATGCTCACCAGTTCACTGAAGAGGCTCGTCCCTCTCGCTGCAATATTACTGATCATCGGCTATTTCACATATGTCTACGATGACAAGGGCTGGTCGCTCCCACGGTTTGGCGACAGCCTGGGAGGGTTCGGTGCCACTGCGACGGCCAGCGCCAGGCCTTTAGCGACCGACACTGGCCTTTTGCAGTCAGTGCCATCGAAGGGAGATTCAAAGGCATTCCCACCGGAAGAGCCGTCACAACCATCGCCTCCGAAAGAAGACGGGAATGTGCCGCCGCCCAAAGACAAGCCAAACCAGTCTCCTCCGAAAGACTCACCGCAAGGCCATCCCCAACCGCTCCCTCCATCCCAAGGAGACTCCAACTCCAAAACATCTCCTTCAGAGCAAGATGCACCGTTCCTCTCGAGCAATGCCGCACCGGCCAAATTTCCTAGCTCATACCGCGAAGTCTTCTCCGTGTCCCGGTCGAAGGGAAACTACCTAGAGATCGAATTCCCCGGATACAAAGTGTTCAACCCGAACATCCTCCCCCACCCCACCAAGCCCGAGACGTGGATTGTGGTGGCCCAGAAAGAGCGAGGTGGCAGCCACGACGACTTTGAAGCGATCGAGCTGGTCTGCGAGGCCGTGTTCAAGGACGAGACCGACAGTCTGACCTGCTCGACGACCCCTGCCGCCCTGCCGGTCAAATCGACCAAGGGTGGACTGTGCAAAGGCGAGCTCGAATGGTTCAATGGCGTATCAGGTCCGCACGACGCCCGGGTCTTCTACGGGCCCAAAGACCCATACATCATCTACGGGTCACGATCGGGGTATACCTGCTTTGGACAGTGGATCCAGGACTTCCGTGGGCTTCTCACAGACAAAGAGAAAGACAAGGAGGAGGGAAAGCCTCCGGGCGAAAGACCGTCGAGCCTGTTCACCGCTGGCACCGAGCTACATCGACCTGGCTCGTTTGGAGTGTTCGAGAAGAATTGGTTCGTCTTCTGGGACAAGCAGGGACTGATGTATGCCCATTACGACCTGGCTCCGCGGCGCAGCTTTGCACAGCTGAACTATGACGGGTCTGTGGTTGGCGACGATCTGGCCGGGTTGGCCACCACCGATGAAGCTTGCATGGCGAAGTACATGCCTCAAGTGTCTGACGGTGAAGGAAAGGGTGAAGGAGCCGGACAGGGAGGAAGCAGCAAATCATCTCTGCACCAAGCAACCAATTCGCTATCCATCACGCTCTGCAACCGGGTCGACGCCAGCTGCAAGCCCAACGACGACAACACGTTCATCATGTCGGTGTTCCAGCAGAAATTCTACTATGCCTACCACAACGTGTACCGGCCGTATGTGGTGCTTTTCCGGCCCACGGCGCCGTTTGCCATCTACGCCATTTCGCAGAAGCCGCTGTGGTTTCATGGACACCGGAAGGTTGCGGCCAAGGGGACGAGGAGTGTAAAGCGTGGAGATGAGGACGTGGGCGCAAAGGACACTCCCGATACAAAAGGACATGACGACCACGAACACCAAAAGGAAAAACAGCATCAGCAACAGCAGAAACAGAAACAAGACCAAGAACTTCCCGAGAACCAGGCGGAAATGTTCTTCGTCACCAGCATCAGCTGGAAACCCCGCGGCCAGACGTACCACGGATACCTGGACGACGTCATGTTCTTGACCTTCGGCATCGAGGATAATCGAGCGGGTGCCATTGACGTGCGCGCCGGCGACCTGTTGCTAGACCTAGGGGTTTGCGGTTAAAGGAGTGATTGTGAGTGAGTAGGTGTAGGACACTGTTTGGATAGAGTCAATCTATGATAGCATATTCACAAGGAGGGTCAGTGCATGTATAGTATAGTAGATCAGATATCAGATATGAGATATCAGTCCTACTTGCATGTAACATGTATCAATCGTTTACACGTGTCAAAAGGTCGAAATATTCCATGTTCCCTACCAAAGGGGTATGGGGTATATATATGGGGAGCCCCTTAGCCCAGGCTATGTTGCTGATGTATGTAGGTGTGCCTATACCAGCCTTCTGGTTAAAGGGCAAGGCTGGGAATGCCTATAGTTAGTGCCTAAGTTTGACAGAATCAGGGTCAGGATCAGGATCAGTATATGTGTGTATGTGTGTGTGTGTGTACACAGTAGAATAAATACATGAACAAATACATACAATATAGTTTACAGTGTACAGTGTAGCGACCACACCAGACCGATGCCTCTCCACAACTCCAGTGCTGTTGTTGCCTATGTAGATGTAAATATAGATATGAGCGTATGCGTGTGCGTGTGTCTAGCTAGCTAGCTAGCCAACTACCTCCCTGCCTGCCTGCCTGGCAATGCCCGAATTGAATCATGTCCAATCCATACGGAGCCAAAGTGCAGAACCCATAACCAGAACCCAGACTCCATGCTTCGTGTCCCTCTGAGAGTCGAGAATCAGAAACCACAACCCAGATTCCATGTCTCGTGTCCCTCTGAGACCCCAGCCCTTTTGGATACAGACATTGACTTGACAATGAATTGATATTGATATTCATGACATCTTGACCCTGACCACCCCGGATCACGAGATTGAGAGTAGTCGTAGGTAGTAGTATTATCTCGACACGGTTTACAACTACAGCCTGTACAGTAGTACGTACAGTACTGCGGTGATGCTCGAATCGAAGATATCTGCTCTTGCCGAAAACTGTGGATGTGAATGCATGGAAGGAGAGGCATGAGTCTGGGTCTGGGTCTTGATGATGCCGTCCCTCGAACCCAAGTACGGGAATCGGTAGAATGAGGCCGAGGCCACGGTTTCGCGGTCATTGGTCATTGGTCATTGGTCATTGACGTGCGTTGCATGCCGAGTCCAGGGGGAGAGCGGATCGTTCGCCTGCTGAAGAAGGCCTGGCAGCTAGCCAGCCAGCCAGGACGAGAGATGAGTACTGATCGACGAGACGAGCGGACTCGACTGTAACTGGGATGAAATGGGTATGTATGCATCATGGATCATAGATCATAGATCATGGAGATGTGACTTGCCGGCCTAATCTCACGTTACTTGATGTCTGCACATGCACCCAGATCCTGTAATAAGTCGCTGGCCACGACATCGATAGCACCAGACCTCGACTCCTCAATGCCAAAAGCCAGGAACAGAATATCGTCCAGGTACCCGTGGTATTTTTGACCGTGGGCTCGCCAGGTGAGACTCCGGACGAAGAACATCTCCGAGTGGTTCTCGGGCAGATCGTCGCGGTCGTTCCAATTCACGTTGCCGCTGAACTTGGAGAACTTGGACCGGCCCGAGATCCAGAGCGGCTTGGTGGAGATGGCGTGCACCGCAAACGGCGCCGATTGCTGGAAGAGCATGACGTACGGCTCGTAGATGCTATGGCCGTCAAACGCCGTCTTGTAGTGGAAGAGGGTCAGCACGAAGGTGTTTTGGTCCGTCGGCTTGCATTTGGGGTCGGCCCGTCGGCAGAGCGTGATGGCCAGCGAGTTGGTCGATTGCTGGATGGCCGCCTTGTCCAGCACCGCGGCCGGCATGTATCGCGCCAGACACCGGTCGTCGGTGCCGGCGGCGAGCGGCGCGAGGTCGGGCCCAATCGAACCGTCGAGAGCCAGCTTTGCAAACACCCGCTTGGGCACCAGGTCGCTGTGCACGTAGATTTCGCCCGCCGCGTCCCAGAAGACGAAAAAGTTCTTTTCCACGCCCTTGAACGGCGGGGGACGCTGCAGCTCCGTCGGCTTGGTGAAGTCTTTGGCGAGCACGGCCTCGATGCGATAGTCATCCACCAGCATGCGGAAGTCTTGCAGCCACATGCCCAGACAGGTGTAGGCGGAATGGGATCCATACAGGATGTAGGGGGCCACGGGCCCGTAGAACACCCGGGCATCTCGAGGGCCGTGTTCGAAATTGTAATGAGCCAAGTCTTCCTCGCAACTGCCCTTGCTGGCCTCCAGGGACAAGGCCGTCGGCTCGGCCATGCAGTTGAGGACGTCGTTCATGAAGCCCGCGCTGCACATCAACTGAGACGAATAGTCCTCGGGGGCCTTGCTGGTCACCTTCTGGACGAGGACAATCCACGCGTCGAATTTGGTCGGATGAGGAATGATGGTGGGATTGTAACCAATACTCCCGCCGAGAAAGATGGTAAAGTAGTCGCCGCTGGCCGTCGAGTTGGAGTGAATGACGCGATACGCCGTCTGGTCGATCACAGGCTGCCCATCGTCGTCGATGGTGAGCAGATGAGATGGGGGCAGCACATCGACGTTGGTGGTGCCCGTGGTAGAGAGGCCCTTGGTTTGTTCGGTAAGGACAATGTCGTCGGTCTGGGGCTGAGGCTGAGGTTCCGCGTCCGGCTGCGGCTGCGGGACACCCTCGCCGCGATGTCGAGTTGCGTGAGAGAGCAAGAAGGCGAGGACAAACAACGGGGCCACGACGGCGACTATTGTTCTGAAGGCGCGCACCATCATGACAGCGGCGACAGGATCAAGATAGCTAGGACAAGGCGAGCTTGGGTAGCAAGACAGTCAAGGACAATGCTAATGTGGTTCTTCTGGTAAAGACATGAGCATGAGTCGGCTCCAGATCTGGTACCAGCGCTGGCGAGAAGTACAGGGGATGCCGGATTGGCGAGATAATGTTCTGGCAGTTGAAACTGGCCAGGCGGTGAAATGCAGGTCCAGGTTGCAGGGCTCAACCTGCTCTGCTGCAGGGGCTCATCACTCTCGGGGTCCCAAATTGGAGCCAGCCAGCCAACGATGGGTGGGAATTGGTATTGGCCTGTCGGCTTCTGGGCTGGCAAGTTTCAGAGGTGATGGTGGTGATAGCGACAGTGCTGTAGAACCCCTTTTCCGCCCTGGGACAACAGGTCACTCGCGTCGCGGCGGGAGATCACAGCGTCTAGAACCTAGAACCTAGAACCTAGAACCTAGAACCTAGAACCTAGAATGTAGAATGTAGAACGGTGCAATCGGGTCGTCTTCAGCTTGCGCAGAACATGTGTGGCTAAGTGTTTCGGGCGTTGTGTTGCTCTGAAATCAAGATGCTCGCAGTACTCCGTAGTGGTGCCTCAGTGCTGGTGGGCGGGGATGCGCAATTCCCAGGCCTCAGGCCTAAGTTAGGCACGCGGGATGATTGATTGATGATGGATGATTGATGGTTGATGGGGGATGGGGGATCGGCCTCTCGGCGGGGCTCAGGCTCCTCAGCCATCTGGCTAGGACATCACATCCAGTGTCCACCACAAGCCTGAGGAAGATAAAGTACGGATGCACGGCCTCCCGGGGCTTGACAGTGTACGGGGCCCGGTACGGATACACATCTTCCAGTACCAGCTGGATGGGATTCCCAGAGATGCATCTGTCTCTGCCTCCTGCGTCCTGCCTCCTGCGTCTCCGGAGTTCGGACCGGGTGGAGAGGCCGGAAAAGCCCCTGAGTGCCCGCTTGAGCTTTGGCCCAAGCCCCCTTTCAGCCGCAGATCCCCACGCACATGGCCACGGCAGAGCCATTATTGACATTGACACTGCGGTTGCCGTTTCCTGTCTATCTCGTGTCTTGGATCGACTGCCGTGGTATGATTGACATCGGCATCTGCCCCCAGCTGACGGGAGAAGTGCTTATCGCACGTCCAGCACGGAAATGCCGAACAAGCTGCCGCAATGTCTCAGTCCAGCGTGGAAGTCAAGGGCGATCAGCATTACTTGCTTATCCTTCCTGCCGGTGTGCCGTGTCCACCCCCATCTGCCGGCCGAAAATGAAAGGCACAAGGAATCCACTCCCGACGCCAAAAAGATCTGAGAACGCTATAGTCGGCCGATAACGTGATACCCGAACCAAAGGCTGATTGTGAGCGCGCCAAATTTACGGAGTACCTCCGTACTCTGGGATCGGAGGCCTCAGATGGTGCCGTGTGGACATGTTGTTGCATCACCGTCACCGTAACTGTTGGGAATTGAGTTGATGGACGAGCACCTCGGCCGCGTGCTAGGCCAGGCGATGTCAAGACGCTCGGATGGGCATCATACACTTATCCACCTGCGCCGTAGCACTCGGTAGTGGTGACCGGGGTCGGATAGTCTCCACTGTCTTTCCACTGGGTTCCTGGTTCCTGGTTCCTGGCTCCTGGTTCCTGCTTCTTGGATCCTTGTCCGCCACACCTCGTCGAACAATGTAAGGAAATTGCTCTTGGCTGACTACGGCTTCAACTTTGTATAATGTCCTCCGTACGAGTACTCTGTACAATTCCAATCTTCCAGGGTGGGGATTCGTCACCGGCGATACTTCAGGTGCCTACTGTCTAGCAACTAGCAATCTTCACGTCGTATAGCTTATACTTTCATCTCCTGGAGCGTAGATAAGCGGTGCTGATCCGTCGTAGTCGAACCCGAGCCCTATCACGTCAGGACCGGTAGCACTCGGCGCAACAGCCATAGGCTGCTGGCTCTGCTGGCCCGCTTGGGTGCCTGTTTCGCCGCTCGTCCATAGTGCCGTCCGCGGCAGAGGTGTATGTTTGTCTCGCATGGACACGGCCGAGAAAGGCCACACCTGGTCCAGAGCAGCGGCCACCTCGAACAATTGTCGTGATCCAGGTGGGCCTGCGTTGACGGGTTGGGAGCATGTCCAAACCTTCGAGCTTGCCGATACCGTCCGCTCCACTTCTGGACTTTGCAGCTCTGGTGGCTGTGATGGCGAAGCATGCCAATAAGACGTGTTTGGTTGGGTTGCTTGGAGTTGTGGTGGGAGGCTACCCAGCAGACTTTCACCGTAGACGCGGCCGCTATGCTTGCTGTCAATCCCCAGCTCGACCATAAGCTCCGCCATTGACCGGACGATGCTGAGGTGGCCGGGTTTGACGATGTCCGCATCCGCCAAGAGCCGGTGGGCGCAAAGAACATAGTGGCATCCCAGCGTGAGCATGGCAAAGGTGTCTTCCGGCCCAAAGCGGACAACAGACTTGGACAGTGGTCGGAGACCTAGAAACAGACGACTGAACTGAGACGCTCGTTCGATCGTCTTGGTGATCAGGCTCAGAGTGACGAGCGGGGAAGTTCTCGCCGAGGCCAAAAGCTGATGGAGTTTGGTCACATACGCACTGACGCAAAGGCGAGAGAAGCAGTATTGAAAGTCGATGGTGTGGCTTTGGCTTTTGTTCGACCGTGTTTGGTCAGGCGGAAACCATGTTCGACGCCAACTTTCCAGAGCCTCGTCCATGTCCTTGAGCACGGCCAGGGTTGACTCCAGGTCATTTTCACTGGGTAGCGAACACCACCACTCACGATGAGTGGGATGGGTCCAGATTAAACACAACTCAACTTGGGAGAGGATCCGGCGCACCTGGTCGTCATGGAAGTGATTCTGGAGAAGCCGCCGGCAAGAGCGGATGGAGGAGTCCGGCTGGATACTTGGAGGGCTGCGTGCCCAGAGCGAGCGGAGATGCACCACTCCAAATAACCAAAGCCAGAATAAATATTTGCGAAATGCAATAGTTTGGTGCACATCCAAGTCGTTGTGATGCTGCTCCAAACTGGTGGCCAGGTCCTCAGCTGCCCTGTGTAGCGAACACTGTCGGGCCACAGTCTCTATCGGAGCCCTCAAGGCATCGTACTGCAGGACGGGATTGGACCGGTCGGAGTCTGTACGCGACGCAAGGTCCAGTGGGACGGCCCAGTTGTACAAGACTGCGAGTGCTTGCAGATTCGTCCACCGCGTTTCCTCGTCACAACCGTGCGGCAAGGGTTTGATAATGGTCAGAATGTCGGCCAGGAGCATCGTCTGGATGGTCTTGCACCCCGGGACATATCTCGCGGCGACGTAGACCATTGCGCAAGCCAGCAGGCGTTTCTTTGCCTTGACCATGGTCTCGTAGTCGCCCACATCCTGTTCGGTAAGAATAGGAATGTGAATGAGCAGGTTGGCGATGAAGAAGCGGCACAAATGGCTCATTTCCTCATCCGTAGGTAAGTTCAAGGCCCCAGCCCCGGCCTGGCCCAAGACGGCTGTATCACTGAAGCAACTGGGGCTCCGTCGAGGAGACGCGACAGCAGATATCGGGGCATGATTCAACGCAGGGAGGGACCAGAGAGTGTTATCATTCAATGGGACGGCCGGCAGTGATGTTGACGCCGGATAAAAATCTCCTGGATCCTGGGTGGGAGGTTGGAAGGGTTGGGCAGCTGGAACAGGCACCAGCCGCCATGATATCGGTCGCCCAGTAGCTTGAGGCGTATTGTGGACGCGAGAATTTGACGTGAAGGGGGCTTTGAGAGTGCTGTCAAGATCTGGGGTCTGATAGACTACGGCTTGCGCTTGTGTCTGTGTGTCTGTCTGTGCGTACTCAGAGATAGAGACCGCCCGGTGTGGGTTGCTGGGAGTTGCAAACACACATCTCCGCCTGGTCTTCTGACATCGCATGCAAGGCTGGCCATTTGTCCAGACACATTTCATCTGGAGGCATTCAGTCAGCACCACCTCCTTGTTTTTGTTGATGCTCGGGCACTACCCACTTTCAGGCGACGACAAACGACACAAGCCTTCTTTGACAAGGTGCCCGCACGACTCTTGGCCGCCCGCGGTGCTTCCATTATGCCGGATTCAGTGCTCTAGCCTGTAGAGCAAGTAGTACTGTAGGCGTAGGTAGGAGCAGGAGCAGGAGCAGTTCGCTCGTCGATGGAGGTTTAGGTCAAAGGCTCACTTGCGGCTTGCCTCACGTCCAATCAGGCACGCCAGGGCTCGGTGAAGCATGTTCTATCACCCGTTTCATCATTTCGAAATGTGACGACCTTGTCTCCTAACCTGGTCAGCCAAGTCGGTGCTATTATTGGACGAGTCTAGTGATGCTATACCACAACAGGGGATCGATGAGGGCATTGGAATGATGTTGGCCGGCCAAGCCACAGAGTTGTACTGATAGTGGCGCTAAATGTGCGCGGCAGGAGTGAGAACCTGGATTCTTCCATCCCCCATCATATGGTCTGTGGTAAGTATTGGAAGATTCGCTGCCACGAGAGCTGTGGCTCCTCGATCAACGGGAGTATTATTGGGTCCTGTATGTCTGACCCAGGTCACCAGTAAGTAACGTCGGCTGGGGTCGGAAGTGCTAGAGCACTGCTCCCCCCTTTTCACTTACAGGCGGCAAAACACAGATCCCTGCAGGGCAGTGGAGCTCATGGTTTCACGGAGGGACGACAGAGTAACGCTGGACTCTGTCCCGGGCTTCTCAGTCAGTAAGCACGAGCTCCGCAATGACATATGGCTTCCCAACTGACCGCGCTGTACTCCGTACGCGAAGAGAAGCCGGTAGGAAGGTTGATTCGGTTGATCATGACTCCTGTACGGATACTGGTCACTGTGTAACAATGGGTTTTCTGCCTGCGGCGAGGTGTCGATGTGAGATTGCAGGCACTAGACCAGAAGCGGAAGGTGCCTCGGTGCGGCTCAAAACTCAAGTCACATGACTATTGGCCTAATATACCACGTGACTGCGTTTGTGTCTGCCAAGCCCAGTCCAACCTCAATCCGCACTTCAAGCTCATGGAACAGCAACATCAATCACGCCTCCCCCCCAGCGCTATTCGGCTGATCGAGTCGGGCATCATTTCTGCGTCTCATCTTGAGCAAAATGGTCTTGTTTTAGTTTGTACGCAATCTCGGAGTATCATAACAAGTCACCTGAGCTTCAGATGTACCGTCCCATCATACCTATACCTATACCTATACCTATACCTATACCTATCGATCACAATCCCGTCTAAAATGAACCGTGTACCATCCCGAAAGAGGAAAAACGCCCTTTGCGTGAAAAGTCGTCTCAAAGAAGAATGTCGTTTTGCTGATCCGCCTGTCTGCATCTCTTCGCGTGAACTGATATTTCTCCAGCTGGCAATTTCGTGCGAGATGATGGCGATGGCGATGGCGATGGCATCCATCAAACCACAACCAGCCTCCGCAACTCATCGGAGGTTGTGTCATGATCTGTCTTGATGCCTATCGCTTGTCGAGAACTGATTACACTATAAGGCTTTGTCGCCGTCACCCAATTGAATATCGCAATATCGCTGTGGCTGTTGTTTGCTCCATGCTGGGTCTCATCCCCATACCGCGCCAGCCTTGCCTTCACCGTTGACTTCGGGCTTTGGCTCCGGCTTGGGTTCAGCTTTGGCATCCGGCTTGGGTTCAACTTTAGAGTCTTTGACTTCCAGTTTGGCATCTGGTTTGCCGTCAACATTCTTGTCTTGAGGTTTGGAGTCGGGTTTTGCTTCGGGCTTGGTTTCCGGTTTCGCATCGGGCTTGATGTCAGCCTTGACTTCAGGCTTGGCCACCGGTTGTGCTGCCGGCATCCTGAAGTCTTCCTGGAGATCGTCCTCAAAATCGTCAGGACCGCCTTGATACCAGCCCTCCGGCTCGTCGACGAACGGTGCCTGTATCGGGACAGCACCGTCAGGCTGCTTCGCTCCGCCTTGACCGAACGGCGCTTCCTCCTCGGGCTTGGGTGCATTGGCATCCTCCAACTCCTTCATCGCAATCAATTTCACCTGCTCCTGCGCCGGAAGCGAATCGAAGAACTTTGTATTCGCATCCCAGAGCTTGACGCATTCGGGGTTCCAGTTGCACTTCTCCACCTCACCGTAGACGGGATGCTTGTAGCGAGGGTGGCTCGTCGGCCACGACGAGGCGTGGAAGTGGTGTTTGATGAGCGCGCTCTTGCCGCCGTGGTTACCAGAGTCCGAGTGCCCCGTACCGGCGGCAAAGGCTTCCACCGTCAGCACGAGGACTCGTCCAACGACCTTCGACTCTAGCATGCTGTGGAAGTGCTCCCATGTCGTATCTTCGCCACGAAGCTTGGAGATTTCCGCAAGAATGGCCTGGGTGAACGCAGAAGGCCCTGTGCCGCTTATGACTTCGTCGAAATCCAATTCGAGCTCCGAGATTGTTTTGCCCTGCTTCTTGGCCATTTCATTGAGCCAGGCAAGGATGCCGTCAATTAACCTCATCATTACAGGAAGCCGTGGTTTGCAAATAAAGGTCCATTGGCAGAACGATTGCGACTTGGAGCCAAGGACAGGGTGGCCCAAGAAGCTCGGCTCGTCCGTCTCCACGCCAATCACCATGTCGATATCTCTCTCGTCGAATCGATCGGGAATGAAGAGCTCCAAAGGCTTCAGGGCTTCGACGTCAATGTCCGCGTACACTCCGCCTTCCGCTACAAAAGTCCGTGTCAGCACTAGGACGAGCACGAAAGATGGCCCCACGAGTGCACCCACTTACCATACATGATGAGGTACCGTAGTAGGTCGGACTTGATGATTGGGTCATTGAGTGACTTGTAGGTATGCACAATATCCGGTCGATTGAGACCTAGCGGACCGAAGTGATCTTCCACATAGTGCATGGCATTGTCATCGGTGAGCACCTCGTATCGATATCCTGGATTTTTCACCGTCCACGTCTTCGCCCGATCCGAATCCCTCAGTTCAAAGGAGAGAGGGCCGACTTTCCACGATTGCCAGATCTTTCGTGGAAACTTGCCCACAACGGATGGTGCAGACTCTGCAGAGCCACCAGTCACGGCATTGCGGTATAGTAAGATGAAAATGCCGGCAATGCATAATGGGATGATCTTCCGGAGCTGCTTGACGAGGAAGCCGTCAGAGGACGGCCGCGAAGGTTGGAACTTCATGGCCAGATGGCAGAGGCAGGTGATGACTGAGAACAACTTGGAGCTGCTTGTCTCGAAAGGATTTGGGGAGATCAAGAAAGAAAGAACACCTGCTCCGGCGAAAGTCGGCGACGGTGACGATGCAAAGACGTTCTTTTGAGACAGGCGCTTGACACTGACACTCTCCGCAGACCACCGGGCGCAGAAAGGTCTGGGCCCCAATCTTTTGTTTCCCAGTTATCGATTAAGGCAGTCTTATCGACCTGACCCGGAACGGCAGCTTCCAAATATGGATCCGTCCCTTTCAGCGTTGAAATCCAGCCTAGGTAGAACCACTGATCATCCTGGGATGGTTCAGGGCTGGACTAATCGTCCGGAACAAATCCTATCTTCCAGAGGCTGCGAGATTGCGCGGGATGTTGAGCAACCCGAATGCGGAAGCGCCTCGGCCGATGTGCAGCAGACTATTTTGCAACTTGGTATCCAGAACAGTAACTTCCAGCCAGCCTGGGAGCCTCCTGCACTTCCGTGCTCTGCACTAGCTCACCTCCTATGTAAGTTGAGTTTCAGAGGAAAACAACCTGGACAGGAGAGAGAAAGGGGCTAGTCTTCTTTCAAGACGGCCTGCGCTGGTGGACTCGCTAATCAAGAATAATGAGGTCGACGATCCTTGTCTATCATGCAACAAGGGTCGAAGGGTCTTGGAGTCGAGCGAAACAAAGCACAGCAACCTAGATTATCTCGCAGTATGTCTCGGGTGTTGTGCGTCTAACCAGCCGATCGAGCGGACTCGGTCACTCCACACCGGGCCGGTCGGGTCCCGTGTTCTGATTGGCTCCCCTGAATCCGGAGAGCACAAGGCCGAAGCCCCCTGTCACGACTCAGGAGTCGCGCAGCAGGCGCGTGGGGTGTCCCAAAAGTATCATCGCCGGGAGGGAGTCAGTGTCAATGTCAACCATGTGCCCGTACGATAAGCACAAGTTGCCATCCTTCAAAGTCCAGTTGACAACGTCAAACCAGTCTGGTGACTGCAGGTTCTTTTGTCCACAACCTAACTCCAGACAAAAACATATTATCGGCTTGGACGCTCTCCACCCATTGTTCAGCTGTTCATGTTCTATTTTCTCCCCGCTATTCTGCTAAGCAGCTGAAGCGTCGTGGCCCTCCAAAGTGATACTATCATCAGTTTGGTCAAACAAACCACTGATCGTTGAAAGTCCTTTTCAGGTGCAGAGGCATGGCAGCAAGACTATCTGACTCCAAGAATATGAGCATGTCGCCGGACGATGCGATGCTCGAAAAAGGTCTCCTCGGCTCTGCCGACCCAGAGTCAACCCCGAGCTGGGTTGAAAAAGTCAAAGAACGGTACGAGGACTTGATCAACCCCTCGACCTGGTTCAGCAACAGTCACCGGCCCAAGAAGCCGCTGTATCGTACCGCCTACCTCGACGGGCTGCGTGGGTTTGCCGCGCTGCTCGTCTACATCCTGCACCATCAAGTATGGGGCCACGCTGGCGTCGGCGGCGAATTCATTCTAGAGAACGCGTACGGCTGGGACAAGCAATTCTACTTCATCTGCCTTCCTGGGATCCGCGTTCTGTTTTCAGGTGGACATCTGGCCGTGGCGGTCTTCTTCGTCATCTCCGGCTACGTCTTGTCCGCGAAGCCCATGAGCTTGATCCACGCAAATGAGGCGACGCAGGTCGCCGACAACCTCGGATCGGCCCTGTTCCGCCGCTGGTCTCGTCTGTTTCTACCGGTGATTGCGACAACGTTCATCTGGATGAGCTCGTGGCACTTGTTTGGGCTCCGATCGCTCGCTCCAGGGGCCCTTGAACCAGAGAAGACGTATGTCGACGAGTTGTGGAGGTGGTACGCCGACATCAAGAACTACAGCTTCGTGTTCCACGAAGACCCGGCCTTCAGCTACAACGACCACACCTGGTCGATCGCGCTGGAATTCAAGGGCTCCATTGTCATCTACACATCACTGCTGGCGTTCGCGCGCCTCAGCAAGAACGCCCGGCTCTGCTGCGAAGCCGGCCTGGTCTTCTACTTCCTCTACATCGTGGACGGCTGGTTCTGCAGCCTGTTCTCCATGGGCATGCTGCTCTGCGACCTGGACTTGCTCGCCATCAGGGGCGAGCTGCCGTCCATCCTGACCAGGCTGGAGCCGGCCAAGATGACCATCTACTACACCCTGCTCTCCATCGCTTTGTATCTCGGAGGCGTCCCCTCCATCACCGGCGACCTGGACCACCTCCGCCAGTCGCCCGGCTGGTACTACCTCTCCTTCCTGAAGCCCCAGGCCGTCTACGACCCGAGATGGTTCTACCGCTTCTGGGCCGCCACCTTCATCGTGGCCGCCGTCCCTCGCATCCAGGGCCTCAAGTCATTCTTTGAGACCTCCTTCTGCCAGTACCTCGGCAGGATCTCCTTCGGCCTGTACTTGGTCCACGGACCCGTGCTGTGGTCTCTGGGCGATCGGGTCTACGCCGCAACAGGCCGGATCCGTGATGCTCATGCAGAGCTGGTCCCGGCCTGGATCAACCTGTGCCCGTTCCCCGGCTGGGGCCCCTTTGGCCTGGAAATCAACTTCCTCATGGCCCACGTGGTCTTGCTACCCGTCACCCTCTGGCTGGCCGAGATAGTCACCAAGATGATTGACGGGCCGACCGTCACCTTCTCACAGTGGCTGTACAAGAGTGCACGCAGTGAAAACCCGACCTGGGGCTTCAAAGCAGGCGGATGGGGAAAGAACTAATTGGTCCGGTCGTATCTTCATTTTCTTTGGGATCTAGACAATGCCGGAATTCGGGACTTATGATTATGAAACCATGTATTATCCAAGAGTTGCCTATGTGTACGCTTTGAGACTTGTGTCTTCTGAATCTCACTACCATGTCATCTACAGCACGATGGGTCCTGACGCGGCCTGCCATAAGGCGGCACCAAGAGCAAAGAGAGACGCTTCCCGCCCAGTACTCAAAGACTGAGGTTCAGAAAGTTTGTCCCAGCCAGCTTCATCCCTTTCCGAATGAACTAATGAATACAGCCCAGTGTCAGGCTTGTCCATTGCGATCAAATCAGTGCAACTCAAAATTAGCCTTCGTATAGCAAAAGCAGGATCACTGAGGCGTTGCTGAGGTGAGTCAGTGAACCGCCATTTCTGAAGTCAAAACATGTGGCCATGCAGGCAAAAAAGCACGGAAGAGCAGCAATGGCGCTTCCAGCGGCGTCGGGCCAGAACTGGATTTGTTCGCTTAGGATAGGCTTTGCCTGCGCTGGATAACAATAGTCTCATTTAATGGCCTCCTTCCATGGTATTCAGAGTCACGGGCAGCCGGAAATTGTAGCGCAGAGTTCAGACAGGGGAGTGCTGATAGTTAGGCGGGTCGAGAGCGTCCTTGTAAAGATACCTTGTCCGAGACAAGGGCGGAAAAAGCAGGCTGGGCAAAGCTGCAGCTCAGATGCAAAGGACCGGGGCAGCTGCGTGCCTTTAAGGTTTCATCATCCCGGTCTAGACACTCCGGAGCAGGACCGGTCTGCAAGACGGGAGACCCCTGTCACATAATGGCCCCGGCAAATGTTGGAGCCCAGCTGTTGACAGTGAGCGCCATTCACTCTCCATAGCGCATGTCTAGTGTGGCGCCGAGACATTCCAGCAGATCGTGGACGCCTTTGTCATGGCCGCCAACCTGATAATCTGCTAGGTGGAGCATCAATCGCTCGAGTGGTCTGCCGTGAGGTGCGCCTGCAGCGACAAGGGAAGCCGCAATATTGAGATGTTGTGATGTAGGAAAAGCCTGTTGTCGAGGGCTGTGGACCCACCCCAGGAGATCGATAGAATGGGATGGTATTTATCTCCAGACCTTGGGCCTCTGAACTTGGGCTTCTCTTTCCTTTCCCCTCTGTAGTCGCTCGTTAGCTCTTCATTCGTTGTTTTTGCAGTCGTTCGCTATCACAGTACACCATACTCAATACGCTATACTTAATTGTGATACCTCGACACTTGACACGACCCAGCTCCAGTAACGACAAGTGGTATTCTTGCCGCCACGATGAAAACCACATTGGTGGTTCTGGCTTTGGCTGCTGCCTCACAGGCCGTCCGTGTGCCTCTGTGCTCGGTAAGTTCTCTGGATCATTTTTTGAACATGTCAGCTGACGATGCTCCAGGCCATCTGCATGACCAACGGCATTGCCGCCACAGGATGCTCTGCCAGCGACACGGCTTGTATCTGCACATCGGAAAAGTTCTTCCCAACTGTCGCAGAATGTGCTGAGGCCGACTGCAATGCGGACAAGTCAGGTGAGTCCCACTGACGTTTTGCCGAGTTCGAATGCAAGAGAAACTGACTGCTCGAAGTTATTGATACCGCCGAAGCCTTTTGTGCCAATGCCGGCATTCATGTCGAGGTGAAGAGATGGGGTGGTGGGGGCCCTGGCCACGGTCCTCCTGGCCACGCCTTCGGTCCTGAAGGCCATGAGTTTGGTCGTGGTGGCCGCTGGAGAGGTGGCCGCTGGAGACAAGGTGGGAAAGGGTACAAAGGAGGAAAATGGGAAGGTTTCCAAGGTTGGTGGGGTGGTGGAGAGGAAAAGGGCTCGCCCGCACCACCTGTGAAGGGTGGTTCATCTGACAGCACGACTGGAGGTTCATCGGGAGGTCCACCTTCCGACTGGGAAGACTGGTCTTCTGGAGGAGGACGTCCACACTGGGGTGACCATGGCAATCCATGGGAACCTCCCCACGAAGGAGGCAACCCACCTCACACACCGACATCTCCAGACCAGCACCATCCTCACCCTACTGGACCTTGGGAGCCGCCGACGACTGTCGTCTGATTCTGGATGGAGCTCGTCACTCATGTCCTTAAATGGATTCTTTTTCTATGGCCAAGATTTGCTTGCAATGCAATCTCGGCTCTTCACCTTTTGACGAGGAGTCTTTACGGGAGGGAAATGGTCAACCTGTCTGGCGTGTGGGAAGAAGAGGGTCGATCGCAGCCGAAGGATCTGGGACCAATGTTTTTCAAATTCATCAACCGACAACTTCTCGTAGGCTGTCAAGTAATAATGATCGTGTCAACTTGTGAGGCAAACTAGATGCAAGAAATAGTCATCCGTTTTGCTCTTTGAAATACCAGGACTAACTTTCGCAGTTTCTTGCCCGTCTCTTGCCTGTCTCTTGTTCCGCCTCTTGCCCCATCTTTTCCTCTGTCAAGATGATCGAGTCCCAAATATGGGAGAAACACGGTTTGGACGAGGCACCGCAAGTTAACTAGGAGCTGTTCAGGGTGGTAAGAGGAGGTGTTGATTGTAACATGCTTTCCAATGACCTCGACGGCTCGAACACGTGTAGTTGAAAGCGTCAACCGCGCTGACCAGGGATGGTAAAAAAGCCATACTGCTAGAGCAGAACCTAAAGCGTTTGAACGAGGAATCAGAAAAATCAGTGACAACTCGTCAAGCTGCGATCATTCTGTAATCTACAAAAAGGGCAGATTGTGACCAGGTGGTTGTTCTAGAGCTTTGGACGCAGATGGGCGGGCCACTTCCCTGGGCTAGTAGTGTGAGTGGTGGTTGACGTCATGTTAGTAAAGCGGCGACAGCTCGACAGGTTGACGCGGAAGATCCGATTATCCGGTTCCGACCTTGGCATTGCTTGATTGGGTGGAACTTGAAGGCGGCGACTTTCAGTGGTCGTTGGTTTGTCACGCCCGACGCCCGACATGCGCGTTGAACATGGTGACATTCCACACTTTTCTATCCTTCCATTCTGCTGTCACTCATGCCATAACGCCAGAAGACCTGTGTTCCCTTTGTTCCCTCTGACGAGTCCTGATAACCCCATATAGGTATCGATAACCCGAAAACTTGAACCGGTCGACCCGCTGTACCCTTGACTTGAAACCGAAGCCTTGACCTCCAACTAAAAGACGGCATTCAAAACAACATTCCACCCTTTCCCAGAGAAGAGAAGTGCTCTGCGAAAGCACAGTGCATCATACTACCACATCATGTCCATCAAGTATGTATCGAAGTATCCTACCGCTCAAGTCATTGAACCTAACTCTGTCCTTTCCAGCTGGGTGATGTTGGATGGCCAACAAGGCTTCATACCACTACCGGCAGAGAAAATCATCCACAAATCATCACCGAGAATATCCCTCGATATTACCACGCCCTCGACATATCCGGGCCACCATCCTTTAAACATCCATTCCAGTTCAGGCATTGTGTATCTGACGAACCAGAGAGTGAGTAACATCCACCTCTCAACAATTGTTCCCTCTTCTGACTGGCGATGTAGATTGTATATCTACCCGACAAGCCCACGCCGGAGTTGCAGTCGTTTTCCGCGCCGCTTCTGAACCTCCACGATACTCACATCACAGTACCGTGGTTCGGACCCAATGCCTGGCAAGCCGCTCTCCAGCCCGTCCCAGGAGGCAACATTCCTGCAACACAGGCGGCCGTAGAGCTCAAACTGACCTTCAAGGAGGGCGGTGCACCCGACTTCCACTCGAAATTTGAGCAGATCAAGGAGAGACTGCAGCAAGTTGTGTCAACTGCGAGGGAGGAGAACCTGACGGGACGACGGCAGGACAGCTTTCTAGGCGATGTCAACCTCAACAATGTCCACCTTGACCCGCTGCCGTCATATCAAGAATCAGGTCAAGATAGGGTTGCAGCAGGAGAGGCGATTCCATCTAGCGCGGTCATAGATTCTCCCGAGGCCGGAAGTCCAATTTCATCATCCGCTGGTGGTCGAATGAGGTCAGCATCACCAGTGGAAGATATCGAACCGCCGCGCGAGCCGCCTCCCGGGTACGAGGAGGTACAGCAGCAGAGTATACAGGCGGAGCTCGATCGGAGGCTCTCATTTCCTCTAGAATAAGGCTCACACATTGGGGCTTGGGCAGGCTGTCTGTGGGGGTTGATTTTGAAGCAGGGTGTTTAGGCGCCAGGACACGTGTCTATCTCACGCGGGTGGGAGGGGCCTATACTCTTAGCATGGCTTCATAGCTTGTAAACTGTACTACTCCAAGAGTTTGAACAGTCTCAGTCTGCCTACGAAGTGATTCACCGCAGAGCATCGGTCCTCAGATGGCCTCCTTCTGGACATGGGACGTAGTGTATGTTATGTAAGCAGTCCAATGTGACCAATGGGAGACCACCAATTCAAACTCGCCCAAAGTTGGAGCTTCGAGCTTTGATTTCAAGAAGCTCTCCTTACAACTCCGTCGGCATTCGCACTCTACACAGACACGGTCAAACCACACCGTCGAGTCTCCGGGGTGGCCTTGCATTCTATCACCTACCGTTCCTACAGGTCCGGCTACCTCTACTCTCTTCGCATCGCCGCGTACGAAACTCCACCATGGGGATCACAGATTTCTTGTCGGACCTGATGAGCTCGGTCTCATTCGTGCAGGAGGTGCACGCCGAAGCTCCCGCCGAAGAGGAAGAATCCAGCGAAGGCGGCGAGGAATCAAAGGACGACGATGCTGGTGAGGAAGAGGAGGGTGGTGACGAAGGTGGTGAGGAAGAAGAGGAGGAGGAGGAGGAAGAAGAAGAAGAAGAGCCCGTGGACCCCAAGCCCAAGCTCGAGGAGGGTATGTACACGCCTATACACGCTACGGACTGGTGTTGTGCCATTATCAAGATCAAGAGCGGAGCGACTGACCTTTGAACAGAGTGCGCCAATTCCGCCCAATGCGTTGGCTACAAGCACCACTTCGACGAATGCGTTGAACGAGTCACCGCCGCCCAAGAAGACCCCGATCACAAAGGGCCTCATGAAGATTGCGTCGAAGAATGTATGTCTACATCACTCCCAGTTCCACCCAGTGTTCGGTGAAAGGCCACGGAGAGAGACAGAGAGAGAGAGAGAGTGAGCTGACCAAATCATCCAGTCTTCCACCTGCAACACTGCGCAACGCAATGCGCCGCTCCTAAGCTGTGGAAGGCACTGAAATAGAGCCCTCCCTTTTTCCGTCCCACGACCCCCGCCGACCCCGTCACCGCTGGGAAGTCCAGAAGCCAGACGATTTTCCATGCCTACTTGCAAACAGGAACATCTAATGCCAACTCTGCTGTCGGATGAGCATGGGGGTGCAGGATCTTGCATGGGTGTTCATTCTGCCACAGATGCTCCAAGTACAATACATAGTAGTGCACACACCCACCCGCCTGTACAGCTACTCATAAAATGAAAGACTTGTTTTCTCCCCGATTCGCTCGTATCTTGGGGTGTGGTCGGGCGCATCAGCCTGTTCGGTCTACGTCTGCGTCTGCGTCTGGTGTCAGGACAATCCAAGGGAGTTTTTGAATCAAGAAGCTACAATCCCGCCCCTAAGACCCATAATACCGTCGTTGCTTTGGGCGGAATGCATCCCAGTCGAGAGCATTTCCGAATCCGCGGGCAATTTTAGAACATATCTACCTTCCCTACCTACTACACTGGGTATTCTCAGCCGTGTGTTGTTCGCTGGAAGGGAAACGGTCTCTGTCCTGTCGAGTCAATCCGTTCCGGGTGGCCTGTTCTTTCAAGTCTTTTCGTGTTTTCGGTTCGGATTTTGCCTTATTGACCTTGTACCCTCCTTGCAGTGCAGTGCAGTATGGCCTGTTTATGGCATCACATCGCATCACAACGTATTGAATTGTCCATATATGCGCTTTCGTATGTGATGTGTGTGTGTGTGTGTTCGGAATTGATGTCTGTTGGCTCGATTGAAGTGGCTGTTAGAAGGCCGAATATAATATATGGAACATCTCTGACGTCCATGTATCGACAAACTACATCACGTATGTAGGATATGTACTAGCCACTCCCAACAGAGCAGCGTTCTCACTACCTATGTTTAGTAGCTGTCATGTATTTCCTTCCTTCTCCATGACCGACGGGCCTGGCTCTCAAACTTCAAATCTAATGCGGTCAGGCATCAACTCGGGAGTAGATACAATTATATATCAGGAGGAGGCGCCTCAGAAGACGATGCGATAAGATGCAAACAAAATTGTCTTCGCAAGCCCGCCAAATAGGCCACATTGGGATCAAGTGCTATGGAAAGAGAAGAGAATAGCTGCCTGGATAATGAGACTGTTCACGGTCACGGTCCCGTTGATACCCCATCTTCTCGTTGCAAACTCTCCGCGTCGCAAGGGAGGAGGCGTTGGGGTTAGGATCGAGATCAGCTTGAAGGTCTGTCTCATGCACTCCATCGCCGGGCCCAGTAGGGCCTCTCATCGGGTAGAGCCAAACCACTGATGTGTAACAGTAGGTGAGCACGTTGCTCCGTTCAACTGGATCTCCACATTCCCTATTTCACAATTGGGATGCACACTCGTACAGCACAACATTGTCCAGCGGCTATTGGTCGTGGTCGACGCCAATATCGACAAACTGGTCAGTCCCGCTGCGGTCGGCCTCGAGCCTACGTCTCCTCACGTGCGACTGGCGACCGAAGAGGCCCAGAGCGAGCGCGGTTGGCATGACGACCATAGCTAGGACGGCTTGGAAAATTAAGGCGCGCTTCATGTTTTGCGGAGGATCAGTATCGCTTGAATCCTTGAGGGCGTCCATGATGACGATGAAGATACCACCCAGCAGCTGGCCGCCGCACCAACACAGACTGCTACCCAGCTCCGGACCGAGAGGGTAGTGGATCTCGACGAGGAATTCGAGAACAACAGGGACAAGGCCGAAGCTGGCGGCGCCGAGGATGGCACAGACGACGTAGACGTAGGCGAGCGAATGTGACTGTGGGGCCCAGATGAACACCAGATACGGTAGTGCGATGAACGGAATGGTCAACTTGATATACCTCAGGTAGAATTTGTACTTGTCCATGATAGGCGAGCATATAGCGGCGAAAACCAACCCGACCACAATCAGCACGGCGCCAGAAATCCCTGCATCACTCTCACTGAACCCGTACGGCTCCAGGATCTGATTGAGCAGGCTCGAAAAGGCGTTGAAAAAGCCAACGTACACGACGAAAGGAACGAAGAGCAGATAGAACTCGACCGAGTGTGCCAGTGTGTGCAGGTCGTGCTGCAGAGAGGTGCGGTCCATGTGATCCGCCACGGCGCCAGCCGAGGGCGGTGTAGGCGGTTTTCCGGGGATGAAGAAGGCCGGCACACAGGCGACAGATGAGATGATGGCGACGTACAGGATCATGTCGGGGATTTGTCGTGGCTCGTCCGCCCAGAACGGCGAGATGAGTTGGCCCAGCGCAGCCCCGAACGGGTTGGCCAACGACGCCACGGCAGTGGCGGTGGTGCGGCCTGCTGGACTGAACCACAGGTTGCTGTAGCTGGTGGGCGAGGACAGAACGAAGGGCTGGGCGAAGCCGATGATCAGTTGTCCGACCATGACTCCGGCGAAGTTGTTGGCCCGCGTCGCGCCGTACTTGATCCAATTGCCGACCAACACGAGGGCGGCGGCAATGATGATGGCGACGCGTGGGCCGTGCCGGTGCAGGACAAAGAAGGTGGCTGGCGTGGTCACGCAGAAGGCGAACAGGAAGGCTGTCGACACCCAGTTGATGTTGCTCTCGCTCGTGCCGAAGTACTGCGCCGACGTGGACGAGACAGGCGCAAAGGCGATCCAGTCCCAGGACACCACGATGTTCAGCAGCACAAGCTGCGCCAGCCCGAAGAAGCGTCGTTTGTACACTTTGAATTCGACCTGACTGGTCGTCGAGATGCGTGATAGGGTCCGGCCCCTCGGAGAGTTCGTCTGGCTGTCCCCGGTCACGTCTCCGCTGCCTTCGAGCAGTGGCCCTTGCGAATCGATGGACGTGATGCCTTCTCGGCCATGGACTGCGTGTTCGGCGCCTTTTGCGTCTATCGAGGTCCCCATATTGACGAACGTCTCTAGAGATGCTAACAAGGGAAGCAGGTTGGCAGATCACGTCCCGCCGTGCCCATCAGGGGGGTTTGGATGTAGACGTGTCGTAGGCTTAGGCGTGGGTATGGGCGCTGTTAGAAGTGACGAGATGCTCAACAGGCGGCGATGCGATGCGATGTTGATGGAAGAGACAAACGTCTTGGAGGGCCCGAGTCGTTCCAGCGTCCATCCGGCCTGGACAGTACTACAGAGTAGTATCTCATATCGCTGGCGACCCTGATAAAGGTAACGGCGCAGAGGGGGGGTGGAAGTCGGGCCACTGGCCTGAGGCTTGCACGACTAATTCGAATTAATGCCTCTCAGGTTCCGGCTTAGCGAATGAAAACGCTGCGGCTGCACTCCAGCGTCGCTCGGCAGTGGCAGCTACGGCTAATTTCTACGTACTACCTTGGTGCTACCAGTGTCCGTACTCCCTACTGGCAATCTTCAAATCCTACCTCCACTGATACCTACCTACCTAAGGTATCTATCTCCCAGACTATGTCCGTATCTAGATGCAACCGAGCTGCTCCGTGGCCTTGTGCTTATCGTGATCGTGGCTGAAGAGATATCGAGTTACCAACGTCCTACTCCTCCGTCCTGCGCAGTCCCCTCCACCCTCTTCTGCTAGGTTGAACACGGTCATTAGCCCCGATCGAAGGGTATGGCGCCTCCATCATCAGTCTTACTGTTGCAGCATGGGGTCGCAAGATCAGAGAATGAGCCTCTCATCTTGGGGACAACGACGCAGCGCCATCTTCCTCATCGCCGCTATCGCCGTCTTTGCGGACGCCTCCAGTTGGGTGCGAACGCTGCCGCCCTCAGACAATAGCGGAGCTCAGTCATACCGGTTAGGAGTTATTAGCATCATCCCTGATCGTTATCGTACGAGCCTTCACGTTTGCCAAAGACCCTCACGAACAAGCCATCTCTATGTTGAGGATGGGGCTTGTGTGAAAAAGACGAGTCGTGAACCAGCTGCGACTGGTAGCAAGTCTCTTGCTGACCGGCCACTCCTTTTGAGCTACATGTCTATGGCCGGGTAAGGGCCTCAAGAGATCGGTGACTCCCAAACACGGGTCAAGTAAAGCGCTTGCTCAGCCTCGTCCGAGAGCCATGGCAGAGTGATCGACCCAATGTCAGCAAGAACGCAGATCAGGTAAGCGGTATGCGTCTTCGCATTCCAATGTCATGTCGCAATGGTTGGCTGGATTGCACATCCCCTGGATTATGTGCCGAGATCCGGCATTGTTTGAGGAATGTCGTCCTGACTACCGCGGGTATGTAGTTCTTTTGTTTGAATCCTGAACCGGAAACAAAGATGTCGCAAATGAGGACTACTTTGGACCAACATCTCTCCCATTCTCAGGTCACCTCGGTTTTTAGCCTTCGTTCAGTTGACTGCCGTGGCTGTATACCCTGATGATGCAGTACATGAGGATTTTCGCCGCCACTCGTCAAGTCTGAAGTGCTCGTCATGATCTTGTTTGTGCTTCTTATCCAAGCCCTCTGTCTTCGAGTTGTTTGGGCTATCAGTGTCCAAGATATCCCTCAGTGTGCGGTTGGTATTTCGAACATGCTCAAGAAAGCTCCTGCTGACACGCGACAGCAACAATGTCTCTCAAACTCGACCACGGCCCAGACCCAATGCTCCGTGATTGATATTGCTTGTCTTTGCTCCAACTCGGCCTATGTCACTACCTTGTCATGCTGCCTGTCCCAAAAATGTTCGGAAGATGAGCAAGCAAGTAAGCTGGAACGAGAAAACAAACACAGAACGATGGATGTTAATCAAGTCTTTAGCCGCCATCCAGTTCAATAAGCAGGAGTGTGCCGCCGTGAATGAAACAGCTCCAGATTTTGTGGGATGTTCACCGAGCGGGCTGTCCAGCGCCCTTGCCAGTGCCAGTACCCAAGGGGTCACGCCGGTGACCAGCCCTCCGACCGTCTCATCGACTAACACTATTTCCTCCACTTCCTCATCAATCGATTCTCGGTACCTCACAATCTCGGGAGATGTGGTCTCAGAGACTATGGTATCCATAAGTGGGAGACCGTCGACGGCAACATCTGCTGGAGGACCGTTGATGACAGGGAGCTGCACAGTTCCATACTTTGCTGTTGTAACAGATAGCAACGCAATGGTGACTGAATTTCCCGCAATTGGCTGTTCCGAGTCGAGAGCCGATTGTTGCCCATTCGACCAAGGGGCAGATGCAGCCTTGACCAGATGTCCGCAGGACTATTTCACCACGGCAAATGGTTGCTGTCCAATGTAAGTGTCATCTCACATGGAGAAAGTGTGGATCTAACAGACATAGCGGGTACCAGGTCTACTACACGGCTATCGGTGCGCAGACGCCATGCTTTTCCAATCCAGCAACAAAATTCATCCCGGCATCCACGCCGACGGTTTCGGGCTTGACATTGATCACCGACCATGTTTTCTCGCAGATGTACATGCTTGTTACGCCGGTCCCGACGCACAGTAAGCTGCCTCTCGGGGCTGAAATTGGAATCGCGGTGAACGCGGTCCTCTTCGTCGGGGTCATCATTGCGGTATTCATCTTCATCCGGAGGCGGAAAGCGAAAGCAGCGGCTCAGATGGCGCGGTCGACGACGTTTCCGCCGGAAGAACCGGCTCTTCAAATGTCGCAGGTGCCAGACACACACGAGCTGGACAGTCCCGAGGGACAGGCAGGCTCTCCTGAAGCCGGTGACCTCAACTGGCCTATTTTCCCAGCAGCTTCACCTCCCGCATACGAGCAAGCGAAGGCAAGATCCGTCTCCAATAAACCAAGCACCCCTCAAGAGCTGCCGGGAAGCACTTTCATCCATGAACATCACCCGGCATACTCGAGTCTTCATACACCTACAGAAGCAACGCCACCATCACCTCCCAAGACGCCAGTTCAAAAATCCGAAAAGAAGTCACCCGTCGTGTCTGCTATCACACCGAGGTCGGGCATTCAGAGTCCTCCGTTCGTGTCACCCTTGGGCTCACCGAGGCTACCTCAATCCTCACCTTGAAGCTTATAGATAATATATGCAGTTGTCTCGAATTGGTCTGTAATCTACAATAGGTCTTTGCATTTTGGAGGTATACAGGAGGGGATAGAAGGAAGACGACGGGAGCACACAGGCTTAGGAGGCTTCAGCCTCGGCGAATCACGTTTTGCTGGGCACGCGTTGGCTGTCACTCAGACTTGGAGCGCAAAATGCGCTTCAAGTCCCAGGTCACGACACCTTCGCGTCCTTACTACTACGTAGCAGTACCTCTGTGGCACTGGGCACCTTAGGTAGACTGACCTAAGCAAGCCCGTTCGTTTATGACATTTCCGCCTATGCTCTGAGTAATGGTTGCTGCGAGGGGTGTCGGTGAAGGAACGTGGACAGGGGAAGAATGTTGTTAGATTACGGAGTGACGATGAAGCGGAGAGTGGAGCACCATATGAAAAAGCAAAGTCTTTGGATAAGGCTAAAGGCAAGGAACGGAACGCCAAAAGACGCCGGTGAGGATGACGACTTAGGCACCCCTCGACAACAGTAAGTACCTACCTAACCGTAAGGTCATTCATTGGTGTTCATTGTGTATTGGTGGTTTACACTGTACAGTATCTACCTACCTATACTTTAATGTAAGAGCTAGAAGGTGCCCTCACCACTGACAAGACGAGTTGTCATAAGTCGTAATGGAACGGAACGGCCAAAGGCACAACCACAGCATTGCTCCGAATTTTTAAACATGCTCCAAGTTTTTTAATCATGCTCCCGAGTTTCTTAGTTTCTTAATCGTGCTCCGACTTCTCGGCTTTCCTCGTCCGCCACTGCCATTCCCACAAGACGGGCAAGAAACTCCACAGATCAAAGTCGGGCCACAGAACATCTAGAAAGACAATCTGCGTGTCCTGGTGGCACTGCCACAGCAAGAAATCCGAGAGTCGACTCACTCCGCTGGTGCGGACCAGCAGGTCGACGGGCGGGTCGCCGGCGTTGTACATGTGCGAACTGAGAGTGTCGGGAGTGATCAGCTCGGGGGAGGGATAGGTTGAGTTTGGGCTTGGATTTTTCACTTGTCCATGCTCCCGAGAGGCTTTGGAGGCTGGCGTAGGTGAAGTCTGGTTCTTGTGGTGAGGAAGCTGCTTTTCGCCCGACGACGTCGACGTCGGTTCGGAAGGAGAGGTGGTGGTGTCGGAATAGCCGTCAGGCTGGAGAGTGGTGGAGGTGGACATGGATGAGAGGTCTTGTTCGCTTGCGTCTTGCGAATAAGATGAGAGAGAGGTTGTGCTTGATGAGGGTGAGTGTAATTCGGGCGCGTGTAGAAAGGTGGAATCCGAATCCGTGCTGGTGTGCTGGCTGAATTGATGGGACCGGATGGTATGTGCGATCCGCTCTTCTTTGAAAGGCCTGGTCCGCTCCTTGTCTGCCACATCGCGAGGGATTGGTCGACTGAACTCGTCCACTGTATCTCGGATGGCCGAAGTGATCTCTTCGCGGCTGGTGTACGGGAAGCACACGTTCAGCACACAGTTGCCGTTCCCTGATGTCATTTTGACCGCCTGATCGACCACCTCCAGCACGTCGGGCTTGATCAGTTCCCTCTGGCCTAGAATCCGGATTCGGGCGCCGTAGCGGTCGAGCAGGTCGCCGTGCTCGACCAGTTGTCTCAGTTTGATCTTGGCCATGTCCATCAGAGCGTCCACCTCGTATTTGGACCGTTTGAAGTTTTCGATGCTGAACGCGTAGATTGTCACATGGGTCACGCCCGACTTGTAGCATACTTCGAGGATCTGGTTCAGCCACCGGTCAGCGCATGGTTCCCCAGGTCCGTCCGTGTCTAGGCTGGTGGTGTGGTGTGGTGTCAAACTTACTTTGGCCAGTGCTTCAAATCCCAAATTGTGTCCTTCTACAGTCTCAATCCTGTTCTTCTTCGCAAACCGTCGGTTCCCATCCATCACGAAGGCGACATGCTTGGGAACGGGACCCTGCCGTAGGGCGCCGATGAGCAGTTCTCGCAGTTGACTCAGCACCCATTCTGCCGGCGGAGAGGACCAGAGCCACTTCCGAAGATGCGAAATGTGTCTGGAACTCATGGCGACGACCGATGACCGACGCAGGCATTCAACAGCTTCTGGTTCCGGTCAGACTAATATATGCTGCCTAGAGGTCCTGCGCCTGTTATATTGCAGCCTTACCAGATATAGCCTAGCGTTTTATACCCCGATACCTCCAGGAGCGTCACTGAGAAGTCACTGAGAGCCTCGCCTTCACCTATCCAGTTAGGTGCCAGTCTTAGAGCGGAGGTACATAGTAATTATCACACTGATTTATGCTATATTTAAACAGAGAGACAACTTATAAAGCTTGCGTCATCAAGTTTGTGCAAGTTGCAGCCGGGTGAAATAGAGCCCTCCTGGACAAGCGGGTTTGTTTGCTAACAGTGCACGATTGAAGGGACCAGCCAACCCCCTTCAACCCACATCAGTCTCACCGTTCACTTGCTCGAGCATTTTCACTCTCTCCCCGACGTCCGCCTGCTGCCGGAGGGAGTAAGACATCCGGAAGTTTGATGCCTACAACCCCTTTAGGCCCGATCTCTTTCTCCTTCTTCGGCGGCGGACTGTTTTCTCGAGGAGAATTCCCGTTGCTGCTGTCATCATTTTCGCGCAGTTCCACTTCAAGACGTTTGAGTTTTTCTCCTCGCAGAATCTTGTTGATGTCTTCTCGGTCAAGCGTTTCGAATTCAAGGAGGGCGTCCTTCAGAGCTTCCAGCTCTTTGCGCTTTTCTTTGACGATTCGGTCGGCTCTTTGTCTACCTGCCTCAACAATGTCTCGAACCTCACGTTCAATTTCCATTTTGGTTTCACTGGACAGATTGTTGTAGTCCGACGCCAGATCCACATTTCCCAGCTTGCCTGAATAGCCACACTGAGTGACCAGATGATATGCCGTCCGTGTGGCGCTCTGGACATCGTGGGCGATCCCGCTGGTCACCTTGTTGGGGCCGAAGATCAATTCTTCCGCCGCCCGACCACCCATGGCAACATCAATCTGAGCAAGAAATTGGTCGTAACCCATGCTGACGGCGTCCATTTCTGGCAAGAAATGAGTCACACCAAGAGCACGGCCACGCGGGATGATCGTCATCTTGTACAGTTGACTGCTGGAGGGGGTAAACAGGTTGACCAAAGCGTGGCCTGCCTCGTGATAAGCCGTTTGGATCTTGTCCTTTTCACGAATCATTCGGGATTTGGCCTCGGCGCCCATCAGGATCTTGTCCTTGGCCCACTCGAAGTTTTGAGCGTTGATTTTCTTGTACTTCAGGCGGGAGGCGTGAACAGCAGCTTGATTGCACAGGTTCTCGAGATCTGCGCCGGACATGCCACTTGTCGCTCGGGCAAGGTTGGTGGCGTCTACGTCAGCAGAGACTGGCATGTTTCTCATGTGATGCTTCAAGATCTCAATGCGACCTCGGACGTCAGGCAAAGGAACGTCGATGTGGCGGTCGAACCGACCAGGGCGAGTGAGTGCTTTATCGAGGGATTCGGGGTAGTTGGTCGCGGCGATCAGAATTACGCCAGTACTGGGGCTGAATCCGTCCAGCTCGGTCAGCAACTGGTTAAGTGTCTGCTTGGCATATGCGGGATCTCGAGCGTTTCTCTTGCCACCCACAGCGTCCAGTTCATCGATGAAGATGATGGCAGGGGCCTTGTTTCGCGCCTGGGAGAAAAGCTCACGGACTCGCTTCGCACCCACGCCGACATAGAGCTCGTCGAACTCCGAACCAGACATGTAGAACACGGGAACACCGGCCTCACCAGCAACTGCTCGAGCAAGCATAGTCTTACCAGTTCCCGGTGGACCAACGAGAAGGACACCTTTGGGCAGCTTGCCACCTAGTTGGTTAAACTTGTCGGGATTCTTCAAGAACTCCACAAGTTCCTGTAGTTCCTCTTTGGCTTCATCACAACCGTGGACATCACTGAACCGCACAGTCTGATGTTGGGGCTGAACTTCATTGTTCTGTCCAACCCGCGTGCGAAGACTGCCCGACATCTCGACGACCATGGTGAGGATGACCAGGAGAAAATAGCCAGCAAGACCGACCCAGAGGAACATCTTGACCCATTTGAGAATTGTAGTACCCCATGACTCTTCCACCACAACATATAGAGGTGCTTCTCTTGCGCCTGTGCCGGATTTATTGCTGGGCATGACTAGCGAGCCACCGTAGTTTTGTCCTGCAACTGCTTGGCCCACGGCCCGAAGGGTGTGTGGGGGCAGGCCGTCGCCCTGGTTTGCAGACACACTTACGTTCGAAGCACCCGGAGCGGGCACGGAGCCAACCATTTGAAGAGCCTTGAGGTACGCGGTATCCGTTGCTGCGTTACTGGCATATCGACCAGACTGATATCTCTCGATCACAATCTTGGGTAGATTGGCTCGCAGAAGAGCAGAATAAAAGGCGCTTTGTGCGGTCGCACTCGCAGGATTGTTGTTTGCGGTTCGTTCGGCGTGGGCCAACATGTTTTGATTCGAAGCCTGAAATGAATTCGAGAAGGCTCGACGTTGGAGTCCTTGGCCTACGTTTCCTCCTCTCCGCGGGGAGCCGAACAGAAGGTGGCGCATTGAAGGCTGAAATCGGGATTGTTTGACCGTGGCCGTACTTGACATCACCCGCATTGTTGCTATTCCCGGTGCGGTGGTTGAGAAAGACCGCTGCGCTGACAGCATAGAGATCTGTGATGCTAGACTGCTGCTACGAAGGCTGCCAGACAGCCATGGGAGCGGCTGGCGCGGACGGGAATGCGGCGGGGTGGAGCGCAGGTTCTCGATCGGTACTGTTGCGAGGAACTCTGGTAGTCTTGTCATCGATGAAACCTGGAAAAGCGTTAGGTCGTTTGTTTCTCCAACGGGGTGATATCACACACGTATGGCCCTTCCACACTCTTGCTGGCTGTCGATTGCGTTTGGCGGGCAGCCTGCGTATCTACCTCGGCAGGTCGCCGCGCAGCGCGGTTGCGGCGCAGCGCTTTCAATGGCGATGTGAACAGGGAGGGAAGCGTAGTCCAGACATCTGGGCCGAGTATGGACAGGCTCTGTAGAGACATATGAATCAGCGGAGGTTGAGCTCGTACTGTACGTTGAATACGTACAGGAAGCTGGGCGAGCGGAGCCTGTAAGGCCATCTTGTCAGTGGTGTGGGCGGCAGCGGCCGCGACGAACAAGTGATTCTATCAGTAAAGTGATCGCGAGAAGCAAGAAACAAAGAAGAGGAAGAAATGGCTGCCTTCTTGCCACGCCACAAGACGTTGACACTGTAGACGGTGGCCGATGACAGTCAGAAGGTGGGCGGCAGAGATGGAAGAGGTTCGGAGACTCTCGTTCTTACACATCGTCGCCACCGGATCCAGTCACGTGGCATCGTTCAAGGGCAGGGCATCACATGATCAGCCACTTATCTTCCACTGTTTACCTAGCACCTACTGTACTCCGTACCCAGCTGGTATCGGCGCGGTGTATCATTAAGACTACCACCCTCTCTCTACCTGGCCTGGTCCTCTCCTGTCCGCCCTCACTACTGATCGGCCTTACGAAATCCAACGCGCCGCGTGTCGTGTTTCCTGTCTACTCAGCACCAACTATCTCACTGTTGTTGCTTGCTGAAAGCTGCCCAACGACTTTTGTGATCGGCCTCTACCTATGTCAACAAATCCATACCTCCAGAGATACTACTGAGAACAATCAAGAGGTGGAGCTCTGCAGACACAGAGACAACGAAGCAGGGTTGGAAACATCAAAGTTCTCATGTCGAACGGGATGTTCATGTCTGGCGCCGGGCTGTAGTACAGCCCGGAATCGAATTTCTCTCACCTGTACACATGGATCCCTCGGAATTTGACGATAAGTTCTGGACTGGGAAATGCCTTTCGGCGCAGTTGATGGAGGACGAGCCTTTCCAGTCACCGGAGGTAGATCCGTTGCTGAGGCATTTCAGAGACTTTGAGCAGAAGTTTGAATGCTTGAAATATTTAGGGGAAGGTAAACAAGGAATTGTTCTATCGGCCCATATCAACAGCGTTCAATACGCCATCAAAGTGGTGATTTCTAAGCGCGCTCTTAACCTCAGTGAGATCTCTAATCCCGTCACAGTTCTACCCTTTTACCATTCTCCCGGATTCACGGCTCAATCCCGAAGAGCAGCATCTTTATTTCAATCCATTTAGCTGTGAATGTCGAGCGTTCGCCCGTTTACAAGACATGAACGAAGACGGCACGTTTGCGGTCAAGTGCTACGGGTGGGTAAAGCTGTCAAGCTCCCAGGTCAATGACATCCGTGCCCTCTGCAAAGAGAAGGATTTTATCCCATGGGCATTAGTCAAGGAACTGGTCAGCACAGCTGCTCATCCAAATCAACTCACTAAAATGATCGAGAATATAGACATTGCAGAACAGTGTAATCTGTTCATCCCAGACGTCCAACCTTCCAACTATGGCGCAGGAAAGTTCTTGGACCTTGGAGCAGCGAAAGTACTGCCATATCATCCGGTCTACTGGCCTGGCTACTGTTTCACTCAATCCTTTACCGATCATCGCAACCGGCTGCGGAAGTGGACGGTCAACGAAAGTAAGTTTATTGACAAATACGAAGATTAATCAGCGGTAGAAAAGATGTTGTTTACTTCTCGGTCCTCTACTACACTGTAACATTAACCCTGTTGGCGACAAGTAGATCTGTCTGATTCTTTAACGCTTTTTCTTTCGTTATGACTTATGACACTTCCTAGCTCTTATATTATATTAGGTACCTACTAGATACTGTACACCACCAATACAATACACAACAACACCAATGACCTTGAGGTACCTAGGTACTTCCAAGCCGTCACCGTCACTGTTGTCGAGGGTGCCTGAGTCGTCGTCGTCGTCATTGTCGTGGTCGTGGTCGTGGTCGTGGTCGTGGTCGTGGTCGTGGTCGTGGTCGTGGTCGTGGTCGTGGTCGCTGTTGTTGTTGTTGTTGTTGCCGTTACGTTACGAGCCTGAGGCATTCCTTTGGTCACCACCTGCATGCTAGTGCTAGTACCCTTTAAGGTATGTAGTATGTAATAAGCTAAGCTTAGTATCCAGTATCCAGTGTTGACGCGATAGTCGGTCGAAAAACTACAATAGATTAGGTACTGATCAAGGGATCAGGCTGCGTTTTGACGGATCTACGTAGTCATCACTCTAATCAGCCTGCTTGGTGGCCTGCTGTATCCTAAGTACCAGGCCAAATTGATGATACAGTGCAAGCCCATATTAGTGGTGTGGTGGTTAAAAGTATTCTAGCGGAAACTTGGAGCAATTTTGATATCAATGATAATACTGATTTCGGTCGAGTTTACAACTTGATGCATACCTATAGGTACATAGGACGGGGACGGCGCCACACTCAAGGCCCAGAAAAGAATCGGCTGGCCTCGATAATCTCGGCATCTCCGTTGGCAAAATCCCACCCGACGATCCGACTGTCCTGTGAGCATGATACTATCCGTCTCGTGTCGAACTGAAGCTTGAAAACTCGAGATCCCGGAGTATGCGGCTGTGGCTGCTGGCCTTGAGTGTGGCCCGCTTGCTGATGTTGCTGCTGCGGCTGCTGCTGCTGTTGCTGAACACCTTGTCCTTGAGGATGGGCCTGGGAATTATGAGGTGGAAGCGCATTTTGTTGATGCTGTGGAAGGGTATGAGCATGAGCATGAGCATGAGCATGATTATGAGCATGGGTATGAGTATGAGCCTGATGGTTGTTGGTATTCGATACACCAGGGCCGGCCGCCTGATGTTGATGGTGCGGTTGCTGTGATGCGCTTTGTGCTCGAGCCTGTTGCCCTCCGGCTTGAGCCAAAGCTTGCTGCACGGCTTGGTTCACAGCAGCCTGCGTGTGAGCCACGACAGCTTGGGTCAACGCTTGTGAGCCACCGGCGGCCGTCAAACTCGAAGTGAAGTTCTGCGTCGTGAGATTGGAAGGGTTGTTCGGAGCATTGCCAGGGGCATTTAGGACTCGGTTGATGCCCATGACATTGGAGATACCGGCCCCGAGACTCGCAATAGAGGTGCCTACAGTTTGCTGGACAATCTGTGATGCAGACATGATTGCCGGGTGAGCAGCTCCTGCAGGGCCGTGGCTGGTGGCGTTGAGATTGGCTTGACCTGCTTGACCTGCTTGAGCAACTGAAGCCGTGACGGGGTGATTCGACGCCGGCTGGGAAACATTCTGAGCAGCGGCTTGTTGATTTGGACGCTGTCTTGCTCGGCCAGCCATCTCTCGAGTAACGGGCTCGTGGCGCAACACGTGCCCAATGTACCAGTCGCCACCAGCGTTCTTCCGCCAGATGATGATGGATTCATCATAAGACCCAGACACGATCCGCCCCCATTTACTGCCGCCCCCTCCAGGTGGCAGTTTGGCACCCAATGCAAGTCGCGACGACCCATAGTCACCATTCCGGACGTCGCGATTGTATTTTCGGTTTTCGACGATCAAGCCACTGTCCAAATCTTCCAGGTACTTTCTCTCGGCTTCTCTGGCTTCATAATCGTACACTTCCTCGGCCCCAGGCATATCGCCGAATCCAGCCTGCACAGTGCGGACAAGATTGGTATGTCCTTTCAGCTCAGCAACCTCTGCGCTGGAGTAGGGGTCATAGATCCTGACAGTGTTGTCACTGCTGCCACTAACAATCCGCTTACTATCGAATTGTACGCATGCTATGCCTTTTTGGTGCCCTTGTAATGTTTTCAAGACTCTCCCGTCCCTGGTACTCCACACTTTGATCAGTCTGTCGCCGGACGCAGAAACGATCAGATCACCGTTGATCTGGATCGCGTTGACGGCAGCACTGTGACCTACTAGGGTCAACAGGAGCATATATGGTTTCAGGGCTCGGACAGTGCCATTGGCCATTCTTGCTTCCAAGAGCGAGGGTTCAATATCACTGGTGTCGACGATATAGGTCGGCACGCGTGCCGTACTGTTTCGGCTGATCTTAGGATAGTCCCGATCCGTAGCAACCAGAGGTCGGCGGTTCCATATTTTGATTCGTCGATCCTTGGAGCAAGTGATGAGATATCGACTGTCAAATCGCAGATTAAGCACTGACTCCTCGTGGGCGGACGGGATTTCGTAGATCTTCTTTCCCGTGGAAAAGCGCCAGATGATCACGCTGGAATCACTGCTGCCCGAGATGATGATATCTTCGTCTGGGGTGGGATCGAATTGCAAACACAGGACAGACTGGGAGTGGCCAACAAGCGGCTTTCCGCGTAACCGTCGGGTGTCAAGATCCCAGACTCGCAAGGTCTTGTCACGACTGCCGCTCACCAACCATTTTCCAAAAAACTGGATCGTGTACACACATTCTCGGTGAGCTTCGCTTGGATAAAAAGGGTGAGGAAGTTGGAACGTCGTATATCGGCCCTTAATCCAATTCTGCTCCAGCTTCTGGCGCTGTTTGTACAGATGGTGCCAGTTGAGACGTTCTCCGCCATGGGAATCTGGTATCGCCAACCGTGACTTGAAAGGAGGATCGCGAGTGTGTACAGGCTGTCTTCTCCGCTTGTCCTGTCCGTCTGTCAACTCCGAAGAGCTGTAATCCATCTCATCGCTGGAGTCCTGGCTCTGCCTTTTGTTCGGGCGCAGGAGCGAATGGTGGGCGGGACTCGGAGCATCTTGCATCTCTTGATCGTCCGAGTCCGATTGCATGTCCGTATCTGCCTCGATGACACTATGTTGTTCACGCCACTGAGCCACATCGGCCGACATTTTGCGGCCTCTGGAATCCATCCAGCCCGAAGTGGCGCGCTTCTTCGGTTGACGCTGGCCAAAAGGTTGGCCTCGGTAACCCTTTTTGTACACGGCTCGGCCCCCGGACGCATGGATGTTGTCAAACTGCCTGATCTCAGCCATATTGAGACCCCAGCCCTGGCCCTTGTAGAGGTCTTGCCACAGCTTGGAATCCATGACCCGTGCCCGCCAGGTCCGTGATGCAAGCGAGGCTGTGACCAAGGTATGGGCATCCAAGTGGGAAAAGATCTCGGAGGTGATCTCGGGCGGCAACTTTTCCAACGGATCCATGTATAGCAAAGGAGTCAACCGGTCCACTACTGCCGCGATCTTGGAGGTTCGAAGCGTGCGCAAGACCTCGTAGGCAATATCTGCCCGCGTGTCTTCGTTCTGAGCCATGACCCATTCTTGAAACTGCGCGGCCGTGGCAGCGAACCCATTGCGCCCATTTTCTTCCTGACTGGACGTGTCTTCTGAAAAGCCTTCATCGAGGCGGAAGGGAGTCTGGGTGGAGGACGAGGGAGGACAAGACGGACGTTTGGAATGGGTGTGGGAGCGGCCAAAGCGCTCCATGGCGACGGTGGCACGGCTGCAGAGCCTCGTGTTAATTGATGTAGAGAGGGCCGATCTTGCTCTGTTTCATAGGAGAGCGGCCCGACAGGATGTGAGCACTGGCAGAGTGGTGGAACGGTGGAAGAGTAACGCGGGATGAGTGCTTCGGGGATCAACAATGTCGTGATCAAGCCCAGGCTGAATGTTGCAAACGGGCATTGAGGAGCGTTGCTACCTAGTAAGTGGATATTGACAATACAATCAAGAGGAGGGTAAGTTACAAGTTGAAGCAAGAAGGCCAGCCTTGTGCAACAGGCAGAAAAATGGGTGGAAGAGGGAAGCGTGGCCCCGGCAGGCTGAATTGTTGTTTGGGTTGTTGGTGCTGGGGTTGGCACCGTCAGCCGTTGGCAGATGCATTTCCAAGATTCCAGATGCCAGTGTTAGGTCAGTGTGTTAGTCAGTGGCGTCTCGAATCGCATCCCACTGCAACTAGGGGCCAGGTGCCAGGTGCTAGGCAGTAGGAAGGGTGCCACCTAGCTGCTAGGGTTTACAATCGGCCCAACGGTGCTTATTCCTCCCCGAACCACGCTGCAAGCGAGTGTAGCACTCCCCAGAAATTTCCAAGCTGGCCAACACAACATGCTGGTATGATTCTGTACTACACTGCACAAGGTATGTCATCTGGGATTCTACCTTTCCCTCCACGCGACCGCACGATAGACGATAGGCGAGCAACTCGTCCCGCTTGTTTCACCTGCGCTGACGTTAACGGCTGTAACGCCTCCTTACGTAGCCTGCAGGCTGCTCCCAGGGAGACCCTCCTAAGTCACCGACTCCCCTAGAACCCCTGCCTACCACTGACGCCACCCCCAGCGCCTGTTCTGCCTGGTCACCGCCTCACTCTCCTGTGCGTCGGCGTTCCCGCATGTCGATCACTGCTATGGATACAACAGCGCCTCTATCAAAGAGCGATTTCTAAGTCCTAGGTAGTAATGTTGATGTTGATGCTGCCGTCGCCATTGCCACTATCTGGCGCCCGGTAAGCACATTTATCCTCCTTCCTTTTCACACAGTTCTAAAAATTGGGCTTACATACTCGTAACTGAGCTCCGATACCCCAGTAAATGCCAGGCCAGGCACTTATGCAGGGTAGAGTTGCTGCGTTCCTTCAAAACCAGGATCCTTCCTGCCTGACTGACCCTTCCTGCCTGGCTGCGGGCACCGGGAGGGCCTTAGGAGCCTCCTGAACCTTAGGCTCTAAGGCCCCTAAGCCCGTAAGCCCCTACGCCTAACCTTGGGCCTTAGCCCTGGTCGCACAGAAATCCGAGCCTGGTCTCATCAAGCATTGTTTATTGTCAACACCATCAATGCCACACTTCGGTGAAACAGACTTCGTTTCCAACAAGGCTGATGATATTTGTACGTATATGGGATGGGTATGTCTTCCAGGATTTATCATAACTCATTCATCATGACCCCTCTAGTTCACCAAGAATCATCCCCATCACCGATCTTTCTTGGGTTCCTCATCTTCCGTCGGGGGCGTCACCTGTCCCTCTGAAGCCATATCCCAGCTACTCTCGGTCCCAGTCTCCACGCCTTCACTCTCGCGTTTGCGACCTCTCTCACGCATTGCGCCTCGGATCCGCTTGCTGACCTCGTCAAGGCTCGTGACGCTCGGCCCGTCATTCAAGGCCTTGAGTGGCTTCAGACCAGAACTAAGCGCTCCTCCCGCTGAACTGCTCCGGCTCCGGCTCCGGCTTTTGGGTGTCGTAGGTCTGGATGCAAAGAATCCGAATCCACCGATATTACCAAAGGATTCATTCGATGGTAGGAAGCCGAAGGATTTCGCCGACTCTGCGGTATCGTCGAAGCCGCCAGATGTTGGCGTTGGCGGCTCGACCGAATCGGCCAATCTCGGTTCCTCGGGCATCTTTTTATACTTGGATTGATAGGCGCCTTCCCTGAAAGGATCTGCCACGATTCTCTTTGCATCAAAGTCAGGGAAGATGTCTGGGCCGAGGGTATTGATGACCTCCGTCACCTTTGCAGACAATCTTTCCCGCCGGTGTCGAAGTTGGACGATGCGGCTGGATGAACGAGGATTCAACGCGACAAACAGCGGAGGCAGGGATTTGACGATGTCCATGCCAATCTCGCCGATCCGTAGCGCCGCGAAAGTGACGCCAATACACAAGATAAAGAAGAGAATGGCGAAGAGCCAGATTGGAAGGAAGTCGGGTACGTATGTCCGGGCAACCATCCACCAGGGCACGCGGTGGGTGTAGTAGCTGCCGCGTCGATTGTAAGTCAACCAAAACGAGACGATGACGGTATAATATATGTACAGGGCCGGGGCGAAGGCCATGGCGACGAGCAGCTTCCATGTCGCGATCACGTCGCGGCCTTCAAGTTTCACCGTCGAAGCTGCGAGCGCCTCGCGAGACTTCTTGGCTGAAATGACTTTGGTGGTGACAAAGACGGGCCAGAACATGGCCAGGCCCGGCAGAGTGCCCATACCCAAGATCAAAAGCTGGCCGAGGCGGTAGATCAGCGTGCCGAGAATGTACCACCGAGGCCGTTTTGCTGGATTGCCCCATTCGAGTTGATGATCTCTAATTCCAAGGGCTCGAAGCTGGCGATTATAATCGAGGACATCCTGTTTCAGCTCCACCACTCGTGGGTCATCCTTGTACTTCGTATAGCCTTTGACAAGGCGCCTGTTGAGCTCCACCACCAATGGCAAGGGCAACTTCTTTCCAGTAGGATTGTACAATCTCCTGGCAGCCTGAACCAACATCAGAGTGTCGTAGTCAGGACATGATTGCGTCACGGCAACTAGGCCTTGATAGACTGTCTCCAGGAGTGAGCCGACGGCGTTCCTTCGGTCCCCGGCCTTGTATGCTTCGACTTGGTCGGGATGGACCTCGATCGGATGGCCAAATTCGATCACCGCCCTCGACCGAAACTTGTGGGCGTGGAAGTAATTCATACCAATGGGGATGATCTTAACACCGCACCCTGGATAGTTGGCCTCCGCCCCGAGTGCCATGATGGCCACGCCTGCTTTCAGCGGCAGCAGATCCGGTCTGTCATGACTGCCCCCTTCAGGAAAGATGCCAATGCAGCCTCCGGCCTCCAGCTCCTCGAAGACTGCGTTGTAAACTTTTGTCTGGTCAACGTATGGTGCAACCTTGAAAGAGCAGCCGCGTTGTTCCGAATGTTTCTGTTCGGATGTGCCTGCAGCCGCCGTGCCAGGATCGCTGGGGCCGGTGCTAGTCAGGCACTCTAATGCTTCGGGCGATTTAAAAGGCTTCTTGAGGCGAATCTCCGTAGGAGAGAGGATCTCGGCGATGTCGGTGCTGGGTGTTTGCCCCCTATTCTTGGGCAGGACGATCAAGCCACCCACTTCGAAATCGGCATTTTTAAAGTCCGTGTCGATGCCACGGATCAGAGTGGGATCATTCTCTGGATCCGGAAGATAGATCTTGCCCTTTGCGGGCTTGACCTTGTCGAGAGCTCTGCCAACGGAAATGGCGCCTGATGCGGCCGACATAAACCCAATGAACATCCGCTTTGTAGACTTTTCTGCAATCAAATATGAGATCCGTCTATTGGCCTCGGTTTTGAGGATCCTCATCAAGATCAAGGAATCAATGAACTGCGACGTTAGTGGCCCGCATGCCCAAGGGAGCCGTGTTACATACCTGATTTGCATGTGGCGCTGCCACGAGAATGACCGGGCCCTTCTTAGGGACCTTCCAGGCTCCTCGAGGGTGTACTTCTCGAAAAAAGAGGTCTATCAACACCGACAACGCCCACAGGACCAAATCGTAGAGCCATGGTATCTGACGTTGATTGCCCTTCTTCTTGCTCCGCCGCGGCAGCTTGGAAATGAGTGATTTGTCTGCACTACCTCCTTGTGATTTCTCTGAACTACCTCCTTGTGATTTCTCTGAACTACCTCCTTGTGCCATTGATGCTCGTCAATGGGGGAGCGTAGGACAGACTGGGGGTTTTCAGGTGGCCCGTGCCGGAGGATCGAGGAAGCAGGCGCATAAAGAGGAGGTGAGAGTTCCAAGCGCAAACCGGAGGGCACGGCACGGCGTAGACAGGCAACAGACTGGAAGATCGGAGAATTCGAGGATCGAGAGACAATGTTTCCCAACAACGGCCGGTTTCGGAAGGATGTGAGGGGCAGTCAGGCGAGCTGGTAGAAAAGTTTTCGACAGGGACAGCAAAACGCGGTTGGGTGTTGTAGGTATCTAGGTACCTAGGTAGGTAGGTAGGTAGGTGTACGGAGTACGGATATGGAGCAGGTGTAGGCTCCCGGCCCAACGTTGAGAAGCCAGAAGCCGGAGAAAGAAAGCTGGGGTGGGGTTGACTGGAAGTTGACCGTGGACGAAGCAACACAGCCCGCAGCCACGGTAGCAGCCAGGCGCCACTCGCCATCAGCCACAGACAGAGCCACCACCACCACCACCACTCTCTCTATAACTGCGCGACTGGCGATTTACTATCCCGTAGGCACCTACTATTAAGTGCTGCAGGTACCTTACTGTACTCCCTACTTGCATTTTCGTTGAGGCCATGTAAAGTACACTGTACAGCATAGTACGGGTACCTTGTTAGTTCAAACAGCTGTACGGAGTACTTTAGGTACGCAGAACAAGAGGATCATGAAAAAGTGGCCAGTGAGGAAGAAGACCAGCCCAGCCACTGGAGAGGTCTTAGATAGTTCTTCGCCGCCTGGATGGCCACCACTTTCGTCTTGCATAGTTCTTCGCCGCATGACTGGCCACCACTTTCGTCTTGCGCAATGGACATGACTCCGTAAGCAGCTTCAACGCCGCGGCGGAGTAAATGACTTGAGAAACTCATTGTTCTTGATGGTGGAAGGACGACTGAGGAGGGATTGGAAGAATAGGGATTGCAGAGTACAGAGTACGTACCTAGGTAGTATACCTTAGGTACTTTAGGCACCTACTCCAGAGTCGATCGCCTGTGGCTCTCTTAGTTCTGCTTCTTGTCCGCCTGGGAATGGGTCAAGGGGTCAAAGGATTACCCCCTAAGTGCCCCTAGGTGCCCCCTAACCCTCAATCTCTCTGCTGGGATCTCGGTGCACGCGCTCGGAAGCTGGTCTGGACTGCCAGTATGCAGTATGTTCCCTCTACTATCCAGCCCAAGGGAGAAGAAGGGAGAAGGGAGAAGGCGAGCCTTAGCCCATCCTGTTCATGTCTAGGTGGTACTCGTATACAATACAAAAGAAGATCGTGGTGCTTCGGACTTGGACAGTATCACGTATCAAATTGGTAGCTAGCTAGCTAAAAGAAGGTATCACATCACAGGTAGCTAAAAGAAGGCATCACATAATAGGGGGCTAAAAGAAGGTGTCGCATCACAACTCCCTGAGTTGAATGTCTTGTTTGCCTTTGCCATTCGCAGGGGCATTTCCATTGGCAGGGGCATTTCCATTGGCAGGGGCATTTCCATTCGCAGGGGCATTTCCATTTCCATTCCCATGGATCCATCGCTATTCCTTGTTCCTTATTCCTTATTCCTTCTTTCACGCTGGCAACCGCCTTTGCCATTCAGACTTCAGACCCCCCGTGCCTCTGTGGTTGAGTGAGGCTCTCGGAACAAGGCCTACTCGCCTGCGTCTGGGTTGTTGGCTGCGAGTAGGTCGTTGTTCAGGATCGAGTCGAGATGAAGCAAGTGATTGCGGCCATAGTCGTCGTCACAGATGGGCTGGTGCGGGGGACTAATGGGCAAACGACTGGTGAAGCCGACGCTGAGCAACAAGCCGGTGACTCTGCAGGTGTTGATGGTCGTGAGAGTCTCATTCGTCAGGGGGCCGACTTCCTGTTGGAAGGTCGACCAGAAGACAGCTTGCATATCGTCATAGTCGTGATATCTGACAAAGCCGACTTGGGGCCGCTGCCTCGCCGTCAGCGCTTCGAGGCAATGCAGGTTCATGCCGAACGGATAGATGTCGGCCTCGGCCCAGTCGATCACGCCGGTAAGCCGGCATGTTTCTTCATGGACAATGAGATTGTTGATGCGTAGGTCGGGGTGCAGAAACACCATCGGCAGGGAGAAGATGGCATCCAAGGACTCAATGCAATGCTCGATGACCTTTTGAAACCGAGTCGGGAGCGCCTCCTGCAAAAGACGTAGCTCCTTGAGATGGGTCTGCTTCATCTCCTCGCGATAGGCTGGTTCGACTGCCTGGGGCTTTTTCCACGACGCGGCAAGAAAGCTATAGATATTCAGCACTGTTTCTGCTGCCCGAGTCAAACGATGGGCGACCTACCGTGCCATGTCTTCGAGCAAATTCTGGCGCCATTTGGACGCCTGGCCTGAGTTGTAGGGTTTGCCATAGCACAGGAAAAAGTTGAACAGAGTCACCCCCGGGATACGCTGGATCAAGTACACGTGGAGCGGTTCTTTCCCCTCCTTCTTCTCCCCGAGCACTCCACGGAACCAGACGTCGGGCGCCATGTCCCCGTAGACGTCTTTGGCCAGGTCAGAAGTCTCCAGCTTGAGGCGGGCTGGCTCGAGCCGGAACTGGACGATGTATTCGAGGTGTGGTCCTGCGTTGACCGTGTAGCTGCACACACCCTGCATGTTGATCGGTTCAACCCGGCCACCAGTGAGCTCTCTTGCTCGGGCATCGCAGGCGGAACGGGTGGTTGAAGCCTTGGTGAAGAAGTGGGCGATATCTTCATCTAGATTGTATACTAGATTCCGGGGCGCTGGAGTCTCGGCCGCTGGCCGGTCGGCTGGAAAGGGAGTTGCAGTTGCCATGCTGTTGATGGAGGAGAAGAGTGCATGATGGGAATGGGAGAATCAGGGAGGGGCATCACGGCCTGAAATATTGTGATCGACTGCGGCACGCTGGCCATTTCTCGAGCCTTCGACGGCAAGGAAAGGTTATCGAAGCACCCTCGTCCTGCCAGCTGCCAGTTGCCAGCCCTCTGTCTCTCCAGGACCAGGGTTGGTGTGCAGTTAAGGTGAGCCTCGCTTAACGCGAGAGTCTTGGGCCCGGTCGAACCGGGTGCGTCTAACGGGAAAAGGAATCAGATGGTCGCTGAGCATCTTGCCATCTTGCCCCCTTAGCCTCGTTTTGCCCGCTCTGCACCAATGACAGCGAGTGGCGTGCAAGGTACTTCTGGTTGGGCGGGTGTGAATCCACCTGCGATGCCTCATTTCCAGCTATTGGCCGAACTCGCGCTTCGGATGGCATTCGATTGGCGCACAGGGGCCCCGACATCCAGCCATGAATTCAGAAAGTTGAGACAAGAACCGAGAATGAGGAGCGAGCAGGTCCTGGTCTGCACTGACACGGCCGCTCATCCCCCCGAGCTGACCACGCGATCCACTGCCAGATAGGGGATTCGAGCATATGCAAGGAGCTGCTGCACTGTTTCGCTAGTTCGAGTCGTTCCAACTACCAAGGATGGTCTGATTTCACCGCCCATCAACGCCCTTGCATCGGACTGAAGTCATGGGACGGCTCTAGACCGTTTCGGGGACGCCCTCTACCGTGCGCCGTGCGATGCGTGCCGTCTAATTCGCGTTGGAGTGGGTTCTCTGGTGAGATCGAATTTTGGTTACTCTGCCATGGACAAGTATAGGAGTTCAGGCCCATGGGAATCTCGCCAGGCAGCCGGCCCAGCGCCCGACTCGAAGGCTTGGGCCTCGCTCCTGTCTGGAACCCGTTTTAGGACGGAGCTGAACCAGACAACAGCAAAGGATGGACGAATGTCATCCAGTCCTCTGCCGCCGATGACCAAGCTCGTTGCATGGAGCTACAGCACAGAGCTGCAGCCCCCCACCGTCCAGGCACTCAAACGACCAGGATGTCGAACACTTCGCCACCGTCAATGCTGAATCCTTCCTCCTGTCCCATCCACTGCACCAATTCTCCATGCATGATCCCATGCACATACGCTTCCCCGACGTACCTCGAAGCTTTCCCATCATGAGTGGGCCGCAACACCAATGGCATCGGCATCCCCATGGCGAGGACCAGGACATCGCCCTCCTGTGCAAAGTCCGGAACCGTGGCCAGGTATGAATTCTCGGTGAATGCAACCCGGCGTCCCTGCTGCGCCAGAGCAACCGCTTGCATGTAGGCATCAGCTTGCGGAAAGAGCGGACCCAACTCCTCCTCTACGACGATGGCCAGACCGCTACACGCCTCGGGCGGCTTCCACAACCGGCAGAATGCCTCGTATCCCCTCCAGTCTAGCCGGTCACTGGAATCAGCCGTCAGGGTTCGCCGAATCACATCCTCCAGGCCTTCTTGGGTGGGGTAGCCTCTGTCACGAAAGTATGCTTCGGCTTTGCAATGCAAGAAGGAGTGCAAACGTGTGCAGGCCAGGAACAAATCAGCGCCGTGCCTCGTCCCAGGCCTCTCAGAGAAGTAGGCAACATCGTCGCGGAAGGAGAATGTGCAGGGCTCGAAGACCTCGTGGATGACGTCAACAACTGCGCCCCGGACGAGCAAGTTCTTGGAACCGTCCTTGACTTGTCGGATGCAGGGGATAGACTCGCCACTACTGCGGTAGCTTACATGGTCGGGGAAAGGATGGCGAAGATATTGGGACAAGTCCGGCACCCAGGAGGGCAGACACTGTCGCTGGTGGCCGGCCTGTCGCAGCATCTCGATTGCCGAGGGCTGCTGCCTCAGCGAGAACTGGGCAAGGGCAAAGTAGACATCGTCCGCGCTGTTGGACGGCGAGTAGTCGGGCCGGAGGACATCCAAGATCTCTTTGTCGTGCACAAGGCTCATAAAGGCATACACTTTGTCCCGCGGGTCAGTGGCTTCGGCGCTGCGACCACAGCCCAAGACTCGATATAGGGGCATAGCCTCCTGTGCGGCCAACGCACCTCTCAGCGTGCGGATGGAGTTGAGGTGCAGCTGGGCGCGCTGGGTGGATCGACAGCTGGACTCTACGTATTGGCTCAGGCCTGCAGAGTCCAACAAGCTCGACCTGACATGCTGGAGGGTGGCTGGGACGCAGTCAATCAGGTCTTGGATCGGCAGATCCGTGTTCCCATACCAGAACCGGACGTTTTTGTTCAACGCGACCTCGGACATGACCCAGGCTCGAGCGAACCACGGGCTGCGCAGAAGAGTGGCCAGGGCAGAAGCAGTGCCCGCAAGCTGCGACGCTGAATCGACCTTGTTGTCTTGTTGTGTCTTTGCTTTGCCTCCCCGTTGCAAGCCCTCCTTCAAGGCCAGCATTGTCTGATCCCCTCGATTGGCGGGTGCATCTCCAAGATATGCGATTACTTCCGTGGCGGAAGAATAAATGTCTTGTATCAGCCGTAACTGAGAATTGCGCTCGGGAATGTTGCTCTGGTCAATACAAAGCGCATCTACCCACATCCAGGAGTTCTCAACAGGGAGGGCGCCTAATGCTGCTCTCAGGCTTGCAGTGACGGGCAGGGATTTCCCGCCGCAGATGATCACATGAGTGCGTTCCGGCGTTTCCCAAACGTACGATAAGGCAAGGTAAGGGGGAGCCGTCGCCAAGGAAAAGGTCTCTATCACCATCGAAAGAGGCGTGTAGCGGTGGTCCAAGGGCGGGCCGGCGACATCAGGCTGAATATGGTCCGGTCGAGGCCCTACTGCCATGCGTGCGAGACGAATCTCACGTTGGTCGATATTGAGAGGCGTGTAGCGATAACCTTCATCGTGGAGAGCCATCTTTCATACGGTCAACCCACAGGAGGCAGAGAGCAGAAGGCATGCACAATTCGCCCAACTGAGGTTGCTTTCCACATCTTCGACGAGATCAGAAGCAACACCCAAAGACCAGATAGTCTAAATAGCATTGACACAGTCTGGCCGTAGCTGCCTGCAGCGCAAAACCAGGTCGCTGCTGTAAGCTGGAGGTCGTGTTCGCCATGCGGGATATGCGCCAGCATCTGGGGTTGCGAGGTGTTGCGTGGGATGCGGAGAGAACCAGCAAAATCAGACAGCAAATCTTCTGATTGGTAGGCGGAATGAACACTTGACACCTTGACAGCTTCACCGCCTGATCAATGGGTTGAATGAGAGGTTGCAATGTGCGTTGAAAATACGATGGTCAAGCGAGCCGCAGTCTTCCATTGGCGACCCAGGGCGAAATGTCCTCGCCAGCCGGTTTCTGCTGCAGTGCCCAACAGCACATCCCACGGGGAGAGGCGGCTCCCTTGCTGCCGCAGCGGATGGACCGCCTGAGCGCCCTGGGTGTCCCATGTCGTGGGTGATTTCATTACCTCAACGTTCTGGAGGTCTTTTTGAGCCTGAAACAAGCGGGGAGGGGACGATACCGTATCCACAGGTCGGGGAGGCGGGAAAGGCGTCCATCGCGCGGCCTGAGCCCTGGGAAAGAGCGAAAGTTGATCTATTTTCGTGCACAACGCCGTCACCGTCACCGTCGCCGTCGCCGTCGCCGTCGAGCGAACATGTCCAAGGACCTTGTAGAGGTAGTGCTATTACCTGCTAATAGGTGATCAGGAGTACTCCATAGAAGGACGAGGTGATGCCTCAGGCCTCGACTGTCAGCATCCAGCAGAGGAATCCTGCTACTCCTGTCGCTGGAAGAGAGCTATTAATAAACGAATCCAGGGCGGGCATCTCTCGACTGCAACCTCTGTGTTAGTCATGGTATCAAGCCCAGCAGGGCAGTTCCAAATGGCTCTCTTGCCCAGTATACACGTATCTAAGTGATTGATCTTGGGCGCAGATTCTTGTTGAATTTCTGGGGCGGGCGGGCGGGCTCGATCTGGTATCCGTCGGATAATATTATCTTATCGTCTTCTATCCTTGTCTTATCGGATGACAGGCCATACCTTGATCTTATCTAGTTAGCTACCCTGTACTCTAGACGGAGGATGTATGTACTGTACTCCCTGCTTTACATCTGTGACCTGCTCTGTGGTCGCTTGACTTCTTGTCACTGCTTAGCAGACGACGAACAGAAGGCATGCGTCTCTGTGGTTTAATCCCAACCGCGTTGATCCTCCCAGCCAATTGAAAATCTTCATTTCTGAGCCGCATCAGCTGTGACTGGTGACTGGACTCCCCATCGGCTTCCCGGCAGGTAGAAGTCGAGTTTCAGATGCACACGGCAGCGGGTTCTGCCTTGACGTTTGTCAGGATCATCTATACTTTCCTTCCGAGGCGCTGTCGTGCAGGATCCTTCAGTCATGGTTTTCTGTCGCAATACCCCAGAAATATGCGCCCCAACTTCCAAACACAAGTAGTACACAGATCCCAAAGCAGGTCTTGGAGAGGAGCCGGTTCCTTGCACCATCCTTTTCGTAGAATTGACGCTTGCGCTCGTTGATTGTTGCACCGTTGCTAATGCGTTGTTTGCGCGTCCATTGCAAGAGGCCCAGGTCGACAGACTTCCAGGACAAGGCAATAAGGAATAGTGACACTGCGACCGAACAGGCCGCCAGGACGAGGTAGACGATTGTCACGTTATCGTAGACGTTGTTGTCGCGATCTTGGATGGCGCCAGTGATGACCCTGATAATAATGTTCATCCTGTGCTAGTAACAGAGAATTAAGAGGAATTCAGGGACAAGCGAAAGAGCATGAATATGCTGGTAGTTCGAGTTTGGTGGAGGTCTGTGGAACGTACGCATTATTCATCGTAAACTTGAGGGAGTAGGCAGAGCCAAAGACCGAGCTATGCCACATAGACGTGCGGATGCTGTCGATGATGGTTGTCAGGCCGAAGCAATATGTAAAGCCAAAGACACCAAAGGAAGCGGCAGTGCCACTAGTATGGCTGGCGAAGCGGACAAGACACATAGATGTGAAGACTCCCAGGCTGTAAAACAACACTGTTTGAACCGGTTATCCACCCGACTTCAGATCTAGGGGGAGTGGGTGTAAGGCCACCTACAGACAGACAGTCGATTCCCAAACATGTCGAGGAATATGCCGAGTAACGGGAAAATGAAGCATCCTTGGATCGGAGCAGGTCAGTCTTCGGAATTTCCAGTAGCTGCGGCCTCATTTGGTCACAGACTTACCCGCATATTGGAGAGCGGCACTGTACCAACCGGCGGAGATGGAACTGGTTGAAAACCTTTGCTCTGCTAGTTCTGTCGCATTCTGCAGAAAGACGATGACGGTGCTTGTCTCAAACAATGAGAATGCTTGGATACACCAGAACATCCATGGGAGTTCCAAGACCTTGCGCAACTCGAACCTCCTGTTCTTCTCGTTCAACATCTCACCTGTTGCAGGGTCTTGGGAGCCCTGGAACTTGCGATTGGCCATCTTGGTAAACCAGTAGAAGATCCCGGTCATCATGTTGGTGAGCAGGTTCATGAAGACGGCGACCCAGAAAACCCAGGCAAAGTCACCGGTATTCTAGGAATGAAGGAAGAGCCATCAGATAAGACGGAACCAGATATCCACTGAATGGAGGAGACATGCCTTGGCGATGATATTGGCCGACGCTTTTCCCGCAAAAGCACCCACGTTGCCCATGCCGAGTTCAAAGCCCAACGTTGAGGCAAAGCCATCGTTGGGAGCGAACCAGGAGGAGAAGACCTTGTGCTGGGCAACTTGAGTGGCGATGCCGCCTAAAGAACGGACAACTCTCCCTGCAACCATGAATTTGTACGATCGAATCTGTGCAGCTGCTGCGACCAGGATCGAGCCAACCGTGTAGATTGCATTCCCATATAACATGGCACCTGTTCCCTAATCAGCGGTCGGCCTGTCTGGATCTTGACATGAATGCAGCCTACTTGCGCCACCTATTCTGTCGGTCACGATACCGCCGACCAACATGAGGGCTGTGATAGTGAAATCTTCACTGGATTCCAGCAGAGAGAACTGAGTATTGTTAATTTTGAGTTCCTTCTTCAGGGTGGACTTCAGCACGCCAGTGAGATCGGAGCTCCACTGAGAGCCGAAGCCAACTGCCGTAACGAGGACAATGGAGGTCAGCTTCTAACGGACGGGCACGTCCTTCTTTGGCTGTTCGGGGCTGGACCTAGGCAACGTATGTGAAGCCGACTGAGCAGCCACGGCGTCAACGCGGGTGCCCCTCTTTTCAATTGCCAGCAATTCAAGCTGGGGAGCCAACGGCGGGGATTCAAGGGAACGATGTAATTGCCCAGTCATATTGAAAGGACGAAACATAGATCCAGAAGGTAACATGTTTGAAATGGGGGAGAGATGTTAGACCTGCCGTAACTTTGCCTCACATTCTTATCGTTCTGAACTCGACGACAAGCAGGTCGAGTCGCCGGGTAGATCAGTGGCCGACATCGCAAGAAAACGCCTGTCTTCGAAGATGATTTCCCTCTTTTGGTGAAGTGCGAGATCTTTGCGTCGCAATCAGACTCCATCTGCGGCAGCTTCAACACAAGTCCTTCGAGCCCGCGGATCAGATAAGATGATTCATTGGCTTGATCAGTTCGTCGGATGGGTCACAACAACGGTCAATCTGCTCAACGTTCTGCCGCCGAAGCCCATCCACCTCCTGCTGCTGTCGACACCGCGGTGTGGATTGTCTCACCATCTACGCCTGTGGTCGGCATAGATGGGATCGATGATAGACTATCGACACGTGCTGTTCTACCCTAGGATAGGTGCTTAGCTTGGCTGAGAATCAGTATGTTGGCTGGAGCGAGAGGAGAGCCAGGTTTGCATGAGATGAGATTACTTGGGTCAAAGGAATGCGGTAAACCACAGTGTTCAATTCCGACGGTGGTCAAAGAGGACAAGAAACTCGCCGTAGCATTTAAAGCGGCGTGGGATAAGGACCAGTCCGTGATCCGAGTCGCGCCACGAGAATGTCTGCGATTGAGCCCCAGCAGCACATGCAGCAGCTGTTGGCTTGTATTTGCGATGGGAATTGCTGGGTGTGCAAGGAGACAAACATGCTATAGGAACGCGTCGAGCTTTCACAGGGCTGTGTGACCAGTCATCCATGCCTAAAGAACACCAGTATGTCCTGGTGACGGGCGCAAACAGGTACAGCTGAAACCTCCTCTCTGACTTTCCCTGCTACGATGAAGGCCAGTAATTTGCTGACACCGCACGCCGTTCATAAGCGGCCTCGGATTAGGGATTTGCTGTCGTCTGATTGACGAATTTCTGGCCTCCTCGGCCAACGACGGCTCCTCGCTCACGATCATCTTCACAACGCGAGACGCCCGCAAAGGCTCTCAGACATTATCGCAACTCGAGAAACATCTGGCAAAGAACAACTGGCCGAGCACCAAATCCGACCGTCAGATCTACTTCCGCCCTGAGAATGTCGAGTTGACGAGCCTCCTGTCCGTCCGCGCACTGAGTCGAAAGCTCTTGGACTCGGACCTTCCTCATCTCAACGCAATCGTCCTGAATGCCGGCATAGGAGGGTGGACTGGTCTCAATTGGCCCCTGGCAATATGGACGGTGCTGACAAGTATACGGCAGGCGACGACGTGGCCGACGTACAAGCTGGGATCAGTGGGACTGGTGGCACCGCCGCAGACGTCTGGTGCACCGAGTCGTGACGAGCCCATTCTTGGGGAGGTGTTCTGCGCCAACGTCTTCGGACACTATCTGCTCGCCCACTGGCTCATGCCGCTGCTCCAGGCCTGTGCACCGGACTCACCAGGCAAGATCCTCTGGTCGTCGTCCATCGAGGCTGGGAGACGTCACTACAACCCAGATGATCATCAGGGACTGAGGTCCGCTGCAGCATACGAGCACACCAAACGTTTGACCGACTACCTAGCATTGACAGCCACCGACCAGCCAGCGACAGCACAGACAGTCAAGGACTTTACCACCTCGTCTCATTCGCCTTCTATGCAGCCCAGCCAGCACCGGCCTCGACAGTCCGAACCGGTCTTCATGCTGTTCCATCCGGGGATCTGCACCACAACCATTATCAGCCTGTACTGGATCATCCACGAGTGCTACCGGCTTGGGATTTATCTCGCAAGATTGTGCGGCTCGCCCTGGGCCAATGTGACAAGCTACCTCGGCGCCACGTCGGCGACTTGGCTGGTGCTGGCCTCCTCGGCCGAGATCAAGGCGAAAGCAATCGATGTTACGGGCCACGTGAGCGGCGGTCCCTGTAAATGGGGTTCCGCATGCGACCGGCTTGGCCGATCATCCGTCCGCGTAACTGACGTTGAGGGCTGGGGTCTGGACGGGACCGGCAAGCCGTTCAGTGATTCCTGGTGGGCTGGCCACGTGGGACGCAAGAGCGGCTCAACGGATGCAACACCGGAGGACGTGGAGAACTTCATAGCAGAAGGGGCACACGTCTGGAAGGAGATGGAGACGTTGCGGAAAGACTGGGAGGCCCGGATCGAGAAGTTTGAGGCTGAACAGGCACAGTCTCAGCAAAGCAACGGACATGCCTGATAGATCAAGTTTTAGATTCGCCCAAACACAAACACTCCCCACGCCTGCGCTCCATCGTCTTGATCTTGAGCGGCTAGAATACAGATGCTACAGCCGACGCGTCTCCGTCATTCGGGGTCAGCAATAGATATACATTCCCATATCCACAGCAGGTCGTGTTCACATTTCCCCTGTTCTGAGAGGTCCCTGACCGGCTTTACCTCTCAGCCCAAGTCCACACTGGACCTGCCTCCCCAGAACCCCTTGTGCCAGTGACTGGGGTCCTAGAACTTTCCAAGATACAAATGCGTCTGGTCTGGTCTGGTCTGTCTCAGTCATCCCTGCTCTTCTTGTACTCATCAATGGTCACAGTTTGCTCGAGCGCGTCCTGCTCTTCTGTGTGGTCTCCAGCTTCACTTTCATTCTCATCATCTTCTTCGGTCGTCCAGCCCTTGGACATCTGGACGGCCTTGTTCCACTTCTTGTACATCTTGTCGCTAGCCTTTTGGGTGATCTTAGGCTTGAAGACGAATCGGTCTTCCTTGTTGATTTCCCTGAGTTCGTCAAACGACGCCCACACTTTGACTGCGAAGCCGGCCGCGATGGCCGCACCGAGGGCCGTCGTTTCGCGCATGCGTGGTCGGTCCACGGGGATCTGGGCTACGTCGGATTGGATCTGAGTACACGATATAACCGTCAGCTACTGGTTCGCAACGTGATTGAAAACAAGGCTGCGCTGGAATCGTGGATTTAGCGCATAACTCAGCACTCACCTGCATGCACAGATCGCTGTTGCTCATACCGCCGTCAACGGCTAGTTCGGCCAATTTGACCCCGGCGTCCTTCTCCATGGCGTCGAGGATCGCCTTCGTCTGGAAGCACGTGGCCTCGAGTGTCGCACGTGCAATGTGGCCCCGTTCCGTGTACGCGGTGAGACCCCAGATTGTGCCCTGGACATCGTCGAACCAGTATGGGGCGAACAAACCGCTGAAGCCTGTCACAAAGACACACCCGCCGTTGTCTGATACTGTACGTGCCAGCTCCGACACTTTGTGGGAATCGCGGAAGAAGCCGAGATTGTTCATGAGGAATTTTACCGATGAACCGGCGACCGCGATAGACCCTTCGAGCGCATACACGGGCTTGATGCCCTGAGAGGAGAAATCGTATGCTACCGTTGCTAGGAGCCCATGCTTGCTGATCACTGGCTTCTCACCGACATTGTACAGCAGGAAACAGCCGGTACCATAAGTGTTCTTTGCCCTACCGGGTGTGAAGCCACACTGGCCGACTAAAGCGGCCGACTGGTCGCCGAGGCACCCCGTGATCTTGGTGCCCTTCAGCTTCGTGGTAGCAAGCTTGCCATATGCCTCTGGGTCGGAAGAAGGCACGATCTTGGGTAGATGTAGTTTGGGGGTTTTAACGTCGAGTCCAAAGAAGGAGATGAGCTTGTCGTCATATTTGAGGGTGTGGATGTTCATCCACATGGTTCGAGAAGCATTCGTTGGGTCCGTCACATGAACATTGGCTTCAGGGCCACCGTTTAATTTGTAGACCAGCCAGGTGTCGACAGTGCCAAATCCCAGGAAGCCCTCTTCATATACCTTTTTCACATTCTCCGCGTGTTTGAGCAACCATAACAGCTTTGTGGACGAGGGGTAAGTGGATAAAGGCAAGCCGCAGAGGTCATGCAGTTCATCTGCGCCCTCGCGTTGATGCAACTCGTGGACGATGCGATGAGTGCGCGTGTCTGTCCACACTATACAGTTGTGTAGAGGCTCGCCAGTCCTGGTGTCCCACACGCAGGTAGTCTCTCGCTGGTTGGTGATTCCAATGGCCTTGATGTCCGAAAGTGAGTGTCCCTTGCCCTCAAACTCTTCGCAGGCTTTATCTATGCATTCGGAGACGGTAGCGATGAGCTCGTTGGGATCGTGTTCGTGCCACCTATGAGAAGAGTGTTTTAGCAACGATGTCTTCGAGCACTGAGTGGCGTGCTACTCACCCTGAGTAGGGGTGTATCTGCTTGAATTCTATTTGGTGTGATGCTACTGGATTCCCCGCCGTGTCGAAGATCAAAAACCTCGAACTGGTGGTGCCATTGTCGATTGCGCCCACGAAGCTCTTGTTCGTACTTCCCGCCTACGACAGGGTTAGCTGTGGGCCATCCCGTGTACATCAGTCCATACCATCTTGCTGCGAATGTCGATGGAGATGTCTTAACCGCTGGAGTACTATAGTCGCGGGGACATGAGCGTGAGGATGGAAGAAGGAGAACGTGACAAGCTTGCGGTTCGGAGGAAAATCACTGCCTCAGATGTATGATAGGAGCACACCTTCATCAATGTGGGAAAGAAAATAGTGGTCCTGCGAGCTGGAGCTGCCGTGGGAGGCACTGTGGGCGACTCTGGGATTATGGATGAAATGAATGTATGAGTGCGGGGGCATCTCGAGGGGCACGAAGGACTATGATGCAACGCGTCATTCGCGCAGAGGAAAAAGACGTCCCCACTGTCCCGACGGCAAAGCAGGTGGGCGGCGCGCTTCGGGCTCACAATCACCGAGCTATCTGCGAAAACCCAAGCCTTGCCGCCTCATCCGCTGCCGGGCACCACAGAGTTGAAGCAAAGAACGGCGGACCAAGCGGACGATGCTGATTCCTGAGGTGAATGCACTCCACACAGCCTCCGGTGGAGACCCCGTTCCATCTTCCAAAGTCCCGGCGAGGCTTGGAGGAAGGTCACGAGGGTGTCCGTAGTGATAGTCTAGCCACATCAATCTGGGCCTAAGAGATGCAAGGTTGCGCGCGCGATTTCGGGCGGGATTAGATACAACCGGTAGAGCAATATCTCGATTTTCTGCCTCAATATGTACATGGTTCATTCTGTAGACGACTAGTGGCTTTGAACGGATAGTTGTCCGGTGGACTCCTGTGTTTCCTCTATTCCTCATCCTCATCCTCTTCCTCTTCGGCCTCTGGCTCAGGGCCCAGCTCTTCCAACTGCTGTGCTCGCAGGGCTCTCAACTGGTCAGCAGGACCAGGTGGTCGGGTGACCAAGTCGGCGATTTGGCCACGGCCAACCAGGGATGCGACAATGCTGGCGCCGACAACGAAGGTCAGGACGAATCGGTACGATCCATACCAAGAAGGAGCCCAGCCCCGAGACGCCGCTCTAGCGTCGTTGTAGTACAAGAACGTGAATGCAAGGAATTGGGCGATCAGGCCGACCTCTGCGGGCAATAAAAGAGTCGGCCACGCGACGGCAGTGGCAACGATACCCATGGAGTATCTAGGGTAGCCCTTGTAGCCACCGAAGCCAGCCCACTCGAGACCCCAGTGAATGGCGCCAAGGAAGGAGATGATCTTCGGATCCAAGTCAGCGCAACAGGCACAACACAAGAAATCGCCAGAAACGTACCACAGCTCCATAACCAAGCTGAATTGGTTCGAGGACATGCAAGAGAGCCTCGGCAGTCTGGCCAGACAGCAAAAAGCCGGTGCCATGGGTGGCCGCGTACTGGATATCAAAAGACAGGTAAACGGTGGTAAGAGATGTTGCCAGATAAGGGACAACACCTGCAAGACCAACGTTGAGTGCTTGACGGGGCACCTCACGCAAGGAGAACGTGTCCTTGATAGTTTCCTACTTCTCATCAGTAACAGACTGTGTATTTATGCGATCATGACGAACAAAGTCACTCCGGATGCCTGCCATCATGTCCACGTCCTGATCTTGCTCGGCAGCCACCTCACTAGCGATTCCGCGTACGCTCGACGATGAAGACACAACCTCGGGGACAGGCTTCAGAGTCTCTTTGAGCAAATCCGCTTCGAATTTCTTCGTGTCCAAGGCGGCTGCCTTCTGTCCGGCAGTAGATTCGTAGCGGACAATTGATTTCTGGACAGATCGCGCAACGGTGAGAGAAAGGACCTTCGACGGTCGGACGGGGCGCGCAGAGGTTCTCAAAGAAGCCTTCAGGACATGGTTGTAGATGCTGGCTCGCGGGGCAGCAGCTTGAACAGTTGCGAAGGATCGCGGCAGCGAACGGACTGCGGTTGTGCGGAACATTGTAGCTGACATATTCGTAGGAGAGGGTCGACAGAGGCAGAGGTGCTTGCTGGCCGACGACAGCCAGCTGAATGCAGCTGCAGAGCCGGTTTGTGGGAGTGGAGAGCTGGAGTGTTGTTGATTAACGAGGTCGAGACGAAGATTGAGGTCAAAGAAAGAGCTTCAGGTTTGGGATTGGGAACAAGCAAGCCTGACGATGAAACCGTTATTACAGGATCTAACGTATCGTAGAGCTGCAATAGAGCTCATTAGCCGCGTCATTTTAAATGTAATACGTATGCTCTCCTGACAGGGCAATTTGCTCAAGAGTCATTGGGCAATGACGCCAAGGCCACCGACAGTTCCGGCTGAACCCCAACGCTGCTTTGCCTTTCACCAGAGCAACGACGGCCCGTGATGAGGGAGGTTGTCTCCAGTTGCTTAAAACGGCGTGGTCTAATTCCCATCTTTGGTAGCTCGAGGCTGATTTCATTTGCTCTCAATGCCAAGCCATGACTGAAGCTCTGGCGCTCTGCAGTGGTACCACTTCACTCAGTCTCACATTGAAGAACGACCCGAAGCAGCTCTACCTCTCTCAGGCTCTCCACTCAAACCAGTTCAGAATGTCTTTCCAGCGTGTTGGTCTGCGTTTCGCGCAGCAGCTGCGTTCTCCCGCCTTCCGCCCAGCCCTCCGATCGACCCTGCAGCGACGATTTGCGAGCGCACCGACACCGCCCGGTCAAGGAGCCAGCAAGTTGGTCGGAACTGCCGACAATGCGTTCAACCGCGAGAGAGCTGCTGTGAAAGCGCATGCTGCTGCCACCAGTGGTGAGTTCTCAGTGTTGGCCGATGTGGACGGAACAACGACAGCTAACAAAACATAGACCTCTGGCGTAGACTGTCAATCTAGTATGATTACCCCGAGCACGAATTCGAACGATGAAGAAACTATTCTCTGACAATCCGCAGTGTCGTCATCCCCTGCCTGATCCTAGGGAGCATCAATGCCTGGAACTTGTGGAACGAACATTGGGAGCATTGGGAACATCTTCCCCCGTTGGAGGAAAGAGTCGAATATCCCTACCAAAACATCCGAATGAAGAACTTCTTCTGGGGCGACGGTGACAAGGTGGGTTCATTATGCAGGATGTTACATGACAACATCGCTAACCCCTTCTGTCTAGACTCTGTTCTGGAACGAGAAGACCAACTACCACAACAAGGACAAGCAAACTTAAACATATATCGCGTCACAAGCTTCAGGAGTCGAATGGTGGTTGGGCTCGTGAGCCACCCGATGTACATATGCAGTGAAGAAGATAGCAGAGCGATTCGTGGTGATACATGACTTGCCCGCTTGAATTCAAACAGCTCATACTGTTAAATTATGGTCGACAAGCCAGATCCGGGTTTCCGGATTTCGAGTTCTACACTCTCTCTGATTCGTACTTCCTCTGCAGCTCGAGGTGTTGGGTTGCAATGTCGTTCGCTAGCACCAAATCACCCCTCCAATGCAGCAGAGTGGCCTTCTTCTTCAGCATTTCCAGCTGACCTTTGAGATCTTCGATATATCTAGACTGCACGTAGGCGTGGTCAATACTTTCCATGGCTCTGCTGAGAAATTCCTTCTGTTTTGTGGCCTTGTCCTCCTCCTCGCCGGCGAGACCCATGTAGGCATCCGCGAGGACCGAATACGACCGAGCAGTGAGGTCACAATCCTGATATTCCAATACCGAGGGCAAGATAGACTCAAGTATATCTGCAGCGGCGGTGAACTCTCTCAGTTCAATAAGAAGCATGGCGAGGAGCCCGACTGATTCCCACAGCGAGGGTAGGATGCGACCGCGATAGGCGATTTGCGCCGCTTTTGTGACGAGAGAAAAGCCTTTCAGTGGATGGCCACATTCGGCCAGGATTCTGGCTTTGAGGTTCAACAGCCGGGTTTGAACGGCGATGTCGCTGATCTCGTTGTACGCGCGTTGCGCCAATGACTCAACACTTTTGAGAGCCGTGTTGAAATTGCCACGCCGCATCAGCAGCTCGATCTCCAAGAGCGACAAGGAGAATCCAATCTCGGCGTCTGGCGGGCCCTGGCCTCGCAGCCGGTCAAGTAAATGCTCTGCAGCGTTGGGATCATCTCGATGCAAGAATCGGCGGGTCTTCAGAATGCCGGTGTAGAAGTCCAGATAGTTCTGGAACTTTGTCACACGCAGGACGTGCTCGGGGACGTTGTTGAGCACCTGATTTGCCTCGCCATATCGTCCTCGCTGGACGAGGAGACCGGCCGTTCTGCAATTGCATTTGAGGATATCCTCAAGTGGTGCCTCTGGGACATGGCACTGGAGAAACGTCTCTCCGCACAACCAAGCGAGGTGGGCGATGCCCACCCTGCTGTAGGCTGCGCCTTTCATCAGCAATGTTGGGCCTGTGGCGCTCTGTGTTGACTGGACAGTATTGAGATGTGACGCCTTTGCAATGTTTTCAAAGACAGTCGCTAGGCTTTCGCCATGCTGCAGACCAAGTTTTGCTTCGCTCAACAGTGTCGTGCTGAGCAGACTCCACATTTCGGCATCCTTTGCTCTTGATTTCAAGAACGCCAACCCCTCCACCTCATTCCCTAAGATTCCATTGCCTCCTGCTGCATTTATCTCGTTCGGAAACGATCTCCCGAAGTGGTAGATCCAGCTCATGCAGAAGTTGAGGCATGTGACGTCTCTGTTCTCTCGAGCGGTTGCAATGGCCTCCTGCATGGCTGGAAGCGCCTCGGCATAACAGCCAAAATCGGCCTGCAGGATTGCGAGGTTAAGCAGCGCGTACTGATAGAAAGCTCGTTCTCTGTTTTGCATGGCGTAGTCGAAATATCTGTGCAGGTTATCGAAGGCCGAGAAGTAATCTCCCGCCCGCCAGGAATCGAGAAATTTCAGGTAGTGTCCTATCTTGGGAACATTGGCCCCTGCTTTGGTGAGTTGTTGGAGTTTTGTTTTCATACTGTCAGGCAACCGTCCTCCAAGCTTCTGAAGTTCCGAGACTTGGAATTCCATCAGTTTCTCAATGTCGTACACGCTAAAAGCTCCGTGGTCCTTTTGCTGTTCCTCAACTAGTCGCCCGTACATCAATTGCGCAAGAGGATGTGACGTATCGATGCGAAGACGGGCCAGATTGATGTCGAGCCCACCCCCTCCATCAGACCTGCTCTTCTTTTCGTAGGCTTGCCGGGTCGGCAACCGGTAGGAAATGAAATCCTGCCAAAGAGCGATGCTATCCTGGAATTGAAGTCTCGTGTACTCCAGATGACAACGACGAATGAAAGCGCCCAGAGTAGAGGTTCGTAAAATGTGGCCATGGAGTTGCTCCGATTCTTCTCCGGTTTCCCGCTCGTGAAGAATTTCGTCCCGTGTCTTGGTGAGGAGACAAGGAAGATTGGTGATGAATGCCTCAAGAGCATGAAAACAGTCGATGGTCCATAGTCTCTTTAACAGGAGGTCATACAAAGAGCGTCCAGGTCTCGCTGAGGGGTGGGGAGAGAGCGTCGCTTCGAAGACTGATATTGGCAGTGCATGCTCAGTTTCAGTGCTTGTATTTGTCGATGCAGACGCTTTATTTGCAGGGATGATCTGGCTGACGAGGAAGGCCAGGACTGATCTGGCTTCAGATGTTGGGACTACATCTTCCGCGTAGAGGAGAGCCACAACCAGCAATGTGACTTTGGCCGGGGTCAAATAGCGACTCATCTTGTTGATAGCATTGGTTCAACCAGCGAGAACGGGGACGGGAATCCAAGCCGGCAATGGTAGTTGTTCGCCTGGGCTAGCGATTTGCATCGCGTTGAGGGCCATTTACCTTCATCGCAAGCAGAGCAAGTTGTCGTGTTTAGAGGTGTAGGACGGAGTACGCGCTTCTAGTAACGATGGCGCGATGTGATTGGCTATAAAAACGGCATCGAGGGCACCCGGATCCGGCTCAGGGTGACGCCGCCCTATGCTCGTGACATCGTTTGCTCCCTCTCGAATGTTATTCAAGCTGTTAGTTAGTCCTCCAGCCTTATAGCAGAATACATCTCATCTTCCCTAGTTGGTCCTAGAGGACTTCCAGTCCTCTGGCACAACATGCCCGCGGCTTTGCAGAGTTCGCAATGGCCGTGGATGACTGGCCCTGCTGACCCATTGAACACTGCTCACGGACATTGAGAACTCGATCGGAAACTTGTCTCTCCTCATTCCCACCCTCTCTCTCGTTTAACAAGTAATGAGAGCGACACAATGAGAGCGGCACAGTCGGCTGTTCTGTTCATTACCAGGACACGACGATGCTCACAATTCTCAATCACAACACGTTGGAATTTGTCTGGCCTTTGTCCTCACAAGACCTCGATGCGATGTCGGTTGCAGATGGCCACCTCGGCTAGGACGTTGCCTAGCCAGGCCCGCACCTTTCCAAGAGAAGGGGTGGAGGTGCTTCCATTGCACGAGAAGATAGAAGAGGAGACAGTCCCTAACTACAAGGCCGAAAGATTCTACCCTGTGCAGCTCGGCGACGTCTTCGACTCCAGATATCGAGTCGTTGCCAAGCTCGGCTTTGGCATAACTTCTACCGTCTGGCTCTGCCGGGATCTCAAGTATGTCTTCAAACTGTTCCGCATCCTCTTCGTTTACCCTCGTGTCTCCGCGGTGTCTTGCTTACGGGGAGGCTATCTACTCTCCAGGGAAACTGTCCTTCTCACGCTCAAGGTCTGCATCACTGGAGAAGATGCTACCAATGAGCTCGCCATCTCCCGCCATATCAAATCAATCGATGCAGACCATCCTGGCGCGGCAAGACTGCGTGTGGTTCTCAACGACTTTCAGATCAGAGGGCCTCATGGGTCTCATCGATGTCTGCTCTTTACCCCACTTGGCTTGACCTACACCGATTTTCGAAATCTACTCCCGAAGAAGGCTTTAAGCAAGGATCTCTTACAACAGAGCTTGCTTCTGATTTTGCTGGGCTTGGATTTCCTGCACCAAGCAGGCCTGGTGCATACAGGTTTATCCTTGTGTTTGGTACATCGGATGACCTGCTAGCTAATATCCTAGATATATCGCCAAATAATATCCTTCTCGGGATCAAAGATACTGCCGCGCTCTCAAAAGTTGAGCAAGCGGAACTAGAGAACCCGTCTCCGCGCAAGGTTCTGGCGGATCGAGTCATCCACCTATCTTACACTATGCCAATTACCCACGGCGAGCCTGTCATTTCCGACTTCGGTGCTGCTCGCTTAGGAGAGCCGGGGCAGAAGCACTCCGGCGATGTTATGCCTGGGTTTTATCGAGCGCCCGAGATACTTGTCGGCATGGAATGGGACTCGAAGATCGATATATGGTCGGTGGGAGTAATGGTAAGTAGAGCGGCGCTCTAATATTTTCCGTGTATCTTCCCTAACGCAACAGATTTAGATATGGGACTTGTTCGAAGGGGGCCGTCTCTTCCGTGCAGTGAAGGACGGTTATCTTGATGATGAGTTACATCTTGCCGAGATGGTGTCCCTCATGGGACCTCCTCCAAGAAGGTTTCTGGAACGAAGTGATATATGCAGTCGGTACTGGGACTCTGAAGGTGAGTCAGCCCTACGATAGAGACAGTAGAATATATGTCTCATGTCTCATTGATATGGCTTCGTTGACGATCGAAGGTAACTGGATCGCCCAGACACCAATCCCCGATCAAAGCCTCGAGACACGCGAGAGGCGTCTAGAGGGGAAGGATAAGGAGCTGCTCATGGCTCTCGTCCGTAAGATTTTGCGCTGGCTCCCTGAAGAGAGGCCATCTGCGGAGGAGCTTTTCCAGGACGAATTTCTGATCCAGTGGGCATCTGGAGAGAAGTGAGATCCTGAATGGGCCACGAACAGACCAATTCGTCGTACTGTGGCTGGCAGGAGAGTATCTTGAGAACGAGAACTGCTAGTCAGGCCGGATACTGAGGTTGTCCACAATGACTCCATACAGCTACACTTGCTCGACAAGCAAAACTGGTTCTCCGAAGAGAAAGGGAAATCAAGGAGACTGAGAGAATCAAAGGGGAACGTGAACGGTAAGGCTGGCAGGTGGCTGGTACTGTAAACACGTAGAAGCTTGGCGCGGTCACCGCTCAAATACCTTACATATGTACGGAGAACATGTAGGTTTCCTTCCTCCTCCGCCGCAGGCAGTCATACATGTATTCATATCACATTGAGATACTAGTACATGGAATAAGACTCTCCTGAACCACTCACTACTTGGTGCAATTCGCCGAGACCTTTGTTCAGTTTCCAGACATGGGCCCTCTGGAGGTCGACACCGACGAATTCGAAGTGGGCAAGGTGTTTACTGGACCAGATAGTGATGAACTGGTTCTGTTCTACGAGCACCGGCGATTCATCCTCATGATGACGAAACCAGAGACCCGCGAAGATGACCATGACCATGTTGTGGCCGACTTGCTTCAGAAGATCGAGGAGGCCAACGACGATCCCGATCCAATGACGTTCGTTCGATGTCTGGAGGATGTCGAAGACCTTGCCATCTCGGCCTGCAAGCAGACGCTAATTACGCTTGCGACATCGGGTCAGCAGCCAAACAGCAAGCAAACGTCTCTGTCTCTTGAGGACTTTCTGTACCCCCCGACTTTCTATCTGCAACTACACAGCGTGAAAGGAACCTTGCAAGCCGTGAGAGTCGAGGACGTCTCCGAGATTGCCAGCATGCTCGACCCTGTACACTTGACAGTGGACTTGGAGCCCGGATCTGTCCCGGAACTTCCTTCGGTTGAAATCGAGGTCATGGAGGATCTATTCATGAGGCAAATCCTCAAAGTGAAAATCTCCACAAACGGCCAAGTGTGTGTTTTCAAGTCAGCAACTTATGGCAACGAAGACCAGCTCAAACGAGAAATCAATGTCCTCCGGCAAATATCCGAGACATGGGAGCCAGGTGACCCCTCTCGCCTACATGTTCCACGACTTCTTGGTCTCGCAACATCAGGAGGTGGAGGTCAAATTCTAGGAATTCTGGAGGAATTTGTCGATGGCACGAATCTATATCAGTTCAACATAGATGATGCTCCCTCCGCCCAACGCCAACAGTGAAAGTGTCAAATAGCCCAGGATTTGGCCCGACTGCACCAGAGTGGCATTGTCTGGGGAGACGTGAAACCAGAAAACGTTCTGATCGACAAAGCCGCTCATGCTTGGCTGGTCGATTTTGGAGGCAGCTCGACCGACGGTTGGGTTGACAAGCATTTGGCCGAGACTGTTGAAGGCGACTTGCAGGGCTTGCGTCGCCTAGGGGAGTTTTTGGACGTCTGACATTCAACACCCTGAAACCGGACAGTGCCCATGACGAGGTGTCATCGGGGCATCGTATCGCGCATCACCTTGAAACCGAAATCGGACAGTGCCCACGACGAGGTGTCATCGGGCCCCCCTAAGGGCTTAGGCTTGAGGTCAAAACCTAGGGGTACGGTCACCATAACGCCTCGGGTGTCCGAGAGTAACTCGAGCAGCTATACCCATTACTTCTCAGGATCAAGCGCGTCAACAGGCCCCGACTCGGAGAACCAGTTTGCTTGTCGAGCAAGTGTGACTGTAGGACATTCTTAGTGTCCGGCCTGACTAGTAGTTCTCAAGACACTATCCTGCCAGCCACAGTACGACGAATTGTTCGTGGCCTATTCAGGATCCAATTCTTTGGTTGGACCGCGACAGATGTTATTGAAACCTGGTCAAACTGTCGATGACTCCATGCATGGCCCTAGGGATTACATGAATGTACTGAGTATATCAAGAAAAGCGCAGCGCAACTGCTTATGATACCAAGGGTCGAAGACTTCGATTGGAACAATGTCAAAGTGATTCCACTTCTACCAGCTTTGAAACTTGACACCGGTCGAGCCGCGATTGCGATTGCGATTCCGTCAGGTCAACTGTTGCGGTTTCTTTTCTTCACTTCGTCCTTTGGTGCGTCACCCAGCCTGATTCAGTTATTTGGTGCTTCGCCCAGCCTTATCCAGTCGAAAAGCAGAGTCGCCGCAGGTGACAGTGGTGTCTTGACCATGAAGGATTCGGATTCAGGGTCCAGGGCTGGAAGTCGTCAATCCAAGTTCGTCGATGATGCGGCCGGTAATGGCATGCAAAACACCAATCCTCCCCAGCTCTTCGAGATGCGAACCGCTGATGTTGGAGAGAGCGTCCGACGGCACCAGCACGCGATAGTCTCCAGAACTGCTGTCGAAGATCGTGGCGCGAGGGCAGTTGGGGAAATTACATCCCGCAATCACGACGGTCGTGATGCCCAACCCCTGGAGGAAGTCGTGCAAACGCGTGCGATGAAAGGCACTCCACCTCGGCTTCCACATGACAAATTCGGCATCATTGACCTCGACAATGTCTCCGTTCAGCAGGGAACGCGCCGAAGGCTTCAAGCGCCAGTCTCGACTGAGGCCGGGGACGACTTGAGCTCCGTCTGTGTCCGGAGCCACGATTCTGGTGCCTGAAGCAATGGCGCCGCGCCGCACGCGGTCCACATCCTCACCATCACCACGATAGATGCGAACCACATGAACGATGGGCCGGCCAGCTGCTCGAAACGCCGCTTGGAGGGAGCGTAAAGCTGGAACAATCGCCGATGTTCCTGCAATCGGACTCGCTCCCCCGTCGACAAAATCGTTCTGTGTGTCGATGATAATCAGGGCCGATGAGTCCAGCATGGGCTTGATATGTTCGTCGACAGAGGCCGGCCACGTCGATGTGGGATGGATATCCATGGCCGTTGGCGCCACCGTCCGTCGTATCGGTTGTTGCAATACCAGCTTCCGCGTGGCTGATAGAGCTCCTAGGGCTCCTAGGGCTTTTAAGGCTCCTGATAGGGCCCCTGGTCGAGTTGCTGGTCGAGCTGAAAACAAACGTGCTCGTGGGAGGAGTAGTCTCAATGCCATCGAGTGACTCGTACTTCACGCTAAACTGCCTCACAACGAGATGCCTACACTCGTTGGAAGTGATCCGTTGGCGTGACGTCCGGCATCACTGAAGCTTCCACTGTATAGATCATCCGCCTTTCTTTGTGCTGCCAGAAAGAGTGGCGTAAGACCTAGCACTGACACCATCCAACATCCCCGCCCTCCGTTGCTACCCGCGCCTCCGATTCTCGGACCCTTCGTTTGATATCTCGGCGAAAAGGTACCGCAGTAAAGGCCAGGAGGGTTACGGACTTGGCCCAGCGATTCTCGGACCCTTCGTTTCATATCTCGTAAAGGTCAGGAGAGTAATCGGTCTTGGTCGAGCGAAAGCCATGGAAAACAGCAGTAGCAACCATGTCTGCAGAAAGTCGGTGTATCTTGTATCTTGAGGGAAAGCCTGCACACTCATGTCGGAGCATATGGCACATGGCACACAGAAGGCTCTCAATGACCTCGCTGTCCACTTCTACCGTCGCTAGCATACTGTACCTCGGAGGAATTGGGCTAGGCTAGGCTTGCAACGCGAGAATGTGCATCAAGCAGTTCTCTGTGACCATCTCAACTCTCTGTGACCATCTCAACTCTCTGTGATCATCTCATACTCTGTGATCATCTCAATTCTCTGTGATCATCTCAATTCTCTGTGATCATCTCAATTCTCTGTGATCATCTCAATTCTCTGTGATCATCTCA